TCGTCGGGGGTGAAGTCTCCGGTTTTCTGTACCCACCGATGAGAAAATTCCGGAATTTCTTCCATCAATGCCGATCACGAAAGAAATTCTGATTTAGAGTTTCATACTTGAATAAGCCTTTTTGTTCCTGTTCTTGCCCAATGAATTATAATCACAGCCGTTCATAATCCTTACTTACAAATTACCGAATAGGTTTCCGAAAGAAAAAAAAATTACCAAAGGCCGGATAGATTTCACGAAACTTTCATATTTTTATTTCAAATGCGCAGAAATTCCTGCGTAATATTGTCAATAGAGTAAACAATTACAAGCGACGACGTAAAAGAATTCATTTCGAAAATGAATATTTCCTTGAATTGTAGCCGATTTATTCGTTAATAAAATGTCGCGAATATTGTTAGGGTCTTTACCTAATATTATTACCTGTTATCTTTAATTAGGTTGTCAGAAAACGACAGAACTTTTAGATTGACATAGTAAATACCATTGGTTTTGATTTTGGGAGACATGACCGGGTAGGAATGCAGCAGACTTGATCAACTTCCTCTCCATTAATTACTTTGACATCCACGCCAATCAATGGTAATCCATTAACTCAATGACCCGTATTTAAGACCGTTTCAATGAAAGGTGAACTCTATGTTCACTTGAGCCCAGCGGCTTACCATGACATGAATTGACTTCTGGCGAACTTCCGGACTCTCCTTGAAATTCGCTCAACCTCCCGAGCCAATACTCGATCGTGCCGTTTCCAATACATATTGCCTGGAGATCCTTTGCCGAGAGATCGATTGCTCCCACGAAGGAAACTCACGGTATCGATTCAATTTTTCTCTTTCTTTTAAATGATACATAAAGATCCCTCTCCGGCATTTCCTCAAAGGTCTCGCTTAATCGGCCACCTTCGTTTCTTGTCACAATAATAAAAAGGACATTTCCATTTTTTATGGAAGAGCGTATCAGAATATCTTATGTTTGAGTTCCTAGTATTGAACGGATATAAGATTTATGCGAAATGAATGGACAGTTAAGGTGAAGTGAAACCCCCTTCAAATCAGTTGATACGAATACACTTTTTTTTAAGGGCATTAGACCAAACTGTCCGAAACTTTGACACATCACTCCTGATCATCTAAGAATTGTCCTGATACATTCAAAATTTGGATTTTTCAACCAAATTTTTTAACTTAGCCCAGAGCAGAACCAAAATGGCGTCGAGCTCTCATATTTCGATCAATACACAATTATCGAAGGCTTTGATATGAGAATCGAAAGGGTCAGGACAATTTTACGACAATTTAGAACACTCTGGTAATCGATAAACTCGCATTTGAACGGGATAGAGGCAAAAAAAGTGTTGTATGCGCTTCTATACCAAAACGATGGTAATATGAGGTCTCGGAGTGAAAATTTAATTGACATGGAAATCACAGATGGCGCCGGGGGTCCCTCTGTAGTCAATTAGGGCCCCAGAAAGCACGAATCCAGAGGATTTCTGAAGTTTTACTTCGACATGTTTCATTTCACGTTAATTCATATACTATTACGCGAAATTTGTTTCAATCTGATTTCCCACGAGGATTTACTGAGCGATTGCGATTGCTCGAGGAGTTGCGCATTGATTAACTAAAGTTTCTAAACTTGCTGTTAAATACTAACCATAGTCAATGGGGATCAGTTGACGTGCATTTCTTGAATGAATACAAAGGAGTTCAGACCTGTATCTGCGATTTTAATACTTAATGATTGTAATATACCTCTGCGTCAGGAAAATTGATTTGATATGAATGCGATTCTTCTAACGCGATGAATTGCACGAAAGTCTACTGGCATCACAAACTTCACCAGATGCATTCGATGCACTCGAGATGTACATTGGGGCTGCAATTGCGGGACAGGGGCTCAGAGCTTTTACTCCATTGTCTCATTTCCCAAGTATTTCTTGGAATTCCTCATGCGATTCTTCCAACCGGTAAAGCCATTGTCTCGCAACTTCGGAACCTGCTTGCAGCAGGGCTTACGCGAGATGTACTTTTTGGTCTTGACTAAGTACAGCTTACTGCAGCCACTGCTGCTGCAAACGTCCTGCTCCAGTTTGACCTAAAAGATTCCTTAAAAGCGTTCCAGGACACGGCGGCTTTCGTTCCTAGACTTGTGTCTCTTGATCCTGAGTATCTCTCAAAGGCTTATCCCCGGATTATAGAGTCCTCGAGAAAATCTGTCCTTGTTGGCATTGAGCAAAGCTTATCCTGTCGTAATGAATTAATTCGCAGGGAGATTTTCGTTAACGTCAGGTACGAGAAGGGTTTTACGAAAATTACGATAAAAGAAAATGGGGTTTATTTACATAAAGAAACTCGGTGGAGTTCCGTGACAAGTACGTATTGAGCTAAGCGAACGCTACGGAGTCTTACGAGCAAAGATTATCTTGTCGTAATGAATTAATTTGCAGGGAGATTTTCGTTAACGTCAGGTGCGAGAAGGGTTTTACGAAAATGACGATAAAAGAAAATGGGGTTTATTTACATAAAGAAACTCGGTGGAGTTCCGTGACAAGTACGTATTGAGGTAAGCGAACGCTACGGAGTGTTACGAGCAAAGTTTATCCTGTCGTAATGAATGAATTCGCAGGGAGATTTTCGTTAACGTCAGGTGCGAGAAGGGTTTTACGAAATTGACAATAAAAGAAAATTGGGTTCATTTACATCAAGAAACTTGGTGGAGTTCCATGACAAGTACGTAGACTACCTAACTTCAGTAATGGGCAAATTTGGTACCGACAGGCGAAATTGCTCACCGGAAGTCTTCGAAGCCATCGAGTTAGGTATCCATTATTGTAATAAATCTATGCGGAAGGCGTGCATCATCGGAATGATCTTTTTTATTGATAATCATTTAAGTGCAAGACAATCTAAAAGTATTTCAAAACTCTGCACTTACCACGTCTTTCAACTTCAAGCTATTTTTAGTCGTGTTATAGTTATTATCAATCGGTTGATATTTGATACATTATTCCTAACTCTGCGACACTTCGGTTTCATGGAAATGGGGAATACATATTCACTGTTTGTCAAAAGAACTGTGACATCTATAAATTAAAGTTGTGAATATCGAATAACCACAAGTACTGCTGAGTATAATGAAAAGAGACTTAAACCATATCTCGGTATTACACGTATTTTTTTTAATTCAAATGAAATCACCATTTCTTCACATTATACTAAATGGTGTATTGCCTCTGAATGACATGATTTTCATTTTTAGACGTAATGATTTTTGTTGACGAGCAGTATATTTCAACGTGAACTGTAAATCCATTATGCCTGGATGAATTCAAAGTAAAATAGGTGCAAAGTAACGAGAATTTTTAGGTTTATTATTATTTTTTTTAACACTATGTGGATTTTCGAAAAATATTATACTTATGGCACCGTCTGGTGCGAACTGGGTAGAAATATCTCACCTGCACTTGAAGTCATCGTAAGGGGAACTATTGAAAGGAGAATGATTTGAAAGGGGGTACAGAGCTTAGTAATTTTGAAAAGTACAACCCCGAAGAGGAGGCTTTTGTGCACGAATGCAGATAATGGCTACAGTTTTATATGGGCGACGAATGAAATCCGGATGGGTGCTCGAAGTTCCTGGCAGGATTCCAATACGTCTCGGCCATTTGTTATTAGTTTCCCCTCGAATTTTACGGATGAGTCGGAATGACCGAATCTTTCTTCTCGCTCGAGAGTTCTCCCCCATTTATGCAAAAGTTGTACCTAACGATGTCAGGAGATTCCCTGGAAGCAGTTTAATTGAGCCATTTTGAAAAACGACTCCTTTTGTCTCAGTACAATGGAAGGGATGCATATAGAATAATGCCGATCATTAACAAAAATTCTAAGGGGTTAAATATACTTCCTTCTTTTCAATTTCCGCGCGTAAGTATATCTCGAAATGAAAGCGACTAACCATAAGTCTTCGACTCACCTTCGTTTATCGTTCTTCAATCTTTCTTTCTTTTTCGTAGTACTTTTCTTGATTCATCTTTATGGGACAAAATGGCAAGAAATTACCAAGTCGTGCATTTCGAAGAATCGTAGCTAATCAATTCAATTCCCTGAAAGGCAGAAACTGTTGAAAATTTATATGAGAGCACTTGACGTTTTTCTCGCGGGCTAAAAGACATGAAAAATGTGAAAAAAAGGGTAGTATTAATTTTAGTACAGAGCGTTTGATCTCGCTGAAAGGATTCAAATAGTGTTAGAATGTTGTATGTACGAGAGTAAAAAGTTTGCGACAAAAACGTCGTAAGATCGTTTTCATTTTTCTAACGAGATAAATATTTCCACGTGCCAAATTGCGACATATATTTCTTTTGGGTTTTCAGCCAAGAAATTTGGCTTAAAAGTTTCAAGTCCTTTTGAATTGCAACTTGATACTCCTCGCTGTTATTTGGTGTTGCAAGGAATTAGTGGAAATTCAGGTTAAAAAGCAAAAAATGAAGGAAGATCAACCCGCCGCTCGTTCTCGTTTTCCTGTAAACATCATATTTCGTATACTTGAATAATTAAGTATTTTAATCCAGGCCGCCAAAAAGGAAAAGAAGAAGAAGTAAGGAGGGGTTAAAAGCTCTCGGAGGCACAACTTTTTTTTTTTCTTCTTCGCCCGGAGTGGCCGTATTCAGCGCAGAAAATTAGAGTCGGGTCGAAACGAGGGGTGCGATTAAAGTGGAAATTTCGGATTTGATAGCGGGATGCGCATCCGTGCTATAGGGAGGCGAAAATGCACTCAAAATCGAGACAAAGCCTAATTGCAGCCGTCGAGGGTTTTCTCCCTCTCGTTGCTTTTAACGAGTGCGGCGTTGTGACTCTTCTTCCCTCGATCTCTATATTTTCCACCCTTATCTTCCTTTGAGGAGTCTCAGTTCTTTAATTCGCCCCAAAAAGATCCGCAGATCCGTTCAGAAATCGAAAAACTAAGAGACTAACCGAACCTTTTCGCTTTTTCAGGACCCTCCGAGACATCTCCAACAAGAAGGATCGTCAAGATGCGTCGAAGAAAAGAAAACCAAAAGCCACCTTCGAGGAGAAAGATCCTGCAGTAGTTTACGCCCTTCATGATTATCAACTAAAAAATCTAGGCTCTTCAAACTCACGAGCCATTCCTGGGGAGAAAAATAAATAAATAAATTGAGCACCCTTCAGGTCGCAACGAATCGTCGGTAAGATTTCTCGCGGCGAGTTTCTTGTTCTTTTTTATTTGTTTCATTGAAACTGGAAAACTAGCGGAGAAGAGAGGGTAGCGAATTTGTCGAAGCAAACATTTCCAAGGGTTTCATCTTTTCTGACAAGGCTGACTGGAATTGAACCGTCGGAGGAGGAGATATTTGGAGAATGGCGTCGTTGAAATGTCGACCATGAAGAGGAGAAGAGGCGATTTCGAGGACGCTGCACTTTAAAGGGAAGGAGACGAACCGAAAGGACGGCGACTTATACTTTCGGGGAGACAATGTAGCTTTAACGAGGAGATCGATTCCGCGAATTGACCGAATTTTCCGGGCGCCCGAGCCTTAATGAATCGCCATTGGTGCTCCAAACATGGATTTTCCTAATGCGAACGGCAATAATACTTTGGTGCTCTGCAGTCGGCGATATCAACACTTTTTGCCCCCTGATGGAGGTAACATCGACATTTTATTACTTTCATATGTGTTACACGAAAGAAGTGCTAAGGGATACCAATTACGAGTCCCGATATAGACAAGAATTTTGTCTGGAAAATGGAACGTTCTGTGAAATGATACGAAAATCGCGTCTGAGAAGTCTCGTTTAGTAAAGTAAATAATTTCTTTATTATCGATATAACAAAAATGTCTCTGGGCCAAAATTTTCCTGGCCCAATTTCAAGTGTTCACATTTGTCGAAGCAAATCAAATTTCCATGTTAAGACTGTGAATTCATTATCTGCGTGCCATTTTGGGAATATTACAGTAACAATGGGCATTTAGAAAACGTTTGTCTTTGTAGGGACCGAAGAGGTTTCCTAGTTTTTCGAAACTCGGTAGTTAACAGCTCGAATTTGAGAAATGCATGTTGATAATTCGAGCTTGACAAAAATTAGGTAAGGTTAAAAAAGCTCCCTCGCGTCTTTCCCGTGAAACTAATCGAAGAGGCTTTCATGTGAGCTTGACGAAACGAATCTTCATGGCGACCTGAAGGAAGATTCTTCCACGGTATAAAAGTAATCTACACTCTATTCCGCGGTCGGTCGACTTTTCATCCTGCAAAATTGTCGAGACGATTAAGTTGGACGATCGAAGGGAAGCTTTCCCGCAATTTAACGTGCGAGCGAACTTGGGTCGAGCTTTCACATAATATCCCGTGGAAGGTTGCTCGCAGTAATCGCGTTAAGTCGAGACGTCGATGTCCCGACTACGAAGGATTTACGAAGGTCCAGTAAATTACGCGCAATGCAAACTTCATCAATTATCGCATGCTCCAAAATGCCCCCTTGCTCAATGTAATTGGAAGCTTTTCCGCCGAACTCATTACACAGGATGTTTCCTAAACATGCGGCAAACATTCAAGGGGTGATTCCTGGGGTATTTTTATGAAGAAAAGTTCATATAAACATTTGTCGAAAAAAGGCTTCCTAAGGGAGCTACGCCCCTTCAAATGGGGCACCCTGGGCCCAAGGAGGTAAATGCATCATAGAAATTTGCAATTGTTCTCGAAAACGATTAGCCCTATCGATATGAAATAAGAGTATCTTTTTTACGTAAAAATCCTTCAGGTATCATATTCTAAAATCATAATGTAAAAAAAGTGTCCATTAAAAAATGGGGTTATTTTTACTCTTAACCCCTTCAGTATGGGACGCTTCTGATTAAAATTTTGAAATTCTCAGCTCCGATTCTGATTCAGCGTCAAAAATTTATGCGGTATACCAAATTTCATAATTTCAATGTTGACGGTTTCGAAAATATTGAAGAAAAAATCGTCTTCAGGGTGTCCCATTTGAAAGGGCGTAGCTCCCTTAGGAAGCATTTTTCAACAAATGCTTATATCAACTTTTGTTCATAAAAATACCTCAGGAATCACCCCTTGAATTTTTGCCGCATCTTTAGGAAACACCCTGTATATTAAGAATCGAGCGAGCAAAGGATCGATGATGCACAATGAGCAATGAACAATAAACGGAGGAAAGGTCCGCGTTATAAAAAATGACGTATAAACGCGGTGTCAACGTCTCGATTACAAAGAATATATACGGTATAGCATACAACGTGTTTAATGTTTTAAATACTGAAAAATCGTGAAAAAGACATACGCACGGATAATATGCAATTCTTGCTCAATACGTATTGAATATATGTACTTTCGAGAATAGAAATAAAAGAATTGTTAAGTTCCTCAAAGTTATAAAACAGGATGACCCCTCAAAAGGAGCAATGATGCACAATAAATGCCTTAGAACGTGAAGAATAGGTTCCTTGTTTCAGAAAATCGCATTAAACTATTAAACTTTTACAAACGTATTGTTCGTACTGTCTCAGATATAAAGGAACATAAATTACGTAGAAAACCCTGTGCAATGCAAATTGCAATAATTACATTAATATGCTCGTGATACTTCCTACCTCTAAACATAGAAGCTTTTGCGTCAGTTTCATTATATTTGTTTATACCATTTTTCCGCCCGTAAAGGTGCAATGATGCACAATGTACGTCTTACAAGTTCCATGAAATTGTAAGATAACGTCAATCTACCAGCTATAGAGTATTTGTAGGGACTCCAGTTAATTACGGACAATGTAAACTGCGTCAATTATCATACGCCTCCTATCGAACATACCGAGCCGCAGAAACATCATTGTTCAATGTAAATAGGAGCTTTTGCATCGGTCTCAATGTATTTGCTGACATTAACGAGCTTTCGGCCCGTGAAAATGCAATGATGCACGGTAGTCCCTTACAACGTGGAAAATAGATTTCGCGTTATCAACATCGCATGATAACAGAGTTAAACAATGTGCGAGAATTCGATCCACGTTGTAGGAACACCGCGATATAAAAGAGTCGAAATGCGTACAGACTTCCTTGTTGTAATTGGAAGTAGGCATTAAAAAAAATATATATATATAACTGAAAGAAATGCGCCGTGTAGTTGGAGTTCGCGTCATAGAAATCGCGTTATCAGAGACAGATATCACAGAAATCACAGAAAACGCAAAAATTCTACCTGACTTTCATGAAACTCGGAATCCATACAAAATGTGGAAATATGTTTCTCGTTATAAAGTGAAAACAGAGCATGTTTGTTTAAGGTCATGTTCAAGCAGAATACGTTGCATAGTAAATAGCTAGTTCTATGTTATGATAGTTGTGTACATAACACGCGTGACGTGTGGGACACTTGAAAAGAAAATAGAATTGTTCTTTGATTGATTTATTTCTAGTTATTGATAAAATCGAATTGAATTTTGACCAAATGAAATTTCAGGTTTGGGATATGTCTGACTGATTGCAGAAATCTGGTGCAGTTGGGCTTGGGATTCCATTCTTTGTTGGCCACCGACCAAAGCCTCGGCCACTGCCAGACAAAGATGTCCTTTGGAAAATGGCGTCGACACTACGAGTAAGTTCAAGTAAAAAAAAAAAAAAGAAATAGAAATAGCGCAATCGTGATTCTTTCCAAGTACTACGTATTACAATTAAATCAGCAGTCATTGCAGAGCATTTAATAAATTCAATGAATATTTTAACGCTCGAATCACTTCTTGATTCATCAAATCAATCTCTCAGTCAAATAATACTAATATTGAATGAGCTCGATGTTAATGAAATTATGCGGCCACATTTAGCTGTACTTATTCCTTGATTCTAATTCGACGATGCATATTTGCTTTTTGTAAAGTTCGAGTAATGAAGTTAACAAAAAAAAAAAATTAACCAAAATGATGTATTAATTTCAAATCCATACATTTTGCATATCACTCGAATCCATTGAACGAACTCGATGCGAAAACAAGTTGAAAGATCAATAATCTCCTGTTTAAATTGGACGTATCGAACAGAAAAAGTCATTTCTCGAAATAGTTGAATTTACTAGTTTACACGTGTAATTGCCATCCTAAATATAGGGTGACTTTTTCATTTTACTGTCGATTCGATTACAGCCTCGAAGTGTACAAAATTGCAAAGGTGCATTGCCTGATAAATTCTATGCATGTAATAACTAAAAATGACTCAAGTTCAAAGGAGGATATTTATTTTTGGCGAAGAAAAGCTATGCAATAAAGCTTTTCCCGACCACGATGGTCCAGGCAGCATCAAAGCTCGGCCTTGGTTGGTCGATTCTCTGGCAGCCTCCACGGGTCGTATAAACAAATCATTTCGGCATCCCTTTTCATGGCCCCTTCGTTCAGAATTTCCGAAATCTTTATCGACAAAGTTAGAAAAGTCAAAAGCTTCGACCTTGGGCCAAAGAAATCCCGTTTACGGCTTTAATTAAGAAAACTCGATTAAATCGATTAAATCTGATCTCTTCCTCGACGCGGTTTTGCGCGTCCACGGAAAGGTCTTTCCTGAAATAGAAAACCACGTTTTCTTTTCCCTTCCGAGCCCTCTCTGACGAAGGAAAAATTCATCTCTACGGGGGAAGGTTTATTTCTTTAAAATATCCAAGTGGTGATTCTTTATCCTTTTCCTTTCGTTTTATTTTCCCCCTTTACTTTTGAACCGTGTTATATAAAACGCGTCTCGTTGAAATTTATTATAGAGATATGTGCGTAGATCGTATTTAGATCTACAAAATCAAATTAGATCTAAATTACGTCCAAACGACAGTGCAATATATGTTATTTCCTTTGATTTGAGGCAATTTAATTGCTATATCGAAGACCTCATCAGAAGTCGATGCATGAAAAATCAGTATCATTTAATTCATGCAAATCGACCAATACCAAAATTTCCAATCGAAAATGAACACTTCTATTATGAAATCGTTCGTATCTGTACGATGAAGTTAATTAATTAATTAGTCTTATTATTTATCCTTTCTTAAACGGAAAAGTTATAACGATATTTTGATTATTCTCTTGGCTTTATGTAAAAAACCGTTCCTTATTTTCCGTCTTTGGTCTCTCAATTTGTAGAAACGATTTCAAGTTCTTTAGGAGTGCAGGAAATTGCGTGGACTCTTTTTGAAAATATCTCCCTTTGAAGAAGCAGCTCTGCTGGGTTTTTCGAAAACGCATCCCTCGGCATTGAGTATAATCCAGCAATGTACAGATACATTGCTCACAAAAAAAAAAATTGCAAATCCTGAAAATCAAAGTTATGCACATCTGACATTCACGAGACTGTGTACGTATTTTCGTAAAGAAAATAGATATTCGTATCTATCCGAAACAGATTCGCAGAAACACAAGGAAACTTTCGGAAGGAACGAAATTGAGCGAGTTGACGGTATAAACAATGTCAGAGTCTTTTAAATTTGGCAAGTCCTTCGTTTAGCGTTTCTGAGGACGAGATCCGCAAAGGGGACACGGCTCGTCGTCTGGGCGACAATGAAAGCCAGCTCATATGCACAAGTACGCCTGTACCACTTCGTGTAACGACTGTCCACTCGACCCACTTTAGCTGTTCGATAGTGAGACCAGTGTTCAGGAAATAAACGTACGAACCCTCGGAAGTCTCGAATGGGTGTTCCATTCGCTTCTCCAATGACTCGCATCATTAGTTTCTTGGACTCCGACCGACCGAAAGGATTCGTCGAACAGTCCACCCAGTCCTTTAAGGTGAAGTGAAATACGTCGAGGAACTTGATCGACGTCGATAAAGAAGATTTTTCTAAATGCCTACGTTGGCGACGTTCGTTTTTATATTGACAGCTGTATCGTATTATATTGGATATTGTACCAAATGGCATACTCCACCTGTCGTTTTCGTACAATAAATATCAAGAAATCGAAGTAAAACTCCAGATATTCTCTGGATTCATGTTTTCTGGGGCCCTAACTGACTGCAGAGGGACACTCTGCGCCATCTGTGATTTCTAGGTCAATTAAATTTTCCCTCCGAGATCTCGTATTACCATCGATTTGGTATAGAAGCGCAAGAAGCGTACAATTTTTTTCCAAAAATCCAAATTTTGAACGTGTCAGGACAATTCTTAGATGATCAGAAGTGATGTGTCAAAATTTCGGACAGTTTGGTCTAATACCCTTGAAAAAAGTGTTGTATTTGAATCGACTGATTTGAAGGGGATTTCACTTCACCTTAAGTCCTCCCAGAGCCGAAAATAGCCCACTTACTCGAATTTCTATTTTCCCTTTATACACGAAGAGACTCGATATGACCCGACAGTATCATAAAAAAATTAACGCTATCCATAGAAAGTGAATTTGGTTATTTCAGTTTGGAACGTAAACAAGCATTTCTGTAATTTAAAGGGATTTCCTTTTTTCTTTTACATTAACTCGTGAACACCATTTGTTTCTCCTACTTCACATTTATGCGTAGAAAGATCGGATTACTTGTATACAGGTATATTTGGTAATTTAAATTTTGTATGTAAAGTAATTTCGATTTGGCTTTATGTTTCTGGGAAGAAATTTTTATGCGAATTGAAGAACCTCCTTGATTGGTGTAAAGGCTCTGGAATATGTGTCAAAATTTCGGGGTGAATTTTCTTTTTGTATGGGATATTGACAATACGGTGCTCTCGTTGATCGTTGCATCGCTTTCGAGGCGAATCGGCAAAAAGGGACGGCGAGGAAACTATAAAGATTTTCCTCAGTTTCCTCACGCTCCCCGTGTGTCGTGAAACATGCCCTACATATTCTTGGGACATATTGCAACGTGGGTCACGTGTATCGAATATTGCCCCACGTGAAATCTCTGTTGTATCGATTTGATATTACGCCATAACACGTTGAAACACCCCCGAGAAAACTCCCACGTTTCCGGATGAAAATGAAAATTCCTCGTGATTGCTGACCGAGTATTTGAAGTATTGATTATCGTTGTTCTCTTTGGATGGAAAATTAACAATCCCATTGATTCATTATATGTAAGAATTTATACGCCGCCATATTTTGGCCGTAAAGCCGAGATTAATATTTTCTACCGACCCTTCTGTAATTTAGCAAACTGGCGAATTTGATCAAGATTAAGATTTGTTTGTTCCAATGTTTTAGAATCACCCGGGATTAGATCAAATTAATATATGTACAGTATTCAGCCGCTGCTAATCATTTTGAGAATTAATTTTAATGGTAAAGCAGACGGAGTAATAATCTACAGAATATGTATTTTGGATTTTTAAGAAATTAAACTCTACCGTCTTAACCTGTCTTCGCGGTTTGACCTAATCTAGGATTTATTCTAGGGATTTAAATTGCATTTATTTTTCCCTGTAATCAGCAGTTCAACCTTATATCTTTAAATAACGCCTGTCAATAATTGCAATTGTGCAGAGTTTGCAGTAAGGCGTTGTGACGTCGACGGTCGATGGGAAGGGCGAGGAGGTCCCATGGATGACAAGGACAGTCCCAATGGGTGGACAAATTACACGCCGTGCTTCACCCCGGAAATGCTGCTGCTTATCCGGAAGCTCTACACCGGAAGCGAGGATGCAGCGAAGGTAGGCGGAAACGAGGAAAAATGAGCGATTAAAAAGACCTAAAAGAATTTGCAATTAACCGTTGCGTTGCTTTTTAACTTTTGATACTCCCTGTTCCTTTTTCCCTGTTCCCACCGGAAGCATTGCGAAAATAAAGAAAGATCCCCGCATAACGCGGATGATAATTATAAAATCCACCCTAGTAAATACTAAAGTGAATTTTAAAATGAACGGATTTAAACAATTTTTTCAATTTTCGAATCAACCATTACAGACATAATATTCGGAGTTTTCCGGATTCGGAGTCTATCGGATGGAACGCAGTTCGGCTCGTTTAAGTAAACGTGCATTTTCTGTTTTCCTCTTTTTATCAGTTTATACGGGAATTTATTATATACCTTGTACTACAAACATTTCCTACACGGGAAAAAAACAATTCCACGAATCCAGCTCATAGTCGTTTCGCGCTGGTTTTAATAACGTTTCATCTGGAATGAAATATGAAATCCATCGAATTCCAGTGCTATTTACCTTTAGCCATCTATCCCGAATATTGGGTATGACTCCAAGTATATAATTTTTTTCTTTCTTTTTTTTTCTCGGCGAAGTTCAATGATTAGCCAATGACCCTCCAGGTCGGTACTTGAATCGAGTTACTCTCCCATGGGTAATCGAAATTCCAATTTCCGTATCTCGTCGGGGGTCTTTAATGAGTCCGACCTTAAGGTGAAGTGAAACACGTCGAGGAACTTGATCAACGTTGATAAAGAAGATTTTTCTAAATGCCTACGTTGCCGAAGTTCATTTTTATATTGACAGCTGTGTCGAATTATATTGGATATTGTACCAAATGGCATACTCCACCTGTCGTTTTCGTACAATAATTATAAAGAAATCGAAGTAACACTCCAGAAATCCTCTGGATTCATGATTTCTAGGGCCCTAATTGACTGCAGAGGGACCCTCTGCGCCATTTGTGATTTCCAGGTCAATTAAATTTTCACTCCGAGACCTCGTATTCCCATCGTTTTGGTATAGAAGCGCATACAACACTTTTTTTGCCTTTATCCCGTTCAAATGCGAGTTTATCGATTACCAGAGTGTTCTAAATTGTCGTAAAATTGTCCTGACCCTTTCGATTCTTATATCAGAGCCTTCGATAATTGTATATTGATCGAAATATGAGAGCTCGACGCCATTTTNCACTTTTTTTGCCTTTATCCCGTTCAAATGCGAGTTTATCGATTACCAGAGTGTTCTAAATTGTCGTAAAATTGTCCTGACCCTTTCGATTCTCATATCAGAGCCTTCGATAATACTATATTGATCGAAATATGAGAGCTCGACGCCATTTTGGTTCTGATCTGGACTGTTACAAAATATTTTTGAAAAATCCAAATTTTGAATGTGTTAGGACAATTCTTAGATGATCAGGAGTGATGTGTCAAAGTTTCGGACAGTTTGGTGTAATACCCTTAAAAAAAGTGTTATATTCGAATCGATTGATTTGAAGGGGGTTTCACTTCACCTTAAGACCCGTCGGGTGACGTTCTCGTTTCCTCGTGACCGAGTGTAATGTTCTCACGGGTTTAAAAATACCCAGATAAAGTGTCGCCAATCGTGGATTTCGCGATCGATAACACGTCTTTGCAATCGGAGTCGCGGAAAGCGTGTCGCCCGTTATCATTTCCCTCCCTTGGGAGATCGGTTCCCGATAACAGAGTCGCGGTTACTCTTCCTCATTTTCTCGTTTCAGGTGAAGCTGGACATCGCCGAGAGGACCAGGACTCTCGAGTTCGTCGGGCTGAGCGTCTCCTTGGCGGCTCTCCTTATTTCCCTGGTGATCTTCTGCCGATTCAGGCAAGCACAATCACAAAGTCGGATTTAATTGAGAGAGCTGGCCCGGATCAGAGGAGAATTCTCCCTCGACTCTCCTCCTCTCGGATGTTCGCCCTTTGCTCCGAGGGAGACAAAAGTTGGTCTTTAGGCCAAGGCTTCCCCGGAATTTTAATCTTAATTAACTTCGGCTCGGATAGAGCGATAGCCTTACTTACTGCTTCGCTATACGAAATTCGTCCTTTCAGGGGATCATTTCACGGATAATACTTTGGCATACGGTATTGACTTAAAGTTCCGGCAGAAGGCCGTTTAAGTAGGCCTTTCCGAAGTGCACTTTCGTGGAAAATGATATCGGCCTCAATTTCCTCCTACTTGGTTTGAGACATAAGCCTGATTACGACTCGAATTTAATTAAGAGATTTCATTCGGACCAGAGGAGAATTTCTGAACCGACCCTTCTTCATTCCTAATCTCCGACACATTGTTTCAAGAATTCGGAGAAAGGATTACTGAGAATTTTAATTGTATCTTAATTGGCTTTTTCTTTCGGTCCGTACGGATATCACTTACCACTTTGTCACGTGAAATTCATAATTGTAGAAAATATGTGAACAGTTGATTCGAGGTTGAAAATTCCAGGTTGACGAGAAACACCCGACGAAACGTGGAAAAGAATTCTTCAGTATTTGTGAGAAAATCCTCTATGATGAAAGATATACAGTGGGGCAGCATACTTTAATACAAGGAACGATCTTCGTTCCAATGAGCAATTTTCTATTGATAGCGACTAGTCTAAATAGTGATTTTATACGAGGCATTCAGTTGAATAATCAGTTTTACCCCGACAACACTGAAACAATGTTAAATTTCATCTCCAACAAGAAATCCTGTAATGCTTCACTTAGTGGAGAAGGCAGAATCTGGAAGCCCTTAGGGGTTTCAACCTCATTTCGATTACCATACCCTGAAGTACTTTAACACATGCACACATGATTTCAGCTTTATACCGGGAAATGCGTTAAATTAGCCCGAAATTACTTAACAATTTCCATCCGTGGGAGCCAGCTAATTCCCCAAGTTAATTTCGATGCGAGATGCATTTCAGATTTAGACCCATGCATTTCATCTCACGTTTTCCCATCTTCAGTAATGAAGATCTGTTCTATTTTTTACGACAAGTATAACACTTTATGACTCAAATATGAGTTACGGCCGCTACAATTGTTTATCGGCAATGCGCGAGATAAATTCAGCTGGACGTGTACGTACAAAGATTCAGGCATTGCATGTACGTAACTTTGTTTCATAATTAAGGTGATGTGAAACATGTTGAGGAACTTGATCGACGTTGATAACGAAGATTTTTCTAAAGGCCCACGTTGCCGACGTTCATTTTCATATTAACAGCCGTGTCGAATTATATTGGGTATTGTACCAAATGGCATACTCCACCTGTCGTTTTCGTACAATAATTATAAAGAAATCGAAGTAAAACTCCAGAAATTCTGGATTCATGCTTTCTGAGGCCCTAATTGACTGCAGAGGGTCCCCCTGCGCCATCTGTGATTTCCAGGTCAATTAAATTTTCACTCTGAGACCTCGTATTCCCATTGTTTTAGCATAGAAGCGCATACAACACTTTTTTTGCCTTTATCCCGTTCAAATGCGAGTTTATCGATTATCAGAGTGCTCTAAATTGTCGTAAAATTGTCCTGACCCTTTCGATTCTTATATCAGAGCCTTCGATAATTGTATATTGATCGAAATATGAGAGCTCGACGCCATTTTAGTTCTGTTCTGGGCTAAGTTAAAGGATTTTGTCGAAAAATCCAAATTTTGAATGTGTCAGGACAATCCTTAGATGATCAGGAGTGATGTGTCAAAGTTTCGGACAGTTTGGCCTAATACCCTTAAAAAAAAAGTGTTGTATTCGAATCGACTGATTTGAAAGGTGTTTCACTTCACCTTAAGTATTTTCGGTTCGTCATTGTATACTGCGGATATGAGTTCCAAATGAGGACTCATAAGCGACACCCCCGGGACTCGTTTCAGGATTTTTTTATTAGGCCAATTTGATGGGAATTTTTCATCACTTATCTATCTGGGTACATGTTTCTCGCTTCGAATGGTAATCGAAGAAACTATTTTAGGAGTCTTAGGAACACGAGGACGCGCATCCACAAGAACCTCTTCGTCGCCATGGTGGTGCAGGTCGTGATCAGGCTGACCCTCTACATAGACCAGGCATTGTTGCGAACAAAGTCGCACCTTCTGCAGCATGGAATCGAGAACACGGTAAACCAATTCGCGAGATAATCCATTAGGCCGTGTTTTTGGCAACTGGACCGTGAATTAATCTCGAAGCATTTCTGTCGCAGCCCTTCCTGTGCGAGGCCAGCTACGTCCTTCTCGAGTACGCCAGGACGGCCATGTTCATGTGGATGTTCATCGAAGGCCTCTTTTTGCACAACATGGTAACCGGTGAGCAATCTTTCTCCCCACAGATCTACAATTAGCGAATAATTATCCTACAGATGAACTCGAGGTCACGCAATGCGCGGCTCGTACCGCTATTCTATCAACTTTATATTACACTGATCAAATCAATCGAATTTTTCATACGTTTTTACGCACTCCGTAACTTCACATGAAAAAAATTAAAAATGGAAGAATTCCAAATTCGAAGGTGTATAAATACCCCTAACACTGTATATTTACCGTATCGGTGCGGTTTTACTTGAATTTATATAATTTATAATATTACATTATAATTTTGCTATAATTCAACTTAGATGCCGAATGTGATGTTAAAAGAGGCCACGTTATTTTACCGTGATTTAAGGTCGCATCGAAATAACCAATGATTGAGTATGTAAAATTACAGGGGAATTTTTATCAGTGTACTTCACCATTTACAATGTCTCGAATTTCTTTGAAGCGCCCGGAAACGTAGAAAAATTACCGCCTGTTAGTTGATTTTGTTCTCTTGGAAATTAATGTGAAAATTAAATGAGTTAATACGTTGAGCTTTGGATTAAGGGATTGCAATTCAGAGTCGAATGTTTTTCTCAGTCACGGTTTTTCAAGAGACCTCGTACTATCGAATGTACCGACTGGTTGGCTGGGGATATCCTGTAGTGATGACTCTGACTTGGGCCATCGTCACGGCCTTGTACTATCATCCCTCCAAGTAAGTGTAATTAGATAATCTGTACACCGTTTGTAAAGTGTGTAGGGAGGCATATGCGCTACTCTTCGCAACGTGTTATTCTCTGCTGTAGATGCTGGTGGGGTTATAATCTGACCTTTTACTTCTGGATCCTGGAGGGACCAAGAATGGCGGTCATATTGGTAAGATTGAAGAGACAATGTACTTTTTCTGCTCCAGAAATTCTCTATAAAGCGATTTCATACATGCTTTGCAGTTCCTTTATCACAATTTCAGTTTCACTTCTGATTAAGGTGATGTGAAAGTGGCATCGAAGAGGTTTTGTTTATAAAACTTTTCTCCCAATTCGGTTTACCAAATAGTTTGTGAAACTTTACAACGTGAATAGATAGACTATAAGGAAGGTCCTGAAACTCATGAAATTTCAATTCTTTTCAAATTTGTTTATAGGTATTTTGCCGACATTTATTTCCGCAGAAAAGATTTGTTCGAAAGATATGAAACAGTTAAAGTGCCAAAGGAAATGAAAGTGATTCCTGTTGGCTTCTTTTTCAATAGAATCTGAATTTCTTTCCGATCGAAAAACCGTCCGACCGGGTCTTAAATAATATTTTCTAGTTTCTAAAGCCACTTTTACTTTTGTATTCCAGACTTACCGCCTCGACAAATCCGCCATTTTCAATCATTTTAAAACTTTCCTTTTATTTTGAATTCTCGTAAGAACGTCAAAGGAACCACCCCTTAAGCAAATATTTCCTTTGCCTATTCTTGAAGTTGCTTTAATTGAAACGCTTTTAACAAACTACTGACCCCCTTACAATGAGATACAGAGATCCAAGATGGCAACCGAAACATCTCACCGACCATGTTTGTTTCAGCTCAACTTCCTGTTCCTGCTGAACATCATCCGTGTTCTCGTGGTGAAGTTGCGCCAAAGCCACACCAGCGAGATCGAGCAGGTCCGGTGAGTCGTAGGACAGATATACGTATATGCTTTAGATATAAACGCGGCCGCCTCGTGTCGGGGAGAATTTTGAGGTTAAGTGAAGGGCCATCTCTTCTTCCCGCCACGGCGGCCCAATCGATCGACGGTCACAGTCAAGGCTCTCGAGTCGCCGGAATCTCGCGAATTCGCAGAAAGATTAATATCCTGGCGGCTGTTTAATTATCTTATCCTCTTAATTCTTTCCATCCCACAAGTGAGCGGGCCGCAATAAATTACGCCGCTATTTTGGCCCTTCACCCCTGCCCGAAGAGATCATTTTCTAAAAAAGAAAAGAAACTCTTGTGTCCAATACATCTTCACTGGCTGCTATCAACAGGACAAAATGAAATGAAATTACGGAAAATTACAAACATTTCTCAGTTTTCTGAAGCTGAGATCGCATCAATTCCGATTCCTTATCGTTACATTCTTTGGGCATGAACGTGTGTCAGTAAGGAAAGTTGATTCACGTTAATGAGTGAAAGACTTTGAAGGAATTATTAATATTCTTGTAAGGAGCTGGAATTTAGTGGAATTATCAACGTGTCTGATATTTTCTCTCACAGCTTAAATAGTTACCGGTGAACTCGTTCTTGCATCAACTTCGAACCATGTTTCTCTGCCATTAATCATTTTTTCTATTACTATCTAGTACCAACATGTTTGATCTGCATGCAATATTGTATCCAATAAGTAGTACTACTTTTATTAATACTTTTAACACTTCAGATCAATTTTGTACGTGAAATTCATTTCGCAAAGTCATTTCTATTTGATGTTAACTTGATATCATGTGGGTTGCAACTCTGATGATTCTTGTAAAATAAAATTTACCAGAGACAAACAATTTTATTAAAAAACACTTAGATTCCCGCCAGTAATTAATTTCACCTAGAAAGTAAATTTTTCACTTAGGGTACCGATGCTGGCTTACACCGTTAATCAGATTAGAGTAGCCCCGGCTCTCTGGCACTTTTTCGCATTTCTTCTTTCGCTCCCCTTTTTCCCTTTGAGCAAGCTAATTAGGAGACAATTAAGAGTCAATTTAGAGCAGTCACTGCAGTTCGTTTAATGGCCGACACCCAAAGAAACCTGATTCATTTTCATCCTCTTTCATCTTTTCCTAGTTTCCCACTTTTTCTACTCAATGGTATTAAGGTCGCGTGATAGGCGTTATATTTATAGAGCGGTATACAATAATGCATTGCGGAAATCGCAGTATAAGAAGTTCGGAGCGCGTACAAAATGTGAAGGTCCTATTCACGCTATATCAGTAATGATAACTATCCATAGCGTTCTATGACGATTCGTTGTATCGAAATGAGGTTCTTCGTTCGAACGCCGTACGTTATACAATTTTTCTCCTAACTTTTTTTAAAAAAAGCCGTACATGCCACAACGATACTGCTATATCAGTAATGATAACTATCCACCTCGTTATGTGACGATTCGTTGTATCGGAATAGGCTTCTTCGATTGATCGCCGTTCGTTGTAGAATTTTTTTTGTACTATTTTGCAGGAAAGCCGTACGTGCCGCAGTGGTGCTGCTTCCTCTTCTGGGAATCACCAACCTGGTAGCAATGACGGAGGCGCCCCTCGACAAAACCGTCTGGGAATTTGCCCTGTGGTCTTACTCGACGCACTTCCTGACAGCTTTCCAGGGGCTGTTCATAGCTACCCTCTACTGCTTCATGAACGGCGAGGTGAGCCCAAGAAGCCCCGAAGACCTGAATTCATTCCGAAGTTTGCTCTTAAATCTTGCAACGTGAAACATCTTTTTATAATGCTCGAAAGTCCCACAGATTAATCCTGGCTGCAATTTAATAGCAATTTTGGAAACTACAACTATCAGATGAAAGTACCTTATTTGGGCAACTTATGCAATTTACTACCATATACCTAATTTTAATCGGTGCATACACTTCACCTCAAAGAACAGTTACTGATCACAGGACGAATCATTTGGTAGAGATATCATAAGTTTTTGTATTAATTCAACCTTGTGGCCTTTTGTCATGTCACATTAATTTCCTTGTACAATTTTAAATGTGTACAAAATAATGTTTATATCAAATTTGGCTATGAACAAGTTTCATGAGTCATCCAATCATCTCCTTTATTCAGATATCATCACCACACTTTATGATAGTGTTGTCTCAGGTTCTAATCTGGGAAAGAAAAGAATTTTTTTTGGTCCTGTCTATCTTCTGGTCTACATGGTCTGTAATCTGCTGTTGAAGTTTCAAATGATTCGGCGCACTCAGTTTGGAGAAAAGTTTGATAAATATTTTGACGTTTCAATACATAGAGCGACACTTTCATGACGCCTTAATCGTTTCAACATCTCAAGTTGATTGTTGTTAAATTTCGTAAATTTAACAGGTGCGCCTGGCGTTGGATAAGTCCATTTCCGTCCACCTCTCCCTGAGGAGACAAATATTTTGACGTTTTAATACATAGTGTGACACTTCCGTACCATCTCAGTCTTTTCAACATCTCAAGTTGCTTATATTGTTAAATTTCTTAAATTTAACAGACGCGACTGGCGTTGGATAAAACCATTTCCGTCTACCTCTCCCTGAGGAGACAAATATTTTGACGTTTTAATACACAGCGTGAGACTTTCATACCACTTTAGTCTTTTCAACATCTCAAGTTGCTTATGTTGTTAAATTTCGTAAATTTAACAGGTGCGCCTGGCGTTGGATAAGACCATTTCCGTCTACCTCTCCCTGAGGGGTACCGACCTCCAAACGAGAAGGCAATCGGCATTCAGCGATTGTCAGTCGCATCGCATCACTTCAGGTGAGATCCAAACTCCTCAGAAAGAGGAGAGAAAGAAGGAAGAAGAGTAAAATTCGAAAGTAATAGCCTTCTCTACCAGTACTTTCATTGGCGGAAATATAGTAATTTTTAGCAGAGCTCCCTAGGGCTCAACTGGGATGGGAAAGGAAAGGAAAAAGCTGTCTGAAAAGTTTTCCGTCACTTTCCCAAGGTATCCTCTCTCTGAAGCGTCAGCTCGTTAGAAGTGACCCGCCAAGACGGATGGCGAGGACGGAGATATCAGAGTCGGGAAAATGAGGGCACTGGTGGTAGGCGCATGCGCGAAAGTGTTTCGATGCGAGTGTTAACGATAATGGACATCTGAAAAGTCGGTAATGATTCGGGGAGGGTTACACTTCGTTTGTCGAAAAATGGAGTCTTGGGGATTCCTCGAGAGGAGAAATATGATAACAGGTTTAAATCATTTCGATTTAAACAGTGGCTCTTCTTGTATTAATTAATTGAAGTTTTTAAACTAATTTTCCCGTATTACACGAAAGGTTAACAGATTATTAGTTACACCTTCCTCCTCTACATCAGCTGCGTGATGGGAAGAAGGGCTTTATGTTGTTAATTATATTTAATTCGTTAGCACACTTTCATTGATCTTAAACAAGAAGTCTGCGTATTATGCCATTGCTTGCAAATTATTCTTTAAACTGGCTAAAAATAATTAATAAGTGGTCAAATCTTGCCACGCAATCGGATTAAGTAGACGATCGTTAATTATGCGAGTACTTTGATGTTAACAAAAAAAAATGTCCGCGATGGAAAATATCGCAAGTAATCAATTTGCTTTCCGCTTACGCTATCACGACAGTAAATTCTTATGACCCTTGCATTTGACTGATTGTAAAATTGATTTTATGATCCAATGTAGGAATCTAACTACGTCCAAGAGAAAGGATCCCAAATCTTTTCCTCAAGGTCCTTTTCCTTTTACATCGAGATGTTTTCTTTCCAGTTACCGCAGAATGTCCTTTTTGATATAACAATCTGTCCATAAGATAATTCCTAAATTCTTTTTTAAAGGATCGACCACCCGCTGCTTTTATTATTATAATTACAAAGAAAGATTACCGAATTGATCCTGATTCGCCGGATTTTTCGATTCAAATGTTGGAATTTTTCGGGAAACATTTCGGATTCTTTCTCGGAGTGCATTTCATGGTCATTGGATTTCCCGTCCAAAATAGGAGTCTCTCTGAGAGAAGGAAAATCCTAGACGCTTTTTCCTGAAGCCTGTAGATAGCTCTTTCTTTACGGTGTCCAAAGGAAATAGCCATCAGCTGGACCCTCACGATCCACCTTGGATATTCTCGAGCTCTCCCCGAGTTTTCCAATTCAATAAAAGAAATCTCCCGAAATTAAGGAATCCCTTTCAGGATCAATTGACTGCTTCCAATTTTCAGCTATTAAGGTGAAGTGAAACACGTCGCCGAACTTGATCGACATCGTTAAAGAAGATTTTTCTTAATGCAGAGCCTTCGATAATTGTATATTGATCGAAATATGAGAGCTCGACGCCATTTTGATTCTGGTTTGGGCTGAGTTAAACAATTTTTTCCAAAAATCCAAATTTTTAATGTGTCAGGACAATTCTTAGATGATCAGGAGTGATGTGTCAAAGTTTCGGACAGTTTGGTCTAATACCTTTAAAAAAAAGTGTTGTATTCGAATCGACTGATTTGAAGGGGGTTTCACTTCTCCTTAAGAAAAAGAACTATCGGTTGCCTATCTCGAAGTCCTTCAAATGTTTGGATTTAAGTGATAAACTATAATAGAAATGATAATTTATCACGATCTCTTAAAAAAGTGTCCTCAATTCGTTTCTGAGATACATTTAAAGATTCATTGTTCTCCATCCAATGTATTCTATAAAAGAGACGGGAAAATCGTGGACCTTTTTCCCAAGGATAGCAGAAAGGGGAGCTGTCGCATCAAGAAAAAAGATGGTTAGATGCATTTCGTGGTCCGTCCTCGAATTCCCCTTCAATTATCCTCTTCCATCCGCCGGAGGTGTCTCTGGAAGAAAAGGAATCCTGGATCCTTTCTCCAAGGACCAATCGACTGCTCTCGGTTTACAGTGATCGAGGTCGAGGAGGACGAATTGAGACCGAGTGGATGGATCAGACTTTGCTGTCGTGGTGGCAACACACCTCCCCCGGATCGACCTGCCGTGTGAGTAAAGATCGAGGGAAATCATTTCCAGAGAAACGCATGGGGTCCACTTTTAGATAATTGTAGGTTAACTATTAGCGTTTTCAGCTGATTACCCTGAGCTGAACCAGAGTAGAATAGCACTACTAAACGTGTTCGACTGGTCAGTTTAAGGTGAAGTGAAACACGTCGAGGAACTTGATCGACGTCGATAAAGAAGATTTTTCTAAATGCCTACGTTTGTGTTTATATGGACAGCTGTATCGAATTATATTGGATATTGTATAAAATGGCATACTCCACTTGTCGCTTTCGAACAATAAATATCAAGAAATCGAAGTAAAACTCCAGAAATCCTCTGAATTCATGCTTTCTGGGGCCCTAATTGACTGCAGAGGGACATCCTGCGCCATCTGTGATTTCCAGGTCAATTAAATTTTCACTCTGAGACCTCGTATTCCCATCGTTTTAGCATAGAAGCCCGTACAACACTTTTTTTGCCTTTATCCCTTTCAAATGTGAGTTTATCGATTACCAGAGTGTTCTAAATTGTTGTAAAATTGTCCTGACCCTTTCGATTCTCATATCAGAGCCTTCGATAATTGTATATTGATCGAAATATAAGAGCTCGACGCCATTTTCATTCTGGTCTGGGTTAAGTTAAAATATTTTTTTCCAAAAATCCAAAGTTTGAATGTGTCAGGACAATTTTTAGATGATCAGGAGTGATGTGTCAAAGTTTCGGACAGTTTGGTCCAATACCCTTAAAAAAAAAGTGTTGTATTCGAATTGACTGATTTGAAGGGGGTTTCACTTCACCTTAATGATGACATAGCTGATTACCCTGTGTCAGGGTATCATGTTCAATTTGACAGTACCGAATTAACGGTGCGACTACTCTGCACTCGATTCGTTACACTTTTATCACTGTCGCAGAAAGCAAGTGTGATAAAAGTGCAACATGGACAATTACGCGGAACAAAAAAAATAAATGTGCACTTCTAGCAAAGGACGACATTGCTAATAAATTTTTCCTTTCACTGCAAGAAAGATTATATCGACCGTAATAATCTTTGCAATTATATCGAACGTAGATGTAACTATTGAAGAGATTTGTTTAGAAAAAGTGCTTCCTAAATTAGCAAATGAATCTGCAGCAACGGGCAAAAAAATATTGTTATCTACTCGAACAAATGAGCGATGTAGAATTTGTTGCTGCTAGAAAAGAATATAGCAACCATGAAGGGAATTTGTGTTGCCTCGGTAAAGTAATTGGTTTTTGTGCTCTCAATATAAGAAAAATGTTTCAGGGTGAACAGAACCACTGAAACGCACGTTCCAATGTTTTTTCTGATCGGTACTGTCAATTGTCTGAACCGATACGTGTCGGATATGTGAATCCATCTTAACGCAAAGATTTGCAAGTAATCTTGGTTTTTTTAAACTCTTCATACGAAGAAGCAAACGATGAATTAGAAATGTTTACGATCATTAATGAAAACAGTCCTGTCATTCACATGAAATTTCAAGCCGTTCATTTTCTTTTTTGTTTTTGGCAAATATATATTTTTTTAAATTTGCGCGTTCGACCGGTGCAGTTGTACTGCCATGGAGTACCGAGCTATATAAAAAGTGTACACTAAGTGTAAGTGGACACTAAAACCGTATTGCTGTATATGCGCACTATCCTCGTGTAATATTAATCTAAGAAAGTGTAGCTCAGCTGAAAACGCTATTTGTTGAGCCTATTTCTTGGTCTAGACTTCCCAGTTCCTGATTACCCGTGAATTTTTCTCGAAAATCTGTACCTAAATTCCCGTAATTTTTGGATAAACTTGTCTGTTTTTTTTTAAGGCGTAGAATCATTCTTGATCTTTCTAAGACTGTTCACGGATCAATAATTGACCTTCTTTCTTCATCGGTTTGTTCTAAGATGTCTCGAGTCCATGTCGCAGCTTACCCGAGTTTCCGATCCACTTTGTCACACGCAGTGAGTCTTGCAAGCAAAGGAAATCTTCCATTTCTCATTTTTTTTTTTCCTTTTTTTTCTTCACGCTTACTAGTTCACTTTGCAACGAAATGCCCTGAAACCCATTCACGCTGATACGATTCGTCTATGTTTATAGTGCAAGTAATAAAGATCTATAGGCTTTTAGATGCTAGTATTATAATTGCAATTTCCGTCCAACTTGCACAAAGCTTCGTAGTGATAGCTAGTAACATTAGTTAGAATTAATTGAGTACGCATTATTATCTGGATTGCTATACCGCGATAGAGCAAATGCACATTTATTGGCAGGTTCGTTGGAATGCTATTTACCGTATGTCCGAAATATCTATTTTCCTTTTACGAGGGTCTGACCAATTTTTGAGACGCAAAATCATATCTACTTGATATAAACTTGTCATTGTTTGAATTATAATAGTGATGGTTCATACCAAATATTTTGTTTGAGTCAATAAAATTGGATGGACACAAACAATGAATCTCGCCTAAAGAGCGGGTTAGCGTAGGTCAGCGTGGAGCCAAAAAAGTTGAATCTGTGATCGAAGGAAATAAATATGGCTGATCTATAATTCGATTTTCTACATGCCCTGGTACTGTTAATTGTCGCAAGTGGTGTAATCGAGGTCTGCCCGATTGATTGTCCTTTCAATTGTGACTTCAGAACGACGGTCTGACCGCAGTGTTAACAGCGAGCAGTCCGCCGAGAGGACGGGACAACGCTGAGTGACTCGAGTCGTAGAAGACCTCCGAGTAAACTCGATCAACTCCGGGATAACAGCTTGGATTAATTGCGGGGCCCTGCAACGAGCATTTGCGAGTACCCGAGACTGGATGAAGTAGGAGCGAGATGCCTAGAAAAAATTCCCGAAGTTACGGGGAAGACTCCGAGGTCTAAGAAGGTTCCAACGTCGCCTGATATCATGACACAGGTGACCGGCCCTGAATTTTCCGAACAGATATATTTGTGCCGTTGAGGTAAACGGTCTTAAGGGGACGTCAAAGTGGTATCTGAAGGATCAATCGTTCATGAAACCTTTCTCCGAAGTTGGGGTATCGAATCGTTTTGAACTTTACACTATGAACATGTAGGCTGCAAAAAAGGTTCCGACGCCCATGAAATTTCAATTTTGATAAAAAATGTTAATAATGTCTATAAACGAGTTATTTAAAAAATTGCTATTTCGTGAGTTCCAGGACCTTTCTTATACTCTCCATGTTCACGTTGTGAGGTTTTAAACGATTTGTATCACCCAGTTCGGAGAAAAGTTTCATGATTCCGCGATTGATTCCTCGGATGCTACTTTCACATCCCCTTAAGACTATTTGCCTGTATGGTACGGATATGCGATACGTGCACTCTTTTGCAGTAGGGAACGACCTGCGTGCATGCTTCCCCGATGGTCACAGATCGGTATAAATAGACATTGCTGAAGAGGCCGAGTACTCGTTTCGAGCAATAGGTACAGTATACGGGGCAGTCTCATGAAAGATCCAAAATCGGTGGAACTTAATTGAAGAAGCAGAGCTGGACTTCAATTTCGACCATCACGAAACGCATTTATATCAGTAGAGTAGATCCATTAATCATGACTTTATGAAGAAAGGGATATCATGTATAGCGGTATGAGTAATGTTCAAGAAGAAACGGGTGGTTTCTTTCTTTGCTAATCTTTTCGCCTGTTTTAAGGTGATATGAAAGTGGCATCTCTTAAAAGAGCTCAATCGTTTGTGTAACTTTTCTTCGAATTGGGTGTACCGAATTGTTTGAAATTTTACCAAATTAATATGGAGGTCCTAAGGAAGGTCCTGACACATGAAATTTAATTTTTCTCCTCATGAAATGGGCCTTTCAGCAACTTTGTTCCACCAATTATGGATCTATCTCATCCTGTATATGTGTTGAAACACTAGAACAGTGGTTCTTAATCCGTTTTCCGTAAATTTTTCTTATAATCAAAAGTGCTCCGTGACTTTAAAAAGATTAAAAACCACTGCACTAGGGAGATATGTAATATTTTAACATGGAATGTAGAAATTATATTTGTGTACGGATTGATGTATATTTGTTCAGTAAGGGAAAATAATTGTTTAGGGATACTGAGTATTGGCAATTATCTAAATGCAGATAATTCGTATTAAGAAACAACAGATCGGAGAAAATTGCTGGTAACATGTATGTTTGAGTGGAATTTTTTCTTGTTTGTTATTCATGATGTCGAATGCACTGTTCAGTGTCTTTTTGTATGAAATGAATTATCTGAAAATAAGAGATAAGAAACGCGAAAACATATCGAAAGGGGTTTTAATATGTGAGGAATTTATGTACATACGTGTGAGAACTTCTGGCCATGTTAGATAGATCCTAAAAGTCAGGAGGATTTTAAGGATTTATCTGATGCCGAATGCTTTACTATAATGTTGAACGCGATAGATAATTAATTCGTTTCTTTGTACCAATCTGTGTCCATTGAGTCGTTTCGAGAGATAAGAGAACGAAAGAGGGACGCGCACCTCCTTATTTTTATACGAACTTTTATACCGACACTATATCGTACTATTTTTAGAATTCTCCTCGGCTTACAATTAGTTTTGATTTAGGTTCGCGTAGAGTCCTAAAAGAGTTTGCACGTAAGTAAAATTCGGGATAAGAAATCCGTTCTCTTAATCCCTCTCTCCTGTTTCTTATCCATCCATATATTTTCCCTCCAAAGAGGAAGAAAACCTGGTTTCATTTCTTTTCTGTCCAGTTCAATATCTCGCAAAACATTTCTTATTTACCTCATTGGATCATTAAGGTGACGTGAAAGTGGCATCGAAGAGGTTTTGTTTATAAAACTTTTCTCCCAACTCGGTTTACCGAATAGTTTGAAACTTTACAAAATGAATAGGGAGCCTATAAGGAAGGTCCTGAAACTCATGAAATTTTAATTCTTTTCAAATTTGCTTATAGGTATTTTAAAAATTGTTTATAAAAAATGAAATTTCGCGAGTTTCAGGACCTACCTTAGGTCTCCATATTCACGTTTTAAAGTATGTAACGATTCGAGACACCCAGTTCGTAGAAAAGTTTTATGAACGATTGAGCTTTCGAATGCCACTTTCACATCCCCTTAAGTATGGAAATTTCATTTACAATTTACTACGGTATCAGTTACACCCGTCTATGACCTGATCTCTCACAATTGTCAGAGGAAAAGAGTATTACGTATGTGATAAGTATTTCGTCGGCTGTGCGAGAATATTACCGATAAGAGGATATAGCGAAGGTAGGAAAGAGATGATACTGTGACGACCAGATAACGATAACATTATTTATTAACACTTAGGTCCTTTGCGGATCTCTCCTTTCTCGCAGATCCAACCAAGCGAGATCGACTGAAAGCTCCGCGAAGTTTAGAAGTGCAAAGCTCGGAATTGATGTCGCTCGATGATCTCGAATGACGAATCGATATTTTGTTAAGAAAATTACGAAATAGAAGGAAACGAGAGAGGATAGGAAGGACAAAAAGACAATGCAAAACGCGATGCCAATATGCATACCGTGGATGGCCTATACTCCTGTTAAAATGTTGTGCTAGTCGAATTTTTATAAGTGTACTGTTTCGATAAATGAAAATCCTCGCATCGACGAAATCGCCTAATCGATGAGGGTTTTCGAAAAGATCTAAAAATAAGGAATAAACATCTATCGGGTTTCAAATCATCTTTTTTTCTTCATATCCAAAATTTAACCATTTATGTGGCACATTTCTTTCTACATTGTATATGTATTAATATGTATGAAATATTCCGGGCTCTAATGAAACAACAATCCGAGTGTGGGTTTGTGTTTAAATTTGTTATTTAAAGGGCAGGCTTTGCTACACTCGTGAACATACTTCACGTTTGTTGTCCCAAATAATTTATCAGTATTTGAAATTAAATGTTAATACAAATCGGAAACTCATCTTTCTTTAAGTCGCGATTGATTATCGTTTTTCGTTGATGGCGAGGATGTCCAAATTCAGAATGAAAGTTCGCGCTATGAAAATACGCGCTGGCGACGTTTCCTCGCCCTTAAACGGAGAAAAATGTATTGCAAAACCTTTAAGAAAAATATGTATATGTACATATACGATCGCTGTAAGAAATTATTTTCGATTTTCTGAAAGATGGAATTTAATTACACTGCCTTTAATTGCTTTTAACGGCTCGTCGTGAAAACGTTACACTTAAAGCACTCCACTTATTCTATATTGCATTATTTTTCGCATAACTTTCCCTAGTAGCACAAAATATTTGTCCCATATTTTCTATATATTTAACGAATATCGTACATTTTGTAAATATTTAGCAGACATTTGAAGTATTTGCAAAACGTTTACTTTAGAATATTATCCCTATAATATTTAACCTACAAGAAATCTTAGAAAATCTGTCGCTTGAGATATTTAGCAAAGATTACAAAGAAATATTTAGAAATTATTCTATGCTACTAGGGTTAGTTTCACGTAGGATAAAATATCTACATTTTTGCCACGAGTGTCACTAAAATCTCTAATGACTTTTGGTTATCTTGTCAGTACGTCAAAAAGCGTTAACAAAGTATTAAACATTTCAGTTACTTTGCAGCAATGGCAATATCATTTTTCTCCGTATACCAGGCAATGATATTTATCTCACGAGTGTCTTAAAATATGAACAATGCCAGTGTAGTCGAAATGAGAAACTAAATGTCGCTTCCGAGTCGTTATCTGGCCTTGTGCGAGTAATATTGTTGCCAAAATTGGGCCCATTTTGGAGTCAGTGTACGTCGGTTCGTGTCAATTACTTGGAAACTAGGCCTTAGATGTAAGCAACGTGAGCCCCGTTTGATACGCCAGAAAATGAATTAGTTGTCTTATTAAAAGGGAAACGCATTGACGGAGGATGTATGGAACTCGCAAACTGGTCTGAAGGTAACATAAATGAAAGAGAGAGAAAAAGGGGGAGTTTTCTCGCTTTTTCTCTTCCCTTTTACGTGAAAAAGTTGCGTGGCGCGATACAATAATAGGCTATATAAGAACAAGAAAAAGGGAGAGAAAGAATAACTCCTCTTCTCGCTGTCTTTTTCTTTTGCCGCATTGACAAAAATCTCAAAGTTCTTGGGTTTGCGAAATCTGTATATCTTTCGTACATCCATGAGAAAACATGACAACTCAACGGACATGTATTTCAATCTTCGACCGAATTTTCCCAGTCGATTCGAAGACGTGTAAAAATGCCTTGGCATTTTATAAGAGGCGAGAAACGTATAATTGTTGAATTACGCGAATTAAAGGATAAGTTAAAGTGCGTCTTACAATTAGTCAAGGGGGAAATGTCATTTGGCAATTTCTCCCCTTTCTTTTCGTAGCACTCGATGGCTCATTCATATGTCGTGCAATGAAAAATTCCATGTACCTGTAAATAGACGCATTGTTATCAGGGTATGATATCGTACCGAGGACTTGCGATGTGTATGTGCATTAGAGTCCTGTATGAGAAATAAAGGTGTTTCGAAACCTACGTTATTTCAAATCACGTGTGTTAATATTAAGAAATGTTGCTCAGTTTTGTTAAACATAACGTAACGACTTCATTGATATTATGTTCGTATTGGATGGGATCATTTGCTACGAATTTGGGATTCTAGTCATTTTATTTTATTATTTTGTACTTATATTCTGTAGCAAAACTAATTATTTCATTTTCATTTAAATATCCGTTCTTTTATTTTTGCTTATATTCAACAACAAAACTGAAGCTTTTGCCATAAAACATTAATATAGTATACGAAATTAAAATCCATTTACCATTTGCATTCGAGTTTACTTTTGATAATTGTGTGTGTGTTGGATTTGATTTATTCACGTATGAAAGTAGAGTGAAGTACACGGGATATATTTTCCCTTCCATTAAAAGTAGAAACAATGTCGGAATATTGGATTACCACAAAACGAGGTCTATCTTTATTTAATATTGCAGCACTGCGAAGAAAGCATTATCTACAAACTCATCGAAACAGGAACATGATTTTCTAAATAATCCTTATAATTATTTAGTAGTATGCGTTTCTAATAAGTGAGTTCCTTTATAAACTAAAAAATATATTACATCATCTGGAAGAATAATATTAAAGGTAACATCAATTGTAGTCAATTCAACCCTTTTGGAAAGGATCATAAGCCGTTCGTTGGAAAAATAATCCGATTAATAATACATATAACAAAAATAGTACAAGAAATCGTGACTATTTGATGATGGAAATTACAACGGCATTTTTTCGGCGTGTGTTAACATATTTATTGTATCGTAAATGAAAACATTTGAAAATCCTTATTGCTCGCTTTTCAATTTTAATTCATCATTAATCAATTTCGAATAACTGACCTTGTTCAATTAATGCAATATTTGCAAATGGCACTTACACAAGTAAAGTAACGTAAATTCTATGAAGGACGGATTCAACCTTCTCCTAACATCTTGAAGGCGAACTAATTGTCCCGCACGCTTTGTACAATTTATTACTCAGAAGGCAGGATTATTAATTATTGTTACCTGCACCCGATAATTAAACTATCACAGACTCGATTGAAAGTATCGATCGCAGGATGGTGTGATAAAATCAAGCATCTCAAACTCTCACAAAACACGGTGTTTCGAAAAGGTGCAAAATGGAAAAATTCTATGCTAATCAAGACCGAAGTCTTTCAGTCATCATTGGTCGCCTTGGTTACCGCGAATATCGTCCAAGATTAATAATTTAAATTTCTGAAATTTTCTGCCCAATAACCTTTACCAATATTATCCATTCTTCATTTGCACTCTTTAATAACGTAACATAATTTGCAATTTCATTGCCGCTGACTTAGACTTCAATATACAATTAATTATATATCTTGGAAACGGTAAAAAATTAACCTACAGAACATACAGAGAGGAAAAATTAAATTGTTAATATCGCTACCGCGGTAACAAAGACCTTCATGACACATTAGTCACAATTTTCTTATTACATATATATGTATTTGATAATTTACCGAAATTCGTCATAAAAACTCCTTTCGGTGTTCATCGTTTTACCGTTCGTTTCTAAACCTATTATTTAATAAAGAGGAAATTGTACTTTCTCCCCGGAAAAAGTACATCCCTCCAATCTTTTATCGCCCTAGTTCTTATTTAACAGTATATGATTTAGTATATCATCGCTGTCTAAACAATGAAAAAGTCAATGTACAATTAGGAACGTCTCTTAGAAACACAATACAAAAATAATCCCTACGAATACTCTTCTCTCGCTCCGAAATGTTAAATAAATTACTGAACTTGCCAACGGATTATCGAGGTCTTCCGTTGTACTTTACGCGACATGTGTATGTAATTGATAATTTATCAAAATTCGTCGTGAAAACTCTTTTCGGTATCTATCATTTTACTGCCCAGAAAAAGTTCCATCTTGCTCAAGACTTCCGGCAAGCTGAGTCTTCCGTCGTGATTGGTGTCCGATAAATCGATTAAATATTGAGCCTCCTGTATTGCGTGTCTCGGATTTCGGGGATCGATGTACATCTGCATGGTTGAATTAGATATATAAAATATAAATATCGAAGGAAACGGTAAATACAAAAAGAATTGTTAAGAAACTAGATCTTACCAGAAGCTCGGTGCGGTCGGCTTTGCCGTCTTTGTTCTTGTCAATGAGATGTCTAAATTCCTTTCTACGTTCCTCAGATCCTGGCACTGGTCGATTTCTGTCTTCTGCCAATTCTAGTCCCACTCCTTCGGAAGGCAAACTCGAAAACTCATCCTCTGTTAATTGCTCATCTCCATCTCGATCTGCGATGAAAGAAAATCACATTAATTACGAAGGATGTTATTACGAGAATTCACTTATTGTTAGTAAAACCTTAATCCATTCAAAAGAATAAAAGGATAACACATATTTCTGTAAATACCTACTCTATGCAAGTTTTCTTAATATTCCACTTTTTCATTTTTATAATAAAGTTTAGGCAAACGTGAAAAGAAAATTCCAAATGCAGTACGTGTCTTCACATAACACGACATTTGTGTCTCCTGAACCCCTACATAAAAAGCAGTTAAGAAACGTTGTGACAATTTAGTATTATGCACTTTGTTCTTTAAGATCACTGCACGTGCTATAATAAACATTATGTGAATACCGCATTGTATGAGTCTTCGATCGTCGTTTAAAAAAACGTAAATTTCCTGTGGAACTACGTTTAGAGTAAAGAGACACTGTCTCATCTCTTAATCTCCTCTCTCTAATTGAAATCATGGCAATACTGAAAAAGTATGTCTAATTTTTATGCGGATAAAGTGCACGCAAAATTTGTTACGCCACCAATGACAACACGGATAAACCACTTATTATCTAATTTAGTCATTTGAGCGGGCTTAAGGGGATGTGAAAGTGGCATCAGAAGTCACAATTGTTCATGAAACTTTTCTCCAAACTGGATGTGCTGAATCGTTTCAATGTTTGCAACGTTAGTGTGTAAGCTACAAGGAAGGTCCTTACCCTCATGGATTTTCATGTTTTATAACAAATTAAAGAAATATCTATGAACAAATTATAAAAAAAGAATTGAAATTTCATGAGTTTCAGGACTTTCTTTATACTTCACGTATTTATATTGTAAAGTTTTAATCGATTCGGTACACCTAGTTTGGAGAAAAGTTTCATGAATGAGAACTCTTTGACGCCACTTTCATATCACCTTAATAGATAATGCTGATTTCAAATGACAGCTGATTTGTTATTCCTAAGAAAGCGAAAAGGTTCTTGCCGAACTTCTCGAAGAGCTCCTCGACGATCTGTAACAATGCTCGATGACTGCTTTCAGGATGAGTAAAGGCGAGGAATTCATCCAGAGCCAATCTTTCTGGATCCGTTCTGGCAGCTTCCGCCCATCTTGCTCTATCTCTCATGATTGTTTCCTTCAAGGACCTCGATAATGCTCCGTGCCTTTTGTCGTGCGAGGCTATGTACTTGTCGGAGAGGCCATGAGACCTTAAAAAATGAGCATGGTACTCGTCCCACGAGACTTCACCTGCGGACATGTCATTAATCCATTTTTCATTTTATTTTATTATTCTTATTTAATTATCCTAGACTGAATTGTGAGAGAAGATATTAATTTATTCCATTTCTTCGAAATTTATTTCAGACGGAATAAAAGAGAAGGATATATGTGATAATGAAAATTAAACGAGTACCGTTTTCTAACGCAAATTATTGGTTTCAGGTGAATCATGTATTCAGGTAATTAACTTCTGTTATAATAATTACTTGAGGAATCGGTGAATTCACAGAGATCATTTCGTGTTGCTTATTATCAGTGCCAAAGATAACGCGGATTAACTGGAAGGAATTAAAATCGACCAATGAAGTTTAGTGTATTATTTCACAAGTAGTTAATTCATATTTAATACCGACTGGCTTAAGTAGATACAATAGACGTATGAATGTAGCGTTTTTTTTTTAATCGGGATGCACTGTGACGGTAATGATTACTTTCTTACCCATCCAGAGATTACGTAAACGTAATTAAACATTGCGATAAATATCTCGCACCAATAATCGAGTCTTCGAGTATCCCAAGAATTATGCAAAAGAATGTTTCCCGTACGAACCGCATAATTTACATACAATTAACTGAAATTAAAATTTGCCGTGTTTTCCAAGAACTAGGAAGGAATTATAATGCACTGTCTCTGGAGTAGTTATCAATCGCGGTAAAGGGTATAATGTTCTACTATGTCACATAGTTGTAGAAAATAATGAGATACAATTTACCATTTTTAGGATCATTGTCGATCGCCATGAGCAATGCAGTGTCTTACCGAATTGATACAAAGTGAAAACATAATTTACCATTTCGAGGATCATTGTCGATCGCGGTGAACAATCCAATATTATCCCTCATCGCCTTGTTGATATGTTCGGTGATTTTGCCGTGGATCCATTTGGCAAGTTCCTGGATGTCCAAAAGTTGATTCCCGTTTGCATCGGCCCTCCAGAAGATGTCCTCGAGGAGGCTCCTCGGATTATTATCCTCGTTTTCGATCCCGTCGACCCCGCGAATCGCCTCCGCACCTCTCCGATTAATCATGACAACTTCGCCATAATCCTGCCGGATTTCTATTTTCTCAGTCACGGTGATTCCGTCCACATCAAAGGAGAGATTCTCCACCACGGGCGATTCGTCCTTCGGAAGCGAGGATGCACTCTTCAAAGGTAAGGTCCTTTTGTATTTGATTAGAAAAAGCGAGAGATAGATCACCAGTGGAACGAGGATTATCCAGCGAAGAAGTCGGATGGTGACGAAGTGCAGTCTGAAGATCATCTTTCATCTGGACAAAATAATCCTTCCGAAATTAAAATGGTTCTGCTGTAACCCATCTACCGCGCAATGAGGAAAAAAGTAACCATTGAACCAAAGAGATATTACTTTGGATAGTACCAAAGAAATATTTCGTTAATAACAAGAATTTCATTCAAATAAATTCTCGTAATTCCGAATAAATTTTGCATTCAATTTATTCGAGTCTATTTGAGCCAAAGTAATTATTCTTTAATTAAGAATAAATTTCTCTGGTACTATTCGAGGAAATATTTCTTTGGTTCAGTGACATTCACAGGGTGGAATATTCTTTATGACGTTTAATATAATTCCATACGAAAGTTTTGCAGGAGATTGTCCGAAATATTGAGGTATGCACAGCAGATCGGAGTAATTGTTTATCCTAGGAAATTGTAGTTTTTAAAAGTATGAGACTTTTCAGAAATCCCTACAATTGTTAAGTGCCAGTATGCGACGCCATTTTTTAAAGGTAAATTGAAACGAGGAATTCACAAGTCTATCGGAGTAATTTCAATTCGACGTCGCCTCTCCGGCCAACAAATTTCCTCCTGGTCTAAATATTCATTTATGCATGTTTAAAACAATTTCTTGTAGATTAAGCTCTCTCGTTGGTCCAGCCAGCTGAATTTTCAAGAAAATCGGCCAATGTAATTTCCCGAACATCAAACCGACTAGGATATCACGCTTAGAATAAAATGTTCACCTGCAAAAGTTCGAACCTTAAATGAAACATAAATTGGCAAATGAAAAGAATCCCACTCTGTCAACGACTATTTTTTATTCCTCCTTTGTGCTCCGCAACTATTGACATAAAATGATTAACAAATACCTGCTTTCTACTTTTCTCGGAGTGTCACATCACCGCTTTTATCTTGTCCAAAATTGCAGGGACTTATACAAATTATTCGCCATCTTGTTATAGGAAGCATAATTAATTAACGTTAATTATCGTCGTTGAAGTTGGCTCATTTTGGTCCCGAAATTCGTCTCCTCGTGTCCGTCCCCCTTGGTCACTTCAAACAGCTCAGAGTAAGTGGGCTGTACATTTTGGGAATGATAACTTCACTATTTATGGAAAATACTATAATTTCAGGTGGAGTTTCGAGAGACGCTGCGTCGTCGACCGACAGCCGCAAGTGCAACTGGAGAGCCAACAGACACCGAGTATCGATCCACTTTCACTGAGCCCTACTCTCTCCACGGTGGAGTTATCACGAAGATACTCTATCCATAGAAAATCCTGTTCTATGGGAAATCATGCTATTGGAAAGAAATACATAAAAAAGGGGATGTAAGTATCGATTATGCACCTAAGAACAATTTAACAATGCTTACATTGGTTACATGGCTCGTCCTTATAATGATTCCCTTCGTGACTTTGTGCAGTTATTTGAAATTGATAAGAGATCTATAAAAATGGGTACTCGACGTCGGTGGAATATTTAACGATAAAATTAAAATTTGTCTCTTTATCAACTGATTTTATAGTATTTTGGAGTTAATTGAAAATGATAAGAGACAAAAGACTATGATTGTGAGGAAAGAAGATAGGATACTTTTAACCCTTTGACCTATAACCACGAGTCTGACTCGTGGCAAAAACACGCAATGGGCATATATCGTATAGGCCAAGGGGTTAAAACATCGAATAAAACATGAACAGCGTTGAAAGACCTTCGTGTAATTATTTACAACTGATAAATAAAATGTAATGCCACGAGGAAAGGAGGATGTAGGTACTATTGAAACACCGAGTAAAAATTTAACGAAGTCAAAATTTACTACCCGGCTTCACTCTACGTCAGCTAGTTTTCCATTTTCTTGCAACAATATGTACAACTTTGATCCTAATGCTTAAATCTAGCAGTTTTAAAGACAATTATTCGTGCTTTCAAGAACAAAGCGATTTAAGAGCAGTCCTTCTCTATGTTATTAAAACTCCAACTCGAGTACTCGTTAACAGTGAAAAGATTCTTAAGACCCTAAAATACATGCCGTTTGCGCGTTGAACTACGATATATCGCAAAAGTACAAAAATTAATATGCAAGTGATCATGTGATCAGAACTCTGCACCGCCGGCAGTGCAAAATTGCATATATTATTCAGAATGCGACACGACGTAACGAGATAATATTAAAAATCGCCACTGTACTTCAGTTTTCAGATGACGCGGATAAAACAATAACTTTGTAACAAATTATTCATATATGGCTAAATGACAAATCATGTAGAATTATTGCATTTGAAATAAGAATTAAAATGGAACATCGCACCGCATCCTGAACAGTGCGTAATGTAATGACGCAGTTATTACAATCGTATTATGTGTAAGTACTCCTAACAATTGTCCATTTCGTTCGATATCTTCAAAAATGACTATCTAACAAGAAAAAGACGACTCCGTTAAGCGATCATACAGTTTCCAATAAATGAATTCGCACTGCATTCCACTTAATAACAATTATTTATCAGTCCATGTTACATGAATGTGAGGGACACGCATTAAAAGAAACCTTAATTTAACGTTAAACTCATTTCCGACGACCCTTAAAAATAATACTTTCTCATATCGCGCTAAAGATTCAAAATTAAAACTAGGCATTAAAAATGGTATAAATAATCGCTCGTGACTTGGATGACGTACGTGTGCACAAATCGATCCTGAGATTAATCTACATTGTACAAAATCGAAAATCGAGTTAATCTCATGAAGAGCGTTGACAAGTTTCTTTTTAAAAGGCTCTTTAGACTTAAGGACGGCCCCCGTTCATTTTTCAAGATTATAAAAGTGAACCAGCACTCTGAAAACCTTTGAAAGTTCATCCCTCGACTACATTTCCTTTCGTTTAGTTCAAGTTTACATTGCATAACACTGATCGGTAATTGTTACCGTTTGTGCACTTCAACATTTTCTCCCTTAAAGTGCACTTGGTTCGGCTAACTTCTATCAGCAATTTTTACAAGTTCGCGTTCTTCTATCGAAGAGCAGTTTCTACTGCTCCAATGGTAATACTGAGAAATATCGGCTTTTCATCGCCCAACATCCAAATCAGATTTCTTTTTTCTTTCCTTGTTCATAGCCGGTTTGTATGACTATGCAATTGCTGTTTTGTACATCTTCTGGGAAAAGCAATTTTAATTACTTCAAGACTGACGCTTTATCACCAGGACTCTTCGTTATCAAGTTCGAAGGTGAGACTCGCATTTCGTTGTCTAATTGAAGTCTGATATAAAACAAGCAATTTTAACGACGTCTTAGTTATTTCAAGGGTGACAATTAGTGATCTGGGCTTATCACCATGCATCTCCAAGGCCAGATTCGCGATATCAATATCGGCTTTTCATCGCCCAACGTCGAAATCAGATTTTTTTTTTTCTTCAGTTGTTCATTGCTGATTTGTATGACTATGCAATTGCTGTTTTGTACATCTTCTGGGAAAAGCAATTTTAATTACTTCATGACTGACGCTTTATCACCAGGACTCTTCGTCATCAAGTTCGAAGGTGAGACTCGCATTTCGTTGTCTAATTGAAGTCTGACATAAGACAAGCGATCTTAACGAGGAGTTGTCTTGGTTATTTCAAGGGTGACGGTTGGTGATCTGGGCTTTTCGTCGTCCATCTCCAACGCCAGATTCGCGATGCCCTGGACGTTTCTGTTTTGGGGCTTCTTGTGGATTCTGATAAGGGATCTGATCGGAGGACTTAAAAGATCGTGATTCAGCTCAGCAGGATCCTGAAGACCGGTAATTAGACTGACCAGGTACCCCACCGATATCGTCACTAAACATCCAATGACGCTGTACCAAAGGTAGCTCACCTGATTGAAAAAAGACGTAAAATCAGTTATTCAGAATTTTCTCAAATCGGTCAATGTCAACTCTTCTTTACATAACTCTTATACAGAGTAATCCACAACTCATCATCCACCTTGTATATGTACATTTCTCATACAAAACCGAATAAAAAAAGTCGTACTGGAAAATGTTGTACGATCAATGATGTACTTCACATGAAATCAACTTCTATAAATAACTGTACGAGATTTAAGACTCCCTTTCGTTGAATGAAAATATCTCTGACAGAAGTACGAAGTAAAAGGAGGAAAAATAATTCTTACCTTGTATATGAAAAATACTTCTGTATCTTGAGCATCGTGGAACTGGTCCTCCAAGAACGTGGTGGAATTCAAACAAGTACACCCATCGATGGAAATGGGCTTGCTCTCTAGATGAATTTGCCCATTGAACACAGCCACTTGGGCACCTAAACCTATCCAAAGAACCAGAGCTAACCCAACAACGGCTCCTGAAATGGCGCCTTTGGCATTGGCCCAAGGTACGAACATGCCCAAAGAAAAGAGACCCAAAGTCACTCCACCGACCATGCCGTTGAACGAAAGGGCAACCTTGAAGAACAAGAAATTCATGTAATCGCCTATAACACGCTTCTAGACTTTTATTTATATATCTAAATTGTAGGTTTTAGAATTAAGATCCAGCTGCATAGTTTTCGTAATACCTCAAGAACGCTGCCTAATCTTTCGACGATAAAGACCAAGACGAAGCTGAAAGCCCCGAAGAAGACGCTGATCCACTTCGCGTAAAAGGCACCTCGTCTGGCAGGCAGTTCAACTCCCAAAAGACCCTGAAGAACATCTTCGCAAGTGATAGCAGCCAAAGAGTTCAGAGCACTGGCAACTGTCCTGCAAATACCATGAGATCCTTGTAAAATAAGAATTCATAATCTGAACTTTATGATTAATGAAAATTTTCAACGGTGCAATTACTATATTGGTGCTTTCTTCCGAATGAAGCGAGTTTCGTTATTTTTTTTTTTTGCACGAAGTGGAAATGAAATTGGGAACCAACCCGAGGGAAGCTGCAAAGATTCCGGCCACGAAGAATCCAGGGACTCCTTTTAATTGGCCCATGAAGTTCATCACGTACAACGGCAACAATTGATCTTGAGCCGTGATCTGGTGAGCCTTAAGAGGATCGCAATCCTTGTAAACGCTGTATAGCACCATGCCAGTCAGAAAATTGACTGTATAAATCAGGATCAGGCCGAGCGATGACACCCAAAGGGCTCTGCAACAAAAGGTTTGCTTTCATATAGAAAGGGAATAACGGACTAAATACTCGTAATTTGTTTCCTTTGTAATCAAAATTGAATGATTTTAAATGAGCCCTCGTTTTTCACCATCATTGAATAATATATCAAGTATACATCAATTTCGGTCTATTTTTTGAGACGAATTAAAGATAAGGAGTTTTGAAATGATTCAGAAAGGTGGACTTGTAGAGGCAGAAAATTTCCTTTCCCGATTTAGAATCATGATTCCAGGAGAACGGCAAGTCCGGGATAAAAGGTTAAGGTGATTTTAGAAACTAGGGACGATTATTTAAGAACTGATGACATGGATTTTTGGCGAAAATTTTTGTCCAAGATGTCAATGATTCAAGGGCAATAATCAATGAACAAGTGATATCTAATGGTATTTTTTCTTTTTACCAGTATCTGAACTTCCTCTTCGCTGAAAAACCATGTCATCAGTTCTTAAATAATATTTCCTAATTTTTAGAACTACCTTATCTTTTTGTTTCAGACTTGCCATTCGTCTGAAATCATGTATCTAAATCATGAAAAGAAATCAGAAACTTTCATCCTCCGCAAGTCCACCATTTTTAGTCATTTTAAAACATCATTTTATCTGAAACTCTCCTCAAAACTTGAAATAAAAAAACACCGTCAGTAAACATTTCTTATACATTTTCATTCTCTTGTAAACTCACTCTGACCAAAACCCATTTTTCAAAACCTACTAGCCCCCTTAAATTCAACCTTTATCACTCCAAGAATATAAAAAGAGTATTAGAAGTTGACAGCATTACTACCGGTTGAGTGATAAGGGTTAATATCTCTGGTTTCCCTGATTATTGTAATAATTTCGTTTACTTTTTCAACATTAAATCGAAACTCTGCTTACTTTCTTGCTTGACCAATGGTCTCCACACTTAGGTACTTCTGGACGGAAGCCTGATTGCTGCAGAACATTGTGGCCCAGTAAAAAGTACCACCGATGACGACGCTCCAAAAGCTATGGCGAACCGTCAGCGAGGGATTCAGATTAAAAAACTCCATTCTTCCAGATTGAGCACTTTCGTGCCAGACGAGAGAAAAACCACCAGCCCAGGACACGCCGTATCCCAGAATCAAGAAAAGGGACCCCAAGAGAACGGCGGCTTGGAACGTGTCCGTCATTATGACGGCCTTCATCCCACCCTGAAAAATTCGTCGTCATTTTTAGTCAAATTCAATCGAATGTGTCCGTCATTATGACGGCCTTTATCCCACCCTGAAAAATTCTTCATCATTTTTAGTCAAATTCAATCGAATGTGTCCGTCATTATGACGGCCTTCATCCCACCCTGAAAAATTCGTTGTCATTTTTAGTCAAATTCAACCAAATGTGTCCGTCATTATGACGGCCTTTATCCCACCCTGAAAAATTCGTCGCCATTTTTAGTCAAATTCAACGTCGAGCGCCTTTAGGTGCTCTTAATAGCCATAGGGTTAATGCAGTGATCCAATTTTGGAGGCGACATAATTTAGATAACAACCCCTACCGTTAATAACAAGGTGACGAGAAAATAAAAGAACAAACGTAATAATGGAAGGAGAACCGAAAGACACTCACCTGAGAAGCATAAAAAATGCAGACCACATAGACTAGAGTCACTGCTATGTAAGTATTCAGGCCGGTAACTGCGAATGCAAAAGTTGGATTAGAACAAGGTAAAACGAAATTAACCTAGAGGGTGACGCTTCAACCCACTTTTAATATCCGATTATTGTTAATACTTGCTCGACTTACCATGACTTAAGGCTAGAGCTGGTGCGTAGACCGCGACGGAAGTATATAATATCATCTGCAGCATATACAGCCCACTAGCTAGCAGTCTGCAATGCCGATTAAAGCGTAAGTTTAAGTACTCGTAGGTCGAAGTTAATCTCAGCTTCATGTAGACCGGCAGGTACAGGTGCGAAGTAATGGGCACCACCAGAAGGAACGAGACGCATGTCATCCAGAATTGCGTGCCCTGGAATTAAGGGAAACGATTTTCATTACTCTTATTCTATACTATTCTTCGTTAACCGACTTCCTTTACTACTCCGGGAACAAATTCCACATGTATACTATTCATACCATTGTTAAAGTCACATTTAATTTACGTCAGATTTCTCTTACGGCACGCAGAACGAAATCTGGCTGATTGAACAAAATCGATTGATTTGGTAATAAATCAAAAGTCATTAACCAAAGAATTTTGTCGCGTCAACCGAATATTCGGTTGTCCATATAATAACCATATTCTGTGGTTGAACCAACAAAAGTTTCATTGATTCCACCAAATATTTATCTGTGCGTTTAATTGCCTCTTTCCATATTTTCTTGGAATACTGGTAACGTGCTGTATGTATAATAAGTAGTAATAAGTACTATTAGCAAAAATCATTATGTGCGATTAATTGCCTCTTAACATATTTTCTTGGAATACTGGTAATGTGCTGTATACATAATATGTAGTAATAAGTACTATTAGGAAAAATCATTGTTACCTGTCCGTACATTTCAGCCGGATTCCCGAGCAATTCTATGGCGGTAATGAAACTGGCCGCCAAGGACATCGCCATAGGAAAAGTTCCCATGCTGGACCCGCCCAGAAGGAAGTCCTGACTCGTTTCCTGCTTCTTCGCGAAGAATCCGTAAAATAGGCCGATCATGCAGGACACGATCAGCATGGCTGCCAGGACGAAATAGTCCGCCCATGAGAAGTAATGCAAAAGGGCCGGATGTTCTTCCAAGCATTTCTCGTTCTCATCCGGAAGTCGCCGTTGCTCGGCCGACGACGCGGACAGAGAGACGAAGAGAATGAGCAGAAGGGGCCGCATTTTCCGCAATTTCTGCATAACAGATTAGTATCACGTTCGCGATTAGATTTCTAATGAATTTTTAAATACTGGAGGAATATTGCAAGAGCTGGATGTTCTTTCAAGCATTTCTCGTTCTCATCTGGAAGTCGCCGCTGTTCGGCCGACGAATGAGCAGCAGGGGCCGCATTTTCCGCAATTTCTGCATAATAGATTAATATCACGTTTGCGATTAGATTTCTAATGCATTTGTAAAGACTGGAGGAATATTGCAAGAGCTGGATGTTCTTTCAAGCATTTCTCGTTCTCATTCGGAAGTCGCGGCTGCTCAGCCGACGACGCGGACAAAGAGACGAAGAGAATGAGCAGCAGGGACCGCATTTTCCGCAATTTCTGCATAACACATTAATATCACGTTCGTGATTAGGTTTCTAATGGATTTTTAAAGACTGGAGGAATATTGCAAAAGAGCCGGATGTTCTTTCAAGCATTTCTCGTTCTCATTCGGAAGTCGCGGCTGCTCAGCCGACGACGCGGACAAAGAGACGAAGAGAATGAGCAGCAGGGACCGCATTTTCCGCAATTTCTGCATAATAAATTTACATCAAGTTCGCGATTAGATTTCTAATGAAATTTCTAAAGTCTGCTATGGCAATGAAATGAAAAATAAAACCCTAAATATGTAAGGAGGACATTGCATTCCGTAATCTCCATACAAAATATTTGAATTACTTTGTATAATGAAACCAGAACAAAGTAATAAGGGGAGGAAAGGACAACCTGCGTGGAATTGTCAAAAACAGTTATTTAGTAAGAGGCACAACTTCCGAAAATTAGAATCAAATGAAATAAAATTGCTGATATGAAAAGAAAAGGAAGAAGTAGTTTAAATTTCATAATCAGAGTATGTTTTAATAAAAACATGCATTGCATTTTTAGTACATGTACTTATCCGCGTGTTCCTCAACTAATATATAAACGCAATATACAATAATGGACAAAAATATGAAGTGAAATTTTGATTAATGAAAAGACGTTTGCACGAAAATGCGCAGAAATTCGGTGTCCTTCGCGTTCGTTATCCGCGCTGAGAAGCGAAATCGCGACCTCGTTGGAATTTGCTTGAATTCGTGTTTTTTCAACAACGGCATACTACAGGGATATGTTTATAATTCCGAGTGTTTTACTCGTGCTCAATTACGGCCGCGAGTAATTCGAAACTCATTCGACGACCGTCGACTGAGCTTACTGAAAAACCAATGGTCAAGTCACATCTGCTTGAGCCTTGAACTCAAAGTTTCCCTCCTTATAACAGATGAATAACATTTCGTGTCGAAATCGCTCCTAAAACGCAAAACCGCGAGTCGCGGCTTAATTGATCCGACTAATTTTTCAAGTAATTCGAGTCATACAAAGTCGCGTCACTATTTACGCAAATTTATAAAGGGTGAATAACATTTCGTGTCGAAATCGCTCTTAAAACGCGAAACCGTAAGTCGCGGCTCAATTGATCCGACTAATTTTTCAAGTAATTCGAGCCATACGAAGTCGCGGCACTATATACGCGAATTTATAACGGATGAATAACATTTCGTGTCGAAATTGCTCCTAAAACGCGAAACCGTAAGTCGCGGCTCAATTGATCCAACTAATTTTTCAAGTAATTCGAGTCATACAAAGTCGCGGCACTATATACGCGAATTTATAACGGATGAATAACATTTCGTGTCGAAATTGCTCCTAAAACGCAAAACCGCGAGTCGCGGCTTAATTGATCCGACTAATTTTTCAAGTAATTCGAGCCATACGAAGTCGCGTCACTATTTACGCGAATTTATATCGGATGAATAACATTTCGTGTCGAAATCGCTCCTAAAACGCGAAATCGCGAATCGCGGCTTAATTGATCCGACTAATTTTTCAAGTAATTCGAGTCATACAAAGTCGCGACACTATATATGTGAATTTATAACGGATGAATAACATTTCGTGTCGAAATTGCTCCTAAAACGCAAAACCGCGAGTCGCGGCTTAATTGATCCGACTAATTTGTCAAGTAATTCGAGTCATACAAAGTAGCGGCACTATTTACGCAAACTGAGCAAACAAGCTCGGCTTAAAAGATGCAATAAATTGCAATTAAGAGCCTATCAAGATTCCTCGATAAGATCTTTCCCTACCACCCCTGATAAACGTAATCTTTGGTCATCGGATCTCTTTATTACACGGTTTCTGTCAAACAAACATCCTTATACAGTGCAGTACCTTATATAGCGCGATTATTTCGCAGTAAATTCTCGCATAACACGGAAACGATGTTCCGCGTGACAGAAACCGCGTAATGAGAGAATCAGAAGTCAGGCAAAATCTGAAACGTGATCCGTGCTATAAATGGGCACGTCACGCAGAATTTGCTTGTAAGGCAATTCTTACACCGCTGAAATAAGAGCCGATTTCATGACCACGTTCAATTCTCAGTATACCAAAGTATCACAAATCGATGTTTAATAAATAAACCAGCCATTATGATCAATGGAGAAATTATTCCCCATTAAATACTCAACTCCATTTTCCATTAATGCGGGATAGAATGTCGCTATAAAATTATTTTTCCACCGTGAAAATAATAAATGTTCATCCCTCTAACAAACAGATGACTACGGTAAATTCAGTTTGACTCCGCTTATAAATTCAGAAATTACGAAGAATGGGAGTCTACACAGGACTTGTTGAATAAAAATGATAAGAAGGTATCAAAAGATCCTATCGCCCTTTCTGCTTCTTTTTTTTTTCGACGGGACAAAATTTATCAAAGTATTTGCGCTTGGAAGTAATTTTGTTATGCTGAAATGTATAAATGATAAACAAGAGGTGAAACTTCGTCCTCGTCGAACAATCCGAGAGTTCTTCATTTATCTGACTAGAATCGATCCCTACAAGCCAAATCGATCGGAATCGGCGGAATGAATCGAATTGTTTGGAGATCGTCTCGTGAGGGAGCTCGTCGATCTCTTTTGTTCTCATCTTGATTCGCATCTCCGGGATCAAAAGATTTGCCACTGGATTCTCCGGCAAGGCAGGGTGCAATGAGGGCAATCGCGTTAAAGGAATTGTACCCCCGCGGGATATTCACTACCGCGTGTCAACACGAATTCCCTCGCTCATTCTGGTTGAAAGCGGTCCGAAGCAATTCTCGGCGGTTTTAACCGGCGTATAATCACCGGGAAAAGGAAAGCCATTGAAATGAACCAACCGATGCCACTTCTTAGAGGTGAATTTCGAATTTTCACTCAAAAATTTGAATTTCAATTAGCCATTGCGAGACCGACTTCGCAACATTGAAATATCAATCATGAAACGATATCAGTTTAAAGGAGCACCGTAATAACATCATGTAGATTGTTTTACATCAACTTATTAATATCAGGGGTTGAGTAAAATCGATATTTTAATGTTGATTATAAAATGCCGTTGATGTGAACCAACCGATGCCACTTCTTCGAGGTGAATTTCGAATTTTCACTCAAAAATTTGAAATTCAATTAGCCATTGCGAGACCGATTTCGCAATATTAAAATATCAATTATGAAATGATATCAGTTTAAAGGAGCATGATAATAACGTCTTGCAGATTGTTTTACATCAACTTATTAATATCGGGGATTGAGTAAAATCGATATTATAATGTTGATTATGAAATGCCGTTGAAGTGAACCAACCAATGCCACTTCTTCGAGGTGAATTTCGAATTTTCACGCCAAAATTTGAATTCTAATCAGTCATTGCGAGACTGACTTCGCAACATTGACTGACATCGCAACTTCACACATTGAAATATCAATCATGAAACGATATCAGTTTAAAGGAGCACGATAATAACGTCTTGCAGATTGGTTTACATTAACTTATTAATATCAGAGGTTGAGTAAAATCGATATAGTAATGTTGATTGTAAAATGCCGTTGATGTGAACCAACCGATGCCACTTCTTCGAGGTGAATTTCGAATTTTCACTCAAAAATTTGAATTTCAATTAGCCATTGCGAGACCGATTTCGCAATATTGAAATATCAATCATGAAACGATATCAGTTTAAAGGAGCATGATAATAACGTCTTGCAGATTGTTTCACATCAACTTATTAATATCAGGGGTTGAGTAAAATCGATATTATAATGTTGATTATAAAATGCCGTTGATATGAACCAACCGATGCCACTTCTTAGAGGTGAATTTCGAATTTTCACTAAAAAATTTGAATTTCAATTTGCCATTGCGAGACCGATTTCGCAACATTGAAATATCAATCATGAAACGATATCAGATTAAAGGAGCACGGTAATAACATCATGCAGATTGTTTTATATTAACTTACTGATATCAGGGGTTGAGTGAAATTAATTTTGTAATAACGAAATATCAATTATGAAATGATATCGGATCGTGGGAGCTTACTAACATCAAATCGATGATTTTAAATGATGTTATCTTTTGATATCAGGAGCTGAGTAAAGAGAGTAAAAGTGAATTCATGGAAATTCATGTATGAAGATTTTGGACTTTAACTGTCCCCATTGCGAATGGGGTTATAAAACATACATGTCATCAACAATGGGGAAGAAATGTTATTACAAAATGATTTAACACATTGCTCCTTAATGTATACCCTTAAAAGTGAAAAACACAGAAGTAAAGATCTGAGAGTCAAAATCCCTTCCCGCGTTTAAGTATTCTGTGCATACCTTAATATTGAAATTTTCAAATTACCGATAAATTGGAGAATAATTGATAACGAGTCACTTGTTCGCTACTTCTTTGTGATATTTCTTCGTTGCATTGCCATTGCTCGTTAAATACATATCAAAGAATTATGACAGCTCTAAGGATTGCACCGAATGGATGATTATTAATAGATATATGCAAAGCTAAAAATTCGAAAAAATCAGCAAATCTTAAAAGTAATCATAACGCGTGTACTTACTTTGTCTTAAGACGGAAATGCAGGCCTCGGCCAATCGTTAAACGGCGGCAAAATGATGATAATTTGAAAATAAGTGTCCTTAAAATCTCATACACTCGTCGAACGAGATGGATAAGAAAGTGCGAAATTGCAGTTGAATAATTTTGCTCGTTTTCCTGACGTAACGCATATATAATCCTGTGTATGTATTTGGCGCGACTCACGAACAATGGAAAAAGTCACCGAAATCGCAGGGCGAGCTTTTCCCCAGGAAAGCGCCGCGAAATGGAATTCTACAAAATGAGATAATACTTAAATCACCAAAGGGACTTTTTGGTGACGTAAGAGAAGGGGCTGTAGCCGAAAGAGCAAAAGCCTCGCGCGATGGATTAAGGAGGGACCAGTTCTAAGACTGATCGTTTTAATTGCCATGTGCGCCTTTATACGAACCATCTCCCTTCCACCGTCTCGGGGAATAAGAAACTCTGTCAACAATAACATAGCTGTCGATATCGGTGCATGGATCGCCGAAGAAATCGATACATCGATGTCGCATGGTGATATGATCCGAGGGAAGGGAAAGACGTGATAAAACCGTAAAGGTCAAGACTAAATGACGCAAAAAGTGTTTTCGAAGCCCCTTTACCCGTAAATTACGTAAAAAGAGGCTTCCGAGGATCGCTTATTAGGCGTACGGAAAAGGTGGGCCGCCATCTTTGCTGGAACTACCGGGAAACGCAACTCCACCTCGCAATTTCATTGCACGAGATTCAACGACAGAAGATCCATTTTGTTAATAAAAGACGATCAACGGGATGCGGGGACTTGCATCATTACGTAGCATGCAGTTTTTACGGAAGAATATAACGCGGTCATCGATATCGAGTACATTATAAAGTTCTAGATTTGGTTAAATGAATATAATTTTCGTTCACATCATTTTCTATTTTCATCGATACATCGATGCTGCCTTCTAAGGCCACGATCGGAAGAGAGGAAAAGACGTGCAAAGTATTAAAAATCATTAATAAATTGAATCACACAGAAGCCTAAAACATATATAAGCGAAGGAAGGAATAATATTTTTGAAAATAGAAAATAATGTGAACGAAAATTATATTCATTTAACCAAACATTGGGTAACCCATATAACCGTATACTATGTTATCAAAGTTGCATTGATTCGACCAAATATTACTCTGCGCGTACGTTTAATGAACCGTGTAATTAATTACACGGTTATGTCACAGGTGCAAGACGCGACCTGGAGGAAGCATTGTCGCACAGTAGGTGCACCATGAAGCCAAATTGAATCATGCGGTCTCCATTGTATGCGTCACGTTACATCTCGCTCGTCATCCCCTCGCTAAGACCTAACTTCGATAATAGGTCTGTAATGTAAACGCGGAACCCCCGGTGTGACGTACGATTCCACTGATTCGAAGCACGTGTCAAGGCCGTAATTGAAGTATAGAATGGAATTGCTAACTGGACCCCTATCGACATCGTGCCGTTTCACAAAGAGGTGTTGGATTCTCCACGTATATATTCACGTACGTATGACGAATAATAGTAGCTCATTGATCGATAGGTAAGTCGTGAATAAAAATCTAGATAAACGGTCATGACCACCACGTTTGATTCCCTTTATCGGCACTATATCGTCTGCATTGTATGACGAGCATGCATGCTGTCATATAGTAGTTTAAATCTCCACGTATCTATTCACATACGTGTGACGAATGATAGTAGCTCATTGTTCGATAGGTAAGTCGTGAATAAAAATCTAGATAAACGGTCATGACCATCACGTGTATGAGATTGATTTGCCCATATTGGCACTATATCGTTTGCATTATGTGGCTTTGAACTTCTCGTACACGACCATTTTTTACTAAAATTTGTTGTTTAAAACATTACATATAAAACGGCTGAAACGATTTAGTAGGAATATGAAGCAGGCAGCAATTAAATGAATTTGAGAATGCGACGATGTGTCGTTAGTCGTTTTATAAAATAATTATTCGGGTTGTAAAATAAACCTAAGTGAAGATTTGACCATCTGGCCTTTATAAAACGGTAGATTTTATTACATGGCTACGACATATACTTGGCGTGGAACTCAGCCGACTCTCCTAATACGATCCGCCGTTTCGGCGAGGAATCGATTCAGGATACAAAAAGTTCCCTCGAAATTAGTTTCAGAAGAAACTTCCTCGGCCAAGGCACGTGTAGCCAGAGAGGTCAATGATCGGGAAGGAGAATCTAATTAAAAGACCGATCGACGGTATACAATGGATCGATCTCCACGATCGAAGGTCGGTTTTCCGGGGCGCGCGATGGCCGGCCCAAAAGGAGTCCGCTTGGTCGCAGATGTCAGGGAGAAGACCCCACGCCGTAACGATCCCTTAATGAATTAATTGGTGTCAACGGCAAATACGAGGAAGGGGGGAAAAACGGAGCGAGGATCGTTAAGAGCGGAATTATAAAGGGCCACCGATTGGGAATTGGCCGGCGCACGAACTTTAATTGAAACTGGTTCCAGCTGGCTGGCACTGGTTTCGCCCGGACTTTCAGATGGACATGGATCGCTTGGAATCGCCTAACGCACAACGGCGGCGAGCCGCAGTTCCTTTCGCACTAAAACTTCTCCTCCCGGTACAGAGGGGCCGAATCCCGGTACAATTCACGGCCTATATTAAGGTGAAGTGAAACCCCCTTCAAATCAGTCGATTCGAATACAACACTTTTTTTTAAGGGTATTAGACAAACTGTCCGAAATTTTGACACATCACTCCTGGTCATCTAAGAATCGTCCTGACACATTAAAAATTTGGATTTTTTGAAAAAATCCTTTAACTTAACCCAGACCAGAAGTAAAATGGCGTCGAGCTCTCATATTTCGATCAATCTACAATTATCGAAGGCTCTGATATGAGAAACGAAAGGGTCAGGACAATTTTACAATTTAGAACACTCTGGTAATCCATAACCTTGCCTTTGAACGGGATAAAGGCAAAAAAAGTGTCTTATGCGCTTCTATGCCAAAACGATGGTAATACGAGGTCTCGGAGTGGAAATTTAATTGACCTGGAAATCACAGATGGCGCAGGGGGTCCCTCTGCATTCAATTAGGGCCCCAGAAAGCATGAATCCAGAGGATTTCCGGAGTTTTACTTCGATTTTTTTATAATTATTGTACGAAAACGACAGGTGGAGTCCGGATACCATTTGGTACAATATCCAATATAATTCGACACAGATGTCAATATAAAAATGAACGTCTACAACGTAGGCAATTAGAATGTATCTTCCTTATCGACGTCGATCAAGTTCCTCGACGTGTTTCACTTCACCTTAATGGGATGTGAAAGTGGCATCCGAAAGCTCAATCATATATAAAATTTTTCTACGAACTGGGTGTCTCAAATCGTTTCGTACTTTAAAACGTGAATATGTAGACCCTAAGGTAGATCCTGAAACTCACGAAATTTCATTTTTTATAAGCTATTTTGAAAATACCTATAATCATATTTGAAAAGAATTGAAATCTCATGAATTTCAGGACTTTCCTTATAGTCTCCCTATTCACATTGTAAAGTTTCAAACTATTCGGTAAATCGAGATGGGAGAAAAGTTTTATAAACAAAACCTCTCCGACGCCACTTTCACATCACCTTAATGCTCGCTTCATCACGGTCAGTCAAGTGTTCCAAGGTGAAAACATTCCACACAAATGGGAGTGAAAAATTCGATAAGCGTCTTCCCTTTCCCATAGTATCTAATGCTAACATGCCCCACCGCAACTTCGGATTGTGCTAATAGAAATTTGTAAAAACAGATTTTATCCCTTTTCACCCCCTGAAGGTTAGGGCGAAATCCTGAAATTGTTATTAGGGATCTGTATGTATACTTAGTTTTAGATAAAAACCCAATTCTTTAGTATCACAATTTTGTCATATTTGTACACCGAGAGAAAAATTTATTTTCTACGCCAAATTGATCACTCGTGGCAATCAGAATGTTTCTTGATAAGATTGAAAAAAAAGATGATTCCTAATATAAATCCAATTTCAATAATAAATTATATCCTCACTTTGGAGTAATATAATGTTTAGTTCTTCCTCGTTAAATTACGTCATAAGTTTAAGATTTTACACACACACAAGTGTCAGGACGAGTTTGGCGCAAACAATATGTATTATGTAGTCTAATGATATAAAAATAATCCAATAGAACCAATGCAATTAATATTTTTCTCTTCACTCTGGAGTAATGTAATGTTTAGTTCTCCCTCGTTAAATTACGTCATGGGTTTAAGATTTTGCACACACGAGTGTCAGGACGAGTTTGACGCAAACAACAACAAGCGCGACGGCCTACTGAATTCGTGGGCAAGAAAGGTGTGTGAAAAGTGGCAAGCCGTAATGTTTTGAAATTCGATTCCGCAAGAAGGTATTCAAAACTGAGAGCGGTCGACGTGCCACAATAATCACGCGGACATATCACGCTCTTACGATGTGCAGAAAGAAATTCGCTCCAATGGTACGCTTACGTGAACGTTCGAACTGATTAATCGAATTTATGGCCGGAACAACGATCTCAATTAAATAATTACCCTCCAAAGGCATGATGAAAGATATTGCCTTCCTTAGCGATTACTCGGAAACTCGAGGCGCTAATATTTCTAAATGTCTAATAAAAACGTAACACCGTGTACAAACGTGTTCTAATAATTAATACATTAATTCGCAATAATGCTTATCTTGCGATCGCAGAAAACGTTGCAATTTCTTCATCCCTTTGAGAATTCAATTACGCCGTATTCCAACGGACTTTTATTCAATACTGCATACATATACGAAAAACAAATTTAAAACAATTCCAACAATCTAAAAAATACATGTCCTAATTCAACAACGAGAATACGATAAAAACCTTAAAGCCTGCCTATCGTTCTCCAGGAAGGATAGTTTCCTAAGCCCCGTTAGAAAATTAACGAAATACGTTTGTGCTACCTAAATTAATTACCAGGGAATAAAATCTATAAACTCTGACTGGTTCGTTAAAACCGAAATACAGTCAGACTTCGCACCTTTCTTTGTAAAGCATGAAGAGCACCGGTAAAGAAAAAAAAAATCTCTTAATAATAAACACGCCCCTTTATGGCTCGTTTGAACAATATCTTTAGTATCGCAAAATACACATGCACGCGCGCAAAACTCTACTGCGCATACACATTCATATCTTTGTACTTGAAACCTTCCCACAATATAATCTATTAACGACATCATTTAACATTAAGTTCCTGCTTTTGAAGTTTGTGAGAATTTCATTCATTCCAGCACTGCCCGAAGGTTGAAATCACGCCGGAAAGGCAAAGAAATCTCAAACAATGTAGGAGAATTCCATTACAAAGTTAAACATCTCTAGTCAATTTTTATAAAGTACTCTCACGTTTGTATAATGATTCGTACGGCTATCTTGAAAAGGCTCGCTTGTGTGTAAGAACCCTCCAGAGTGGTTCTAAAAAATGAGCACATCAAGGACAGATTGGTAGAGTCGTCCAAAGGAAATCCTCTTTTTTTAGAATCCTGGAAAACTCGAGTATAAAAATACGCTCCTGATATGACGTTACAGTTTCGAAAGCGTTTTCTGCGAATGTATCATTGTGCTTCATACGGCACTTTCAGTTCGTATAAATGTACATAAACGTGTCTAACGGAAGTACTTAATCAACTGGTTCACAAGTATGTACCAAAGTTTGAAATGGCAGTGTTAACGCGAGGTAATGAATAACGATTCCCGTGATGTCGTCGACTATTTCACCGGATAAATCTTGGGCAATCCGAGATGTAACGTGAATGTGATCATTCTCAGCTGTCGGTGCGGATTCGTGCGTTCTCGTGCGCAAATAGCCGCAAACTTACGTCACTACGCCGTTTAATAGAAACTATTTGAGATACTAGTAATCCCGTATTAGAAGCGTATCGCGCCTTCCTACAGGTGAAAATGTTTGATAGGCCGTTAAGGTGATACGAAAGTGGCGTCAAAGAGGTCTCATTTATGAAACTTTCCTCCGAACTAGGTGTACCGAATCGTTTCAAACTAAACAACGTGAATATGGAGGCCACAAGGAAGGTCCCAACACTTATGAAATTGCATTTTTTATAAGAAATTTTGAAAGTATCTACGAACAAATTTTTAAAAAATTGAAATTTCATGACTTTCAGAACCTTCCTTATGCTCTCCATATTTATATTGCAAATTTTGAATCGATTCGATACACCCAGTTCGTGGAAAAGTTTCATGAACGATTGACCCTTCAGTTGCCAGTTTCATATCCTCTTAAGAACACTATAGTGATCTTTTTTATACACCAAAACAACCCCGCTTGTTAATTTGAAGCGCACTTTAACACAGAACGAAACTCTAATCGCTCTTACATTGCCGAATATTGATTAGCTACAGATGCAAATGATTCGAGAATTTTACTAAGCGCTCTGTTCGAGACTTCTGAACGTCATAGACATTCTTAGATATTGATGGATGTTTCTAGAATCCCTTATCAATTGCTTCATTCCGGGCAATCGCTTGTAAAAAGTCTACGCACGTGGATGTGACTTTAAAAAGCATATCCCTTTTTATCTCGAGAGATGTGGAAAGATTGTCGGGCTACAATAAAACTAATAAATAATTAAATGTATACAGTAGTACTCGGAAATTACGAAATTGTTACTCAGCAAACATTGGCTCATGCAGCTGATTAATTGAGCTGTCTTTTCGAACGCCATGGAAAAGACAAGATATGTTAATTCACATGATTAGGTACCGATAGACCTATCACAATGAAAATATTTATGTTAAGATGAACTTCAAGCAGAAGCACGCGAGATCTCTGATGTAACTGCTACAGCCATTCCAGTAAATTTAGCCGGTGAAATACCGAACACTCCACGAAACTGAACATTAAGTTCTAAGTACGGAATGTGAAAATGTAAACTGCATCAAACGCACATACACATTAACGAAGTATCGACAACAAAGGTCTTAAAAGTGCGCTAAACCACCGTGCTCGCTACTTGGTCCCTCTGGGATACATCGTGGTCATCATCAAATGTGTACTTTCTCTGCAAAACTATACTTGGGATTTGGTGACCATTGCTCTCGGTGTTCAGCCGAAGTTTCCGACGGAGTCGCGTAGACACAAAGGGGAAAAACAAATCTGGATCGCACTCCACTCTTTCTCGCCCCGAGCAAAGATACACCAAGTTACTGACAACCAGTCCAACGATGATCGTTATTAAAAACCCTAATGGTGCATACCACATGTAGGAGATTCGATAGAGGTAGAAGTAGGATTCATTGTCCGTAGGACTCAATGTCGGTCTAAAAATAAAACAGATAAATATCGTAACTGTCAATTACGGCACAATTTTACAGTAAAGTCTGCAATTTCTTAGTGCACGTTGGCACAATTAAAATAATTATAGAATTATATTCTTACGTTGATAACGTGCTGTTTGCGTCATTGATTTCGCAACCCGCTACGGATAGAGGCAACAACTCGTTAGTTGGCCTGGGCGTCCCAAAAGCTATCCACAACAAAAATGCCAAAGAAGTCATTAATCCTGTTATCGCTCCAGACTGTCCAGCCGATTCAAAGCCCATTCCTAAAGTGAAGATCCCTAAAAGTGGACCGCCTACTACTCCAAAGATGGTCAAGCTGACCTGTAATGAGATACCATGAAGAAAATAATCGATTCCATGATTTCTAAGAAGCATGATTATACCATGTACGGCTTTTAAAAGCAATTAATGTATAGTTAACGAAACCTCACCAACCTGCAAAATATCACCTAAATATTGAGCTAGGAACGCTAACGCGATGCAACTCAGCCCAAAGACGAAGGCAAATACTTTTCCAAGAAGAGTTAACTTTAATGGTGGGAATTCTTTGCCGGCGAATTTTTCATAGACTGGCTTGAAATAATCTTCTATTGTAACGGCAGCTAAGGAGTTCAAACCTGCAGATAAGGTACTAAGACCTGCGCTGAAGATACCTGTTTAAACAGACATTATTATAATTTATTATGAGCAGCGTTGCGCTTTGCTTTAAATGTAGATTAAACGATTACTGATTTCTGCAAGTACATTATTGCGTTTTACCTGCTATAAACAGACCAGGTAATCCAGGTAAGTGGGACATCGTGTCCACTACATATAATGGCATAAGCTGGTCTATAGAGCTAATTCTGCCTTGAGTCAGGGGATCGCAATTGTAGTATTTACTATAAATTGCGAGTCCGGAAAAACACGTTAGTATCGAAAGTAAAGACAGAATGGGCCAGTTTATCCACAGTGTTAATCGAGCTGCCTTCAAACTCCTGCAAAAAAAAGTCACATTATGATATACAAGAAAGACGTTGTCTTTCACTGCGATGAAGGTAATATTTTACTTTTTATTATATACATGTTATGAGTCAAGTGATAAATACGGGCATTGTGAATAATGTCCAGGATTTATTGCCCGATTTGTTACTCTGCCCACAACATTTACATTGGAAAATGCAAATTATTATTTAAGAACCCTATTGTGAATTGAAATATTTCATGTCTTTAGATATTCTTCTAAAATAGACTTACTTTACAGTCATCATTCGTTGTATTTGGACTTGGTTCACCCCAAATAAAGACAAGAAGGTGAATAAGCCCCCGATGAGAAGACTCCACCAAGTATGCCGAACTGTAGGATCGATTGAATAACTATAACAGAAAAGAAAACAGAAAAGGGCTCATGATAACACTCTTCAAGTAATTACATATGAACAGATTGAACTCCTAGTACCTGTCAAACTCGATACGACCACCTTTCTCTGCAATGTACCAGATCTGATCGAGACCACCAACAGTTTTTGCTGCAGTTCCGATTATAACAAGTACAGAAAGGAACATGAGTATACCTTGAAATACATCGGTCATTAGCACAGCCTTTATTCCACCAATCCCAGAGTAGAAGGCACAGACCAGTCCAACGATCAGGATACTTGCATTTTTGGAAAGACCTGTTGTTGCCTCCAATGCCAGAGCAGGTGCATAAAGAACAATACCAGAATACAAGAACAATTGAATCCAATAAGCAAAACTTGCTACTAATCTTGCTCCAACACCAAAACGTTTTTCTAAATACTGAAATCAAAACAGACTTGATTACTAACTTACCTTAGTAGGGAATTACATTTCTAATGTGTTGTTCTTAAATATAATAAATACTCATTACACAAATTAATTTATTACATAATAGATACCTGCCTCATATGCACTGGTTGCTTGGAGCTTAAAGAATACAGGAAGGAATCCATAACATATGATCGGTATTCCTACTAAATATGCTATGTTTATAACAACAAACTGCGTTCCAAACGCATAGTTTTCAGCAGACACTCCTAATATGGTAATAGCAGACATAAACGATACCACAAGAGCTATTCCAACAGGTAAAACGCTCATTGATCTATCAGCGTTAAAATATTCCTACAAAAGTCAGCTTGTATAATTTCCTTATTCAAATATTCCATAGAAAAAGTTATTTTTCTAATTCAACTATCAGACAATGTATTAAATGTTCAGTTTTGATAAACGTTACAGTACAGAAATTAACAATGTCTACAAAAAAAAGTAAGATCTTATCTATGAAAATAGAATCACTCAAGGATTATATGTTAAAATATGATTTACTTAAGCATTAAATTTCCATATTTACCTCTACGGTTTTTTGACGTCCTCCTGTAAACCTATAGTAAATACCAATACTCGCACTGATGCACAGCATCACACCAATGACCAAATAATCTACCCATCCTAAAGTCGCTGTTTCTGCCATTTTTATCGTCTGTAAAATTTAAATATATGTAAATATAATATTATTTGCGAATATGATATGATACAAGAAATGTTTGACAAAAGGGAAAAATAATTTGAAAAATTGACCAGATTCTGCAACACTATGAAAACTAAAAACAAAATATAGGAATTCAGATATTAAAAAAGCACATTTAACGTATAATATATTCACAGTAGTGCACAGCAGTAACGTATAATATATTCACATGATCACAGCTATCGATGCTTGTATAAAAAAAAGAAGGAACCCATTTTAGTCTAATTTTACATTCAATTTCTATGACCAATATGTTATTCTGCAAAAATAATTTGTTGTTTCAATCATTAAATGTAATTTTAAAATGACTAAAATAAAACGTGCAGACGAGAGAATCCTTTTGGTTGATTTAAGCAATCTAGTATATTTAAAACATTCTCCACATATTTCTCAAAATATAAACCTCCACCTCAAACTATTTATCATTTCAATGAAACTGATAATACCACTTGTTGCATCAACGAATATATACTTAATTTTTATTTCTGTTCATGTCAATTATAGATTCTTATCAGATATAAATCAAAATCGAATGAGAACCTCTGACTAACGTATTATCTTACGGCAAACAAAGACTAAACCAAATCTCTTTTATAACACTTGCTCTAGTGAAACATGTTTAAAAAAAAGTTGTCCAACAAAGATAATGGAATGGAATGTTTCAAATTCCTCTTGAAATTTACCCATGTAAACCAATTAATTATTAACAGAATTAAATCAGGAACCAGTGCAGAAAACTTTAATTCATTTTAAAAGCTTTCATATACTGGCACGAACATTGACTTCCTATAACTGGACTTCTCTACATATCTCTTTGGTGCTTGAATATACCACACAGATTCAATGACCATTCCTTGAATGGCCAGAACATTAAGTATTCCTCGCATTACCTTCAAATCTGTAAACATACTTACCAATCACAGACAAATGTGTACAAGTGCCACACCAACCTGCCAAGGTAAAAAAAAACCACACACATAGGAAAAGAAAACTTTACCTCACTTAATAGCGTTAATTTGAGCCTACCTAAGTCGGCTAATGTAAATTTATAAGTCCTTGAAGCCGGTAAATAGCATGAACTCTTTTATGCGGGTGACTTTCTCTTAAAATATTCCCGCCGAAAATCGGACGACCCGTCCTTGCAAACACGTGCCCTCTATCCTTTTAATGTTTTTGCTCTGAAAGTATTGACACAAACAAATGATCTTGACAATCATATATTATTTACCGCAATTTTGAGGATTCCTTTCCAAAAATTGAACTCCTGGCGACCGGCAGAAATCAGCAAGAACTCGTCGAAACGTCCTCTCGTTCTCGACGTCTTACCTACACTGCAGCTTTTCTACTGGCTTCTACATATCGACAGTGGCTACACTACATGCGCATGCGCACCAACGGAAAAATGACCATGCGCGTGCGTACAAGAGGTTAATCAAATACCCGCCAACTTTTAAACGTTTAAGTGTCCGTTTTTATCCTACAATTTAATATTAAAGAGCACGAATTCTCGAGTTGTTAAATTTACGATATCTATTCTGTGAACAGCGATAGATAAATGTAACGTTCTGTTAATGTGGAAATATAATTCATTACTTTTATTTTCCGTAAGTGATTTCACGGAAGAGAATTTAAGACAGAATATCTTACCACTATGCATCGAATTGCGTTTCTTGATAGTGACCCTATTTCACTACAAGCTTCTTTTTAGGATACTGGCTATCATGAAGTTAATATCGACGAAACATGTCACACACACTCGCACGTCACACACATACATATGCGACTATTGAACGGTATAAGTGTAATCATCTGCAATTTAGATAAGGTTAATAAGAGGAAACTGACCTCCTTAATATGGACGAAATTCTTAATGACAAAGTTCAAAGTCTTAAGAGACGAATTAACTTATAATGAAGAAAAAGTCAAAAGTAAATTAGTTTTCGAAAACTTTGCTGTCTTTTAAAATAATTAATTTAAAATTGTTACTACAAACGTCATAACTCGCTTCCGAAATATTCCACAGATATTATCTTTCGTTTCATCATTGTATCGTCGAATTTAAATCAGGTTAAATATAGTTCAATAGGTCTTGATTATTTCACGAGACGATGGGGTTTTATTTAGTGTTAAGTATAGCGAATATCGAGATATTTCAAACGAACGATCTATCGTTCGATAGCTGTTGCATTTCCATGCATTTCCAAGATGGCGGATTGCAGGGACAAATGTGCCGATGACTGTTCCTTTGATTACGCCGATGACAAGCAACGAGGCGTGTGTCTAGTTAAGCCAGAGTAAGCAATTAATTATTATATTGCTCACAAATTATCGTTGGAAGTGTTTATAATTTTCTGAGACCAGTCTCGACTAACTGAGATCCTAACCTCGAAGTCACATGGCTCACCGCTGTTAAATTAATTTCATGTACGATAGAAACCCTTACATATAGTAAAATACTTTATTATTTCTTCCCTTTTGTAATACGCTGAGAATAAGCAATGAGAATAAGCACTCGGTGACTTTGAGGTAAATTTGTTCCCGATATCAATTAATTTATATTTAACACGTTGACCGTCAAAACAAATGACAAATGTGTTATTGCAAAGCGGTTGCTGATCACTGTTGATGAGTGACAGTCAATGTGTTAAGATTAATAGTTACATGCATTCTATACGAGAGTAAAATATCTCATTACATTATATTTTGCACTTTTATTTTTAGATTCATTATCGAGGACCATATAAGATTATTAAGCTCGGAATGCCTAACTGCAGATGATAAGCAAAAGATAAATGTAAAAACAAATGATAGCAAAAATGAAATGTTATGCGAAGAAGAGCCTCCTAGTAAAAGGTTCAAGCAGGATGACAAGAAAGAAAAATTACGGGGTCAGAATAAGGCAAGACCTCCTCCTTTTAAACTTCCAAGAGAACATAACCTATGTCCATGGATTGCCGATCTTTGCAGCAATGAAGCCGATAAGACATGTGAAAACAAACATTGTTCATTTATGCACGATCGAGCGGAATACTTAAAAATTAAGCCAGCTGATGTCGGAGCGGAATGTCATATTTTTAATTTAACTGGAAAATGTCCTAGGGGAATTGCTTGCAGAGTGGGAGCTAAACATATAAGTTCCAATGGTTTTAATATCATCTATGAGGAAAAATTTATTGCAAGTAAGACTAAACCACCATCGATTAAAAATCAAATATCGAAGGACCTTCAAAACAAGCTTAGGAAACACAAGTATAACTTTACTAAAGCAGAAAGTATTGTAAAGGCAAATAATCCTTCTAAAAAGATGAATTCCAGTAAGACTTCTGACTTTCAGATGCTGCCTAAAGTGCATCAGGAGGAAGCAAAGAGCAAGATTGTAAATGGTTCTAATAAAGAAGGTTCTGAGAACGATCCAAAGATAGATTCTACACCTATCACGGATACCAAAGATGAGAATATCGCTAGTAGCACAGAGGCAAAATTAGGACCAGTTGTGGATTATGACTTAATTGCTCTAAGAACTGGGGAGAAAAAAAAAATTGACTGGAGAGATAAGATTCTGTTAAGTCCACTGACCACAGTTGGAAACTTACCTTTTAGGAGAATCTGCAAAGAGTATGGAGCGGATGTAACATGCGGTGAGATGGCTCTTGCTCCTAAAATTTTGAAAGGAGCACACGAGGAGTGGGCTCTGGTAAAACGGCATGAGTCAGAGGATATATTTGGTGTCCAACTTTGTGGTAATAATCCTGGAGTTTTAACTCGCTGTGCTGAACTACTGGAAGAACAAACTGAAGTAGATTTTATTGACTTGAACTTAGGATGTCCAATTGACTTGATTTACAGACAGGGGGGTGGTAGTGGCATGCTCAATCGATTGAATGTGCTAGAAACGGTTATTAAGTCCGTCAGCCAAGTTCTGAGTATTCCCTTGACCGTTAAAACTAGAACAGGAGTTTATATGGACAAGCCAATCGCTCACAACTTGATGCCTAAATTTCGTGACTGGGGAGTGTCTATGATTACTGTGAGTTAAAAATTTCCTTGTTAACTATTTCTATACTTCTGCTTTAAATGACTTTTAAACAATGTACCAAATAGATCGATTAAGTTACTATATTTTTTACTGTATATTATTTCTACAGGTACATGGTAGATCCCGTGAGCAAAGATATACTAAGAAAGCTGACTGGGAATACATAGAAAAATGCGCTGAAGCAGCTAAACCAATTCCCGTGTATGGCAATGGAGACATACTGTCTTTTGATGATTACGAGAGAGCTCGGAAAGGTTATCCTGCAGTGTATGGAGTTACGATAGGTCGAGGTGCCCTAATTAAACCATGGATATTTACAGAAATTAAAGAGCAAAGACTAATCGATATATCGAGTACTGAAAGATTTGAAATGCTGAAGAAATATACGAATTACGGCCTCGAACATTGGGGTTCTGACACAAGAGGTGTCGAAACCACCAGAAGATTTTTACTAGAGTGGATATCATTTTTACATAGGTAACTGCTTGATAATTTAAATTGTACATAGGAAAAAACATAAGTAATTTCGTAATTCTTTGGATTTTCGTTAGATATGTACCAGTTGGTATTTTGGAAAAACCACCACAAAGAATTAATGAGAGGCCACCGTTCTACACGGGGCGTAATGATATGGAGACACTCATGGCTAGTTCAAATTGTGCTAACTGGATAAAAATTTCGTAAGATCACTCTATAAACATTCCTGATATTTGATATTTAACAATTTTTGACAAGAATTCTTCATTTAATATCGCAGGGAGATGCTGCTTGGAAAAGTGCCTGATGGATTCCACTTCTTGCCTAAACACAAGGCGAATTCGTGGAAATAGAGACAATTCAAACTTTGTAAAAGTAATCTGTACATTACGATACTTTTTGAAGTAAAGTTACGTCAAAAGAGAATCCTTTGTCGTATATTAACGATTTGTCTCAATTTGGGAATACACTATAATTAAAAGTTATTTAAATTGATATAATTTATCATTTGTGCTAATATAATTTATTAAATTGTTTTGAAAATGCTAACTGTCTAAAAGAGGATAATTACATAAATTACATAATACTGTTTAACAATGTGTAGAATACTAAATGTTAATGTCGCATTTATCCTTAAAAATCGAGCATTCATCGTAGTCGTATATACGTCAAACTCAATATAAAGGGGTAAATTCCTGATCAATTTAGTAATGTGGTGAGATTTCCCCTAAAACTGAAACTGGCCACATGCAATCGCAACCGCTAGCTATTTCTTTAGTAAATGGTTCCCAACAATCGCTATCCCAATGACGTCTGACTACATAAAGAGTTCTACTCCTTTGGACGCAGTGGAACCCAGGATGAGCGCATTTCTGAAAAACACAAGTTATCACCTTTTAAACACCCAATTTTTAATCATTACCAACCATTAGCGCAATTCTTATACATATATTATATAAGGAATGAAACAAACCAGGTGAAACCCGTAATAATTCAGCAGCAACAATGACCCCAAGAAATATTCACAGTATCAAAGGAAGATATTAAAATAAATATACGAGTAAATCCTATTAAAAGAAACGAAAGCTTATTTGCAGTAATTGCACTGATAATCACGGATATCTTATTAGAGTTAATAGATTGAAAAAGTTATATACCAATAAACCATTGATTAAATATGATAATTGTCTGTGATAATAACGCGGTATATGTGTATATAAATCGTTAGGAAATCGTAAAAATAATCAAGAGTCTTCAATAACAGAAGTTAACGAATAATCCGTGCTAAACTAAAAAAGAAAAATGGAAGGTCACCTGTTGAGACGACGCGAAGACACTTCCTTGATCCAATGATAGGCCGAAATCTTTGCAAAAAACTTCGTGATAATGAGGTGGCTGATATTCAAACTCTGCATCATCGAGTTGCACTCTTTTGGTCCTAGTCTCACAGAGAGTTCGGTATTCCTACTTAGAACGATCAATTAATTTAAAACATGTTAATATATTACGTCATGAATGCTTTTATTCGAGATTCCCTGAAAGTGTAACAAACCGGCAACAGATTGCGTCCTCCTCTTTTCTGTTCGCGGAACGAATTACCCTTTTCCTCGATGCCGTCATCGTTGTAATCTTCCTCCGGAAGGTATGAAATGTCTCTTGTAAGCTTCACTGGTATGTTACGAATGCTACGTAATTCGAACACATCGGAATGAATGCCGTCATTCGGGCGTGTAAAGTTAAACTTGTAGCTCAGAGCGTACGATATACAAGAGAGAACGAGAAGATCGGCGATCTGCAAGGAAGATCATCTTTTATTTTTCTTATGACTATGAATTTGTTAAACCTAATGAAATGGGTTAGAGCAAGTGTTGATTGTTGGTAACATTCCGGCGACTGAAAATAAATTTTACACAAAAGATAAAACAGAATTCCCGGACGGAGGAATTAACTTTTCGAAAATTTACATAATTCTTATATATTATTTGAGGTAAAAACTATTGCTTTTGCTATTACCTTCTAAGACGACAATAATAACGGGATTATTCTGTCTGCACGAAACATTACCTTTCGGAAAATTAGTATTATTTAGCCAATATACTTGATTAATGAAATCAGTTGTTTCGTCATACCCAATACTCAAATTACGATAGCAATCGTCTTCAGAAAATGAGAAAATAATGCGATGATTTAAAAATATTTAAAAAATTACCTTTCGCCATAGACATTAAAAAAAAAAAAGAACATCGCTACCGTGAAATATTTCACGATCTAATATTTCTACAGCATCATATCTGTATTAAAATAACATTCGCAAGACTCGTTTAATTTTTGAACTTTAATCCCATTGAAGGAATTCATTTCCAACCTGCTCGGTCAACAAATTATTGAAATTACGTACGCTTTCCGTGAAAATCAGTGCCGGCCGGTTTGCAAGGTCGATTTTGATTAAGCCAATGCTTTACAGCCTCTCGGCATAAATTATTCTTCAACGGGTCGCTCCATTAAATTACGAGACCTCCACAATGGACTCATATTGCGCGTGAATGAGAATCGCCGAGTTCTTTGGCTTCAGACGTTTCCATCGGCGGTTTTTAAAGAAATATTCCACGGCTTAATTTGTCCATGAACAATGATCTTACAATTCGATAAACCAATAGACGATCTTAATTTAATAATATAGTTAAGAGTTCCAGATTCGTAACATTTGGCGCGCACGTTGCGGTCTCATGCGTTAGAGTCTTTCAATCGTCCATTAACTGTTTCTAAATAACATTTGTATTGTTAAAGAGGATCGAATACAGTTTTATGTTCGATCCAGAGAAAGGGGAATTTTTCAGTGTTTCAGGAATTTCGCAAACGATACGATGAGGTTATGAATTTCTAAAACTCATCCGTAGCTTTGCATTCTCAGATTAACAGGATGCAAATAAGGTAGGGGAGACTGGGACTAATTTTGATAAGGGAAAGTAGGGACTTGTAGATTTCTAGGCGACCTATTAGGCGATACCATTTGTAAAATAGTAATTATAGGCGTTCTTTTATAAGAAATATTGCTAAATAGTGTTAAAATTTGGGGGTCAATCGAATGAAAACGGAATTTTTCAGCAATCAAGGTTTCATCGATGTCGTCAAGCTCTGTACATACATCATATCCAGACCTGTATTGTGAAATAAAAGAAGACGAACAATTCAGACATACTATTTTTAAAATGATAGCTGTGGACGACTTTTTTTTGTTAATATCCCAATGGCAAAATTTGAGGGTCAATTTATTGAAAACAGAATTTATCCAGTCACCGACAACGCAAGGTCTCGTTATAGTCCTCAAGTCCTAAATATCATACGAGCCTCTTACCTGTATTGCGAAACAAAAAAAAGACGCAAAATTCAGAGATACTATTTTTGAAAATAATAGCTGTGGGTGACTTTTTTTTTCTTAATATTCCAACGGCAAAATTTGAGGGCCAATTTATTGAAAACGGAATTTGTCCAGCCACCGACAACGCAAGATCTCGTTATAGTCCTCAAGTCCTAAATATCATACGAGGCTCTGACCTGTATTGTGAAACAAAAACAGGACGCAAAATTCAGAGATACTATTTTTAAAATGATAATTGTGGACGACTTTTTTTTTCTTAATATTCCAACGGCAAAATTTGAGGGTCAATTTATTATAAATGGAATTGAAAATGGAAAATGGAATGGGATGGCCACCGATAACGCAAGGTCTCGTTGTAGTCCTCAAGTCCTAAATATCATACGAGGCTCTGTATTGGCAAATTGGAAGATGAAAAACACGTTCGACGATAAGCGGGAACACTGAGCGAAATTACACCGAAGGCAACACGCGAACGTAGGTACGTCGAGCGTGTACATTCTGTGGTAACGTCAATGTATAGTAGGTAGTTATCCAATTGACAGTGCTCCCGTCTGACATAGTTCAGTCGATGGCGAACTTAGAGGATGATCTGACATCCCTGACCGCGCTAAAAGACCACCTTGTTCCCCGTTATTAATATTTTCCATCTCGTTAATCCGCCAAATTAGGCCCCGGCTCTAACCGAAAGCCACGATCGGATAAACGAAACGTCGATAAGAATCACTTCGACCGTCCAAGCCGACTTTAACCCTGACCGTAATTTATTTATAAAATGTAAAAAAAATATAAAAAGGTATACGCGCGCAGAAACTTCATTTGCGGTCCCGTCGTATAGTGCGAGGAAAAGTGTTCCGAGTTAAGTTTCAACGAGGCTATCAACTGGAAGGATGTAGTGCAATAACGAAGGCTTCTTCTATTTCCTTTTAAGCCGAATAAACTTTTAGTGAGGAAGACAAAGCAGAGTGGAAACAGTGGGAGAACTTTGACCGGAGATTTCCTGTAAACTATCGCTAGGGGGAGTTTAATTCTCATGAATCATGTAAATTGGAAGCACTTTACGCGGGGGATTTTTCTGGTGACATTCAGTGACGTCACGGTGTCTCGATTGTCAAGGGAAATGTCAGTGTCAAGAATTCAGTATGGCCACTGATTTCTGCCCTAATGGAACCCTAAAGGCAGCGTCCAGCAGGTAAGCGGAATAATCTCTCTTAATGTCTCTTAAGGTGAAGTGAAACACGTCGAGGAACTTGATTGACGCCGATAATGAAGATTTTTCTAAATGCCTACGTTCGTTTTTATATTGACAACTGTATCGAATTATATTGGGTATTGTACCAAATGGCATACTCCACCTGTAGTTTTCGTAGAATAATTATAAAGAAATCGAAGTAAACCTCCAGAAATCCTCTGGATTCATGCTTTCTGAGGCCCTAATTGACTGCAGAGGGACCGCCTGCGTCATCTGTGATTTCCAGGTCAATTAAATTTTCACTCCGAGACCTCGTATTCCCATCGTCTTAGCATAGAAGCGCATGCAACACTTTTTTTGCCATTATCCCGTTCAAGTGCGAGTTTAACGATTACCAGAGTGTTCTAAATTGTCGTAAAATTGTCCTGATCTTTTCGTTTCTCATATCAGAGCCTTCGATAATTGTATATTGATCGAAATATAAGAGCTCGAGGCCATTTTTGTTCTGGTCTGGACTGAGTTACACAATTTTTTCCAAAAATCCAAATTTTGAATGTGCCAGGACAATTCTTAGATGATCAGGAGTGATGTGTCAAAGTTTCGGACAGTTTGGTTTAATATCCTTAAAAAAAAGTGTTATTCGAATCGACTGATTTGAAGGGGTTTCACTTCACCTTAACACTTGCAGGAAATGTCAAGGTGGATTCTGTTTACGGGGCATTTTGTATATAGGGTGCTTTAAGAGCTGAGAGAATTTTCGAAACTTATTCTACATATAGTAAGGACGAGAAAAAGGTACAACTGTGGATAAGAGATATTATTACTTTGAGTCTCGCGAGCAACTTTTTGTTTTTCGATAGTGCTTAGCGAGAATGTCTGATAAGTGTCGAGTGATAGGTGCTCTTGTCATTTTCTCTTCATCAGCGATAAAGACAGTATTTGGTACTGGGTAACCTGACTTGGCAATTTCATTTACGGATTTTTATTTACCGTAATATTTCATAGATTCCGATCTACAATGTTCCTTGTGCTAAAAGTTGTTTATAATTCCATTTCCAAAGAAAAGCTCAAGATATACAAAAATGTTAATAAATATGAAATGGTTTATTATAAGATCGACGTGAGGCAGCTTTTATGGGTAATGAAATGATTTTCAGAAATTCTTTTAATGAACAATGAGAAAGTAAAAATAGTTTGAAACGCTGTTGCGCAGGAAAGATAGTTGCAATGTTGCATGCGTGTTTTTTTTTTTTTTTACAATTACTTCTTCCCGATATAATCATGCAGGAGAATGTGCTCATAAAATGCCTACTGATTTTAGCAACACCCTATAGATCTATAAGTACATCGTACATGTGTAGATCATGCTCAAAGAACATAAACCGGAGAAAATATTGCGTAACTATGTTCTGCACTATTAAACGAAGTGATCGAGATTAGATCAACATTTCGTACTTCGGAATAAGAGCAATATGTTATTATGTCATTAATTATTAACCCGCGGAATGACAGCATTTGAAAATTGTACAAACTTCCACGTAACTCAATGAGAAGTCATTTAAATGAAGAAATGTAATAATAATAACTGAATGGCCCAGAAAGGAATTACCCATAAACGCATACAATTGTACATGCTCTTAAAAAATTCATTGGAGAGAGAGTGAACATTAAATCTTGAATGTTCAACTAAGTAAACGAACATTCTCTTACCAGAACACTCGGCAGATATCGTTAGTCAATTTTTCTACAGAAAATGATTTTTCCTCTTCAAGAAAAGTCACATTACCAAGCGCTGAAAAGTTTGGGCAATAATGCGGCGGTTAGAAAACTATTAATCGAAATTGCGGAGATAATTGATTATACTCATTTTCGGTTTGCGCAAGGTCTCGGCACGCTATCGAGTAATTTACCGATAATGCCCAAAGATATGCATGAGACATTCGTCGCACTGTTTTCAACGCGACTGTAAAAGCAGTTTAGTAGACGTTATTACTGGCAGAGTTAATAAGCAATTGACCCTCGACCAGATAAAGGTTCCAATCATGAAGAATGGTCTCAAACGATGTCGGCAAAATGAGTCAAAGGGGGAAATCATTTTTCCGGAAATCCACCCTCCGGTACTATACATTTGTCGGAGATACTCGTCGAAAGCCTCGATATCGTTTTTTAATTACTTTTCAAGCACTTGTATTGTATTTCGTTAAGGGTCTATCTTATACCGATTCGAAATACTTTTATCTAAATTTCTTACAAAAGGATGTTTCTGTTCTGGAAAATTGTTGTTCTTTTTTTTTTTCCTTATAATTTCACGGAATACAGTTTATTTTAATTAGATGCTAATGGGTCCAAATATAGACTAACTCTTTATTGAAGGCGAAGCGTAAACATTTTATGGAAATGAATTTCTCTTCGGGCGAAATTTGTCCGTGAAAAATTTCGGATAATTGAATGTCACTCAAAATCGTTAGATCGATCTTGAAGTTCAAGACTTTCGGATAAAATTCTTTGATTGGAATCAATTGTGTAATCTAATCTAAATTTCGGCTATGAGATCTAAACTGGATAAGAGGTCAACCTTTTCTTTCATTTTTTTTTAAATATCATTTACTCAAGAGCCTCGAAATTACAAAATGTTTAAAAGGAATGCTTCCAGTGCTCTTCATGTTTGAACTTTTTTTGTCGAAGGTATTTCTAGTCACTTTATTTTACCTGGTGAGTCATATTGCAAAATAGTGGACGATAAACAGTGTAATAGGCGATAAAGTAATGCGGATATTGCTAGAAATTGTGAATAAAAATTGTAGCCTCATTTGCTTGCACAAATGCTGCATTTATCTCCTTCCTGGTCTGTTGAAGGTGCAACATGCCGTAAAGACCTTCACGTATCGAAGTAATTGATGCACAATTATTGTCACACTGATAGCCATAAAAAGCGAAAACTATGTATTACTTATTAGATTCAGAAAATAATGGCACGAATTTTATATATAATATAAAAGTAGGCATGTTCAAAATTTCTGTACTTTCCAAACGAAATTATCTGAAATTTAGTCAACGGACAAGCCAAATTTTCACAAGTCTTATAGTGCATTTAAATCGGCAAGCCTTAAACAATACTATACAGGAAAGTGTACATATGTGCATGTTCCGGATACATAATGGAAATCTGCATTTATTTATCTTAATGAATAATTATGATGTACGCGATGACCTTTTCCAGTATTGCATTTCTTGCTTCTTCAGTTTCGTCGAGAGTAAATTCCTGTACATTCCGATACCATTTTTAGAAAGATCGCGTTTGCTCGAGCAATCCATTGCGAGTCTCCATTAACTCGGGATAGTGCTTACCGAGTGCTCTAAGACCTTATCTCAGATTTGCTAAATCATTTAGAGTCTCATCTCGAGGTGCTCGAAATACGAGAAATGTGCTAAAAGAACATCCTCCTGTTTTACTTCTGCATTTAAAATGTTCGTTGACATCATTCGCTCCGATTTGGAATGTACGATACCGTTACACGACTAACGAAAATAAGGAGAAAAATATTGAATTAAAAATATTAAATATTATGAATATTTAATTTCTCTAATAAACATATATGAGTTCTCAAAAAATATCTATGGCAAATCGCGCCTGTATCGCGTTTCTAGTAATAATTGACTAGAGATGTTATATCAATTGTTAATTCTTCATTTTTTTATGCATCTTTCTACGTGAATACTTGAATTAATATTAAATTGGATGTGCCATAAGATTAAATACTTCCTGAACATTGTCTGCAATTAGGTCTTCGGATGAAATATGTTAATGTGATAATATTTAAAACGTCCTGTTATTTGCGTTACAAATAATTAATGAAGGGTTTGGCTACTAAGAGCGCCTAAAGGCGTCCGACGTTTGGTCCAATATTCCCTGTACGGTCAGATGAATTTCGCCCATATATCGAGATGGCTCCGTGTTCAAAGGGTTAAGAGGATCTGAAAGTGGCATGCGAAGAGTCAATCGTTTATGAAACTTTTCTACAAACTGAATCTGCCGAATCGTTTGAACCAATTTCACTTGAAACTTTACAGCGTGAATGAGGAAGCTATAAGGAAGGTCCTGACACTCATGAAATTTCATTTTTTACAACTTTCCGTATAAACACTGTAGCACACATCTTTTTCAAGGAGTTCAACGGTTCGTCAGTCAGGAAATGAAGAGACCCGACACTCATGGGAATTACACAAATTGGACGTGGGTAGTACCGGCGTCTACATACGCTGAGTTGAAATCCTCTTTTCCCTCCCAGAGATGTCAAAGAGACGTCCGGCAAATTAAACTTTTAACCTAAATATTACATTAACCGTCTTGAGCATAGAAAATGAGGCCAGCGATCTTCTCCCTAGAAAGTTGAAAAAAAAAAATAAAATATCCGTCATCGAATACATCGACTCCAAATAAAACATGTCAATTTTCTGACTTTTTGGACAACCCAAAGACATAACGAAAGGCTCCAAAAAGTGTTTAAGGTGAAGTGAAACACGTTGAGGAACTTGATCGACGTTGATAAAAAAGATTTTTCTAAACGCCTACGTTGCTGATGTTCGTTTTTATATTGACAGCTGGGTCGAATTATATTGGATATTTTACCAAATGGCGTACTCCACCTGTCGTTTTCGTACAATTAATATGAAGAAATCGAAGTAAAACTCCAGAAATCTTTTGGATTTATGCTTTCTGGGGCCCTAATTGACTGCAGAGGGCCATCTGTGATTTCCAAGTCAATTCAATTTTCGCTCCGAGACCTCGTATTCCCATCGTTTTGGCATAGAAGCGCATACAACACTTTTTTTTCCTTTATCCTGTTCAAATGCGAATTTAACGAAGTCAAGACAATTCTTAGATGATCAGGAGTGATGTGTCAAAGTTTCGGACAGTTTGGTCTAATACCCTTAAAAAAAGTGTTGTATTCGAATTGACTGATTTGAAGGGAGTTTCACTTCACCTTAATGTTTAAAGCTAACTTGTCTATCCCTTATCTATGAAAATGATTCCCAAGGAGTCCCCCCCTCCTGTTACATCTAATACAAAGAATCTTGACAGAGATTATCAAGATCCATTATGATATTCTACGTTTCGAAGATGAATACAATATTTCCATTGGCAGTGCGAATAGGATTAAATTATCCTTACAGCACTTTGCAATAAAGCAACGGCTGGATTTTCTTTTTTTCTTTCAAAAGTCGCCTTCATCGCAGTTGTGCGGCTCGAATTGACATAGCAGGCTGCTTCTGACAGATTATTTTTAGCTGACAGGATGGGGTCTCCTCGTTGATAGCAGCTAAAAATAGATGGTAAGGCCAATCCAGGCCCAATTATTCCATTTAGGTATTTAGATGACAATCGACCGACCGCCAATTTAGAAATATTCCACACGTTTAAGCCAGGGACTTCTCAGCTCGGTGTACGGCACCGCAAATAATCTGCAGACATGAATATAATCCTTATCAGTAAAAAAATTCATTCATGCCCCCTATAAAGAAATGGCAATGGTAGTGAATACGCTCATTGAAGCGAAAAATTCACGTAGAGATTAAAATTATCTACTCTAGTGTCAGAGAACTCGTTACGAATCTGCATTCGTTCACCACTCCCCCTTTAGTGATCAATTCATTAATTGTATCGATCGCTCTTTTAGCACTTTTATAATTCGCTTATCTCTGACAATACATGCGAGTTGGAGCATTCATAATAAATGCATTGTTTGCATCCAGATTCTTCGTTCAGCACTGCTGAAACTTGAAAGTATTTCATTAGAATTCCAACATTTTGTTAAGAGATGCACGCAATATTTTTTACATATTTTTTTACCAATGCGTGCAGATAGGCTCAAAAGAAAACCGGAAGGGCCGAAAGTGAAACTGGAAAAGGTATAGATAGGAAAAATCGCAGACGCCCCAACTGCGCATGCGCAAGCGTTGTTTCGCTCCCCCCGCTCTCGACGGTCGAAAACCGGGATTTTCCGGACGCTCTACAAGCGTGGAAAGACGCGCTATCCATGAAAGTTTCTCAGAAAAATATTTTTATGAGAATTTAACAACATTGGTGAGTCCCAGGGCGTAACGCCTTAGGGAGAGTGACCCGTCTTACAGATATAGAACTCCGATTGCAGGACCCTAGGCGACATGAGGTAGCGCAAGTAAACTAGATAGATAAATACTATTTCATAATTTTTTGGCGGTACTTTTCAGAAGAACTATCTTTCCAGAAATATTATCAACATGATGATTTACAAATATCTGTTTACCAATATTCTGGAAATATCGTATCGAAATTCATAATATTTTCAGACATTTTTCTATTTCCTCCAAATATTAACTAATATTCAATGTTGGATGTAGAGAGAGTGACCTTAGTTTTTTGGGGGACGTTTTAGAAATACTGTCCTTTTTTTCCTTCTTAAAGCGATTCATATCTCTTTTCAAATATTTTTATGCAAGTTGAGATGCTTTGGAGAGTCCCAGCGTGTAACGCCTTAGGGAGAGTGACCCGTCTTACACATGTGTAACTCTAATTGCAGGGCCGTAGGCGACATGAGGCAGCGCAAGACAGCGGCGCTGGGCGCCGCGACGACCCTTGCGCCGGAGGAGGAGCAGCTCAAGTTTCAAGACAGCAGCAGGTTCCTCACGACTCTGGTTCTCGGGAGAAGTAGGTGAGTGACTTTTCGCGCGAATTCCTCCGGCGAAAGGGAAATGGAAAGGGGAATGCGACGCCGGATAGATACAGAAGATTGGCCCGGTACAAAGAGCGGGAAATTTCCGGCGCCCGATAGCACTTCCGGATGCTTGAACGTCGCGCACCATTAACCCCGCTTTATTTCAGTACCAATATCGATTGCGATCGATACTAAAAAGGGACGGGTATTTGAATAGAATGTCATGGATCGTCTCCAAAAACGCAACAGTTTACTGAAATAAAAACTGGACGAAAAGCATCTCGGATAAACTCGCGACATATAGACCAGAAACTCTGACTTTTTATCTAGATCTCGACGACATTGTTTTTTATTTCTTGCAAGACAGCAACTGTTACATAAAAGTAAAGTTTGAAGAAGGACGTCGGCAGACATTCGAAACGTAAATGCATATTACCCGTGACATCAGATAATTTCATGGACAATGTGATTACAATCCGTCATGGTTATTTTTAGAAAGTGGGAAATGAGATAAATTTAGGTAGGAGTTTGATAGATTTTAAACACACAAATGCAAGTCACTTCGCATGTAGAGGAGCTCACAGTTAGCATGATTATGCGTTTCGTCGGCCATTTTTAGAAAGTATTGCCAGCTTATAAGAATAAAATGTCATCCTTTCTTATCACGATGTCATGGCTAGCCAGAGAGCAATCGTGAATAGAAAAGAACATTTTACAAAATGTTCGAAAGATTTGGATAATATTAACATGCACATCGACTGTTATCTCATGAACGGTTTGTATAAAGAATCGCGGATCTAGAACGATTGCTCCATTTTTTATGTCATTACCGTTACGTCTCATGTGGTAATATCGAGCAACGTAAAGAATGCCATTGTATTACGAGGACCGAAATATAACGACTTAATATATAAAATGACATAAAACGAGAAAATGTATAACTTAACGCATACATAAATGGACGCTTTTTAAACGCTCCGAAATTTTCGTAAAATATAAACAACGAGATAAGCACAAAGGCACAATTGAATACTAGTATCTTGCTCGCGAGAATTTATGCTTAAGCAATATGAATTGTACATTGTTTTAAGTTCAACTTACTAGAAACACTTTCATTTTTACTTGATGAATCGGTTAACTTATCAAGAGTAAATTCTTTCCTCTGGATTTACTTTCTCGTTTTTTAAATTAATGTTAAAAAGGAACTCCCGAACGCGCGCGTTATCGCAAATCTGGATGACTACTGTGTCGTCATAAAGGATCGCAACCCTTTATACGTTCAATCAAATCAATTATCTCGCATATAAAAATTTCAAACAATCGTGTTGAGCCTCGAAAATCTCTGCGCAAATACGGAAGGACACGATAACCGCGGATATTAAATTTTAGCGAACATCAGGTCGAGCTTAATTAAATCCTGTAATCGTACTAATTCGGAACAATCGCGTAGGATGACAAGTGGTTGATAAGTTAACATGTTCAGCAAAATACTTGAGTACCTATCTGAAATAGTACTGCCCAATATTTATATAAAGTATATTAATCGTTTTTCCATAATCAATGATTAGCAGATACCTGTGCATGGGAGGTATTACAATCTTTAATTACCGAAACTCTTGGAATTGCATTCAAGTATTTATTCCGAAATAGTACTTGATCTAATTAGTCTAAGATTGAAAAAATGTACGTTTCTTAATTTTAATAATTAATAGTGTTTAACTTAGAATTCTAATTTGAACACATTCAAAAATAAGTATTAACTTCTGAATTGTGCTAATAAAGTATATTCGGTATTTATAATTTAGGTTCAAAGTCGTATTCGACTATCTTACAGGCAAATGAGAAGACTTACAAATTATACAAAATAACTTAACATTCTTATTTGATTACTGGATCGATTATTGGAAAGAAATTCGAAAAGCATAGGAAATTTATAAAGACAATTTTGGATAAGCAACGGACAATGTTCTCAGTTTGTCGGGTACCCTGCACATTTCTACAGACGCATCTGCCTAAGACTTTCTATTATTCTTATTGCACGCAGCGCGTTACAAAGTATTTCTATTAACTATAATGGAAGACAATGGCTCTATAAATGCGTATCACTTCACACAGGATTCGACTTTTATATGTGTATACAAAACCATTGACCTCAATATTCGACGAACATACTTCATGATCGTGCCGGGCCTCGAAAGTCTCGCCTCTGTCAGACTTTTAAGAGACGCGTTTCTTCGAACAGACTGACATAACAATTAACATTTTTCATTTATTTCACATGACACTAATGCAAAAACCCATCGCCCCGTCCGTCGAGTGGTATAAAATAAAACGGTGACGTAAAATTAAATTAAAATACAAACTAACCATATGTCCTTTAATAATAGGGTGTTTTAATATATCAGAGAAATATTAAAATATCCCTATCGGTTATATATAATCTTAATTAAAATATAAACATGACGTAAATTTCGGTTTATTACGCGTTTCCTTTAATTGTCTAACGAAAGGACTGCAATAAAATACGATGGACTCCTCGATGCTTTTTACTCAAATTGGAACATAGCCCAATGTAATGTTCGCTGTCTTGTACACATTAAAATGGCACTTGGTAGATCCAAAAAACATATCTACTGCGTAGCGATAAATTTGGCTAATGATTCAATGGTCAGGGCCACAGATTCCTTCCAAGAAAAATTTCATATACCTACAAAGTGATTGCAAGCGTCGTTTCTTGGCAGTTTATGCTTTCGAGGAGAACAGGAGACTTTGCTATAGTTCGAAAAAAAAAAATCATAGCTGATAGTTACTCGTTATTACAATCGCAAGTAATATATATTAAAAATTCCAATGAAGAAATTAAAAAGTGAAAGGAGTTAAACCCTTGTTCTTATTCTCCTGTGAACATGAATCATCAATGAATATCACTCTCGATAAACAAATCCTTCGATAGGATCGAATCGGAACGTGCACTCTGTAATCGATTTTCTTCGAAGAAGTAGCATAATTTTACGCTTCTGGTAAAAACCAATGATTCACAATGGGTATTAAAAAGAACCCTAAATATCGCAGGAATGATCTAATCGCTCAATAGTTCAGCAACCTATTGAGTGTCATTTCTATGAAATTTCTAATTAACTCGTAATTCACATTTCTCGTAATATATTAACTCGAGTTCGACGAAGAAGCGTGTCTTAACAAAGAGATAAAGATGAAGGATGGGAAATCTTTTGTCATGTTAACGTGCACTGATTATATTACATCGAGCGCAATCAAACGCCGATCATTCGTCCGTCGACAGTCGATTAGGTCGGATCGGGAAGAAATTGATCGAACAAACATCGATCGTCTCTAAGTGTATTCATCGATTGATCCGGTTTACGTGATATTGATCATCAACGGATAGCAGTGATAAGGTAGAGATCCGAATGGCTACGTGCGACCTCCGATAGTTTTTGGCGTATCGGTATCGAGACGACTTAAAAAACGATTAGAGATAGCTATCGGCAACTGTAGTGTAATAGTGGTATAATTGGTACCTTGGGTATTATCATTTCTAATTACGCGACGAACATTTAACCAGCTGTGTAAATATCTGTTCAGGCAGTCTTGAAGCCACGTCTAAATTTCCATATTTTACTCTTCGGTGGTATTTATTTTAACGGTCTGACATGCTGCGTGTCACTTTTCCGCGATGTTAATTGCAGAAATAGTTACGGAATTGCGAGACGCCTGCAACATTTATTTTCAGCTAAATAATTTCATAATTTGGATGAATTGCATTTCTTTGTCAAGATAATTGGATCAAGGACTGTGAACCTTCATGTACCCCGTACTAGTGCACGAAGACGACTCTTCGTTATACAAATACCTACTGAACATACAAGTACACTTGGATCGTTTCTTCGGTTTCACGAGAATTTCTTAAAAATATTTCAAATGTCTCATTCTTACAATCTCGTAATTGATATTACTTCTCAAACTTCTCATATTCAGACCTGAATTCCCTTACAATCTGCACTAATTTCCTTCGTCCATGACAAATCCTGCATCCAGAGAATCGTATCAGATTTATGCATTAAGGGGATGTGAAAGTGACATCTGAAGAGTCAAGCGTTTACGAAACTTTTGTCCGAGCTGGGTGTACCGACTAGTTTAAAACTTTACAACGTGAATATGGAGGCTATAAGGAAAGCCCTGACACTCGTGAAATTTCATTTTTTATAACAAATTTTAAAAACATCTATGAAGAAATTTTTGGCAAAATTAAAATGAGTTTCATGACGTTTCTCAAACCCTCTATATTCATGTTGTAAAGTTTGAATCGATTAAGTACACCCAGTTTGGAGGAAAGTTTCATGAAGGATTCACACCTCGTTTGCGACTTTCACATCCCCTTAATGAAATCCGACTAACTGCTCGTTACTTCGAGGAAGAATACCCGAAATTCCGTCTACAAGGAACTCCACCCGAAGAGCCCGACCGATTAAGGTGCAGTGAAACACGTCGAGGAACTTGATCGACCTCGAAAAAGAAGATTTTTCTAAATACCTACGTTTGTTTTTATATTGACAGCTGTTATATTGAGCTGTGACAGTTTTTATATTGAGAGCTCGACGCCATTTTGCTTTTGGTCTGGGCTAAGTTAACAAATTTTTTCCGAAAATCCAAATTTTGAATGTGTCAGGACAATTCTTAGATGATCACGAGTCATGTGACAAAGTTTCGGACAGTTTGGTCCAAAACCCTTAAAAAAAAAGTGTTGTATTCGAATCGATTGATTTGAAGGGGGTTTCACTTCACCTTAATCTCGTACATACTGCGCGCAGTTGCGGTCCTCATCTAAGGATGCTCCGCGTGGCGGCATTAATAAATCTCTCGGGCGATATCGTTTCGATTGTTTTGACACGTAGTCGCAATTGATCTTGAGCCATGGCTCCATTTCCAGGCGCCGCGATTCCATTTGAGGGATCGAATCGCCACGCCAAGACGATTCTACGATGCCTTGCGCCAGTCGAATGTGTGGAGTTGCCTCTGGCGGGTGTTCCTTGGACTCGCTTGTGGTTCGCTTGTGATTCGCTTATGATTCGCTAACGATTCGCTCATGACTCGCATTATGACTAGAAGTCTCCTTTCGGTTCGCTTTCGGTTTGCTTTCGGCTCACTCGTGGCTCGCTCAACAGTTCGTTGACACGTGGTTCTCGCAATGTGTCTTCGCGCGTGCAGACATAAGCGAAGACACGAGCGATAGGCGCAGGTCTGCCACCTCTGAAAGCTGGTAAGACGATTCCGCGACTGGGTTGCGTCAAGACAGGCGGATACCGATCGAAAGGATCGTGATAAGGGGTATCCACGTGTCAAGTTCTCACACGGACGAGTCACTTGTTAGGTGTCGCGTACGCGGCTCGCGCATTCCCTCGTTGCTGCAGAGACGGTAGAATTACCTGAGGAGAGAAATTTGGTAATTAAAAGATTTCCCGATTACATCGGACGTGACTTACTCCGTGTGAGATAACGCTTGGACCAGTCACGTAAAGTCGGTTTTTGGCATTGCACGCGAGTTATAATTGGCCGTCTGGGGTCTCGTGCACGTGGTAAGGTGGACGCGTAACAACCTGCAAAGAGAAATTGGTAATTAGACGGTTTTCTTACTAAGTATAACGGTGAACATATTTTGTCTTGGGTATCGTTTTGACAACTCACGTATAACGGATTGTCGACTGGAAAATTAAATTCAGTGGAAGTTTTACACAGATAACTGCGGGCGCGTAATTATCTGTAAAGAGAAGATTGGTAATTAGAGAAGAAGGTAATTATGTTTGTAACTGAATATAGTGTTGGATTTTCTCTCTGAGGTGTCGCTTCGATAACTCACGTAAAGCTGATTGTTGACTTCAAACTCAAATTCAGTGCAAGTCTTGCACGGGTGTCACTGCAAGTGCAGGAGCTGTAAAAAAGAAAATTGGCAGTTAGACAATTTCATAACTGGATGTAATGTTAAACATTCCCTCGGAAGTATTCATTTTGAAAAGTCACGTAAAGCCGGTCATTGACGTCGAACTTTAATCCCGCAGAAGTCTTACACTGATATATCAGTGCAAACACGTAAAGATCTATACAGGAAAATTGATAGTTAGACAATGTCGTGATTGAATGTAACGTTGAATATTTTATATGCTGAAACATTTTAATAACTGAATACTGACAACAAACGCGAGTTTTAATTATTCGCCACGTGTTCCACGCAGGTGTTACCGCATATGTAGAACTACCTGTGGAGAAAAATTACTAATTAAATAGAATTGTAACTGAACGTACCCTAGTAGCATAGAATAATTTCTAAATATTTCTTTGTAATCTTTGCTAAATATCGCAAGCGACAGATTTTTTAAGATTTCTTGTAGATTTCATTCGAAGATATTTGAAATATTTGTTGAAAATGTCAATGACATATTTAGTTTCAATCATTTATAATCAAATAGAAAAATTTTATTTTTTAACTTATTAACATAATAAAAATACATTTTTTACTTCACGACTATTATCGGACCCTTCATTTGACATCAAAAGAGAGATTTTTCTAATATTTTCGTTCCGCCATTTCATTATGGGAGCAAAACATGTGATTTTGATTTTAAATATGTTTAAAACGTTTATAATGTATTCGACAGGTAATATTTAAAAAATACTTGTATCAAAATGAAACGAAATGTTTTGTATATCTGGTAGAAAAATATTATGAAAACACATGGAGGTATTATATAAATATTATAGAGATAATATTCTAAAGTAAACGTTTGGCAAATATTTCAAATGTCTGCTAAATATTTACAAAATGTACGATATTTGTTAAAAATATAGAAAATATGGGACAAATAATTTTGTGCTACTAGGGTAACAATGACGACTTTGTACGTCATTTCAATAATTCACGAGAACACTGATTATTAATTTTTCAATTAATCATCCAACGTATAGTGCATGCCTTGGATATCTCGACCCTGCAAAAATTATCTGTAAAAAGAAATTTAGTACATAGATCGTACTGTAATCAAACGTAACGCTGTTTCTTATCAAAGAGTATTTTTAACATTTTATATCTTTCATTAGGCAGTAGTATTATAATGAGATTACCTGGCAAGGATCAGGTCAGCCAAGCGTGATAAGAGTTCGTTTCACATTAATCGACATTACGTACACTGGCAGACATGCATGTCTTCCTTTCATGCACTGGCGACACCATGCCCACAGAAAAAGCATTAACACATTAACTAACGGAAGCTTATTAATAAGTTTTTCGATACCCGCGATCGGCATTAACTCTTGAATTTGCCGATAACTAATATGTTAATATCCGCCAGTGTACTCTCGCGGACATGAATGCCTTTCTGTTACATATTGGATTGTTTCATAAGCTCGCGAACAAATTTTCTTTACAGATAATAACATGCTTAAATAAAACAGTAGATTACATACCGGCCAATTTGGGGATAAATGGCGAATACGATACAGCGTTGAGATAATATAAAAGTCCCATTTGAGAATTCAATAGTTTATAAATGTTTTCCCCGAACTGGATGTAACGAATCGCTTAAAATTTTACTTGGTAAATATGAAAGCCCTAAGGAAGGTGCAGACACTCATGAAATTTAGTTTAATTAACATTAAATTTAGTTAACATTGACGCCACATTCCATTTTATACAATTTGATTGGCCAGTATTTACCGTTAAGTTTACCATTACGCTTATGCGAGATATTTGTGAAGGCCTTCATGTCCGCCTCTGTACTTGTCTACTACATGCGTGCAATTCTCTCATTAAAAGTCGCGTGCTCGAGTCGCGTTTCTTATTCATTAAAGATTTATCAAACTACGGCAAACTTATTCGCGAAACGTTAGTTAATCCGATATGTCGGAATAATAACGCAGCCTTAACTAAATTCTCTAATGCATTACAAATATACCCTTAAGCAACTCTCATTATTGGAAACCCTTATAAATAATACGATTATTAACTATTCCTTATCATTATCCGAGCATTAACTATTGTGGCTTCAATCGTTTAAAATGGCTGTAAATTATAAATATTATTAAAAATACGTGTACACAATATTTACAATAATAATGATACCCAGAACGTCGACCTGAAATTACTCATAAATTAATTGCACTTCTCCGAGAAGGCACGCGGCAATTTTTATGAGGCAAATTAAAGTGCATTCCTCGTGTGGTTTGAGCAAGTAACATAATTGCTTCATTTCTCCAAATTACATCGCAAGAGTGCGCTTTAACTCTTGCACTCGATTCGTGTGCCAATTCGTTGAGAAGCAAATCAACGGCACGTGGTAAAAACGCATCACCTTGGTGCAGTGCAGTAAAATCTAAATGGCAATACCCGAACTCGGTCGGGTATTTCATCGAGGGAAATCTGATTTTCGAATCGATTCACCCAGATGTACATTCGAGCATAAATTCGCAGGCCCTAGCGAAAAATTTAAACTTAACTTGAATTCCAAGGGAAGTTTAAATTCCCGGGAGGTCGAGTATACATTGTATTTCCTATCAACCAAACGGGGCCAGAACGAGAGATACAATTAGATTAATTAGTGCACCCAATGTCATTCCTCGCCACACTTGGACTCCTTTCGATTACATTTTGTTCCCATTCGGGCCATGCTTCGGCTATTCTTCTCTTGGATTCAGGGTCTGTTCACATCCGAAAGGTTGGCGCAACCACGTGTTCTGGACTATCCAAGGTCGCCGAGATTCAAGGCTACCTCCTCGTTTGCTGCGTGATCTAGGCACCCCTATCGCCTCCTTCCCATCTGCATGCGCATGTAATATATGTATGTACATATATACGTAGTCAGGCAACCTTAAAAAAATCCCCGTGTTCCAACTCCGTTTTCCCATCGACGTTAATTCCGGACGTTCCCGCGTGGCGCCATCGTTCTCGCCTCCAAGCTCTGTCGAAACGGTTTAACATTAACCGATGCTTGCCATTTTCGAAGGATGTCATTAATTGTCTGCGGCGAATAAGCGTGGCCTTCTCTGCACCGAAAATATATCCGGGAATCCCCGTGTTCAAACTCCGTTTTCCCGTCGACGTTAATTCCGAACGTTCCCGCGTGGCGCCACCGTTCCTACCTACAAAACTGTCGAAACGGCTTAACATTAACCGATGCTTGCCATTTTCGAAGGATGTCATTAATTTTCTGCGGCAAATAAACGTGGCCTTCTCTGCAACGAAATATCTGGGAACTACGATAACCCATACACTTGGCACGATCCTACGTTTGGACCGCCCAAGGTCGCTGCGCGTTCAAGGCTACCTCGCGCATACTGCGCCACGTCGGGTCGGCGCGTTCGCCCCTTTTCCCGCGTATGCGCATATAACGGACGCAGATTGGTTACCGCAGGAAAATCTCGCCGGACGTGTTGCCGTCCTGTTCGCCAGGAGTCTTCCGCCAGAAGTCGTTCCGGGCGACGCCGAGCGACGTCATCGCTACCGTCGCGGCGGCGCCGACGGGACAGCAGCCGAGGAGCGCCGCGGGTACCGGAAACGGCAACTCCGCGACCTCCCCGCCTGCGCAGACCCAAGGCGCAGGGGCGAGCGCGCGCATCAAGAGCGCCGCCGGGGCAGCTTGGGGCGCCAGAGGCGCCGGTAAACACACGCGTCTCGGCACGGCACTGGCCAACAAAATGGCGTCAGCGAGCTCCACCGCGGTCGTGCAGGGCTGGCCCAACACCAAGGACGACTACGAGCTCAAAGAGGTCATCGGTGAGTATCCCACCGAGCGACCGCTTCTCGATGCCCTCCGTATCGCCGCTCGTCTTCCGGACGACCGACCGGTCTCGGTGTAACGTCTTCCCTCGCGAGACGCGGGTTACCTTATGACGTGCTACGTCAGTTGTTACATAAAAACGCAGAGAATATCGCGCGGATGACTGACTCCGGACGGTTTTCGATGAGAACTCGATCCTAGAGACGATTCGCCGGTTGGGATCGAATGGTGAGGCGGGAATTCGAAGGCTGACAGCGAGCCGAAGCCGGCCGCTGACCTAACCTACAAACCTAACGCCAGAGCACTACTTCTGGTATGCTGCGAGGCCGGTAAAGGAGAAATCGCCTTTAGGATCTGGAATGTGTTCTGGAATTTCATTTCTAAGGAATGTTGTGGCTGTAGATCAATTTACAATTTAATGCTTAGGTGTTCCTCTAAGGTTTGTAATAAGTTTTGCACAGGGAGAACTTATTATGTTTATGCCTGTTACTGGTTATGTCTTTAGCTACTTTTATAATAGACAAAGTATGTTCAGATACTTCAACATGTTGAATGTTGAAGTAAATGATGAGTAGATTGCTATGAAGCAGTTGCCGATTAGTGTTCATGGTGGTTAATGCGGAAAAATAGGTTTATGTACTATTTGGATTAGTAGTCGAGATTTATTTTTATTCTAAAGGGGACAATACGATCTCTTGGATCCTTTACGTGTCTTTTTTTCATGAGCAGGAGATTGTAAACCTGAATTTTGTTGCCATACCAAAAATGGTGGTTCGAATTTTAAAGCTACAGGATGACGTGTATTCGCTTGTTATAAGAATGCTTTAATATATTTGTCGAGTAAAAGTAGCATTTGGTCGAGAGGTATCATTGCTCCAATGTTATATTAAGTATAGATTTTGCAGCTAATTAATTTTGAATTTTTAGCTAAAGAAAATAGAATTGTAAATATAGTTCATGAATGTTCAATTTTTTTTGGAAAAGTAAAATCCTTTCTTGGAAGCTGATCCTAATGCATAATTATGTATCCCGTATGCAATTTCTCTTTGGAGATGTAATGGTTAACGTTTCAAACTCATGCAACTGATTAATTTAATTGCTTAGTCGTAATTTAGAAACCTAATGAAGAATTTAACTATAAAACAATACAATTGCATTAGATTCATGTGTAATGCATCCTTGTCTGTAAAAGTTTTGTACGTATATAATCTGCTTATATTTATACTATTTACTAAAATCCAGCAATTTCATAAAGATTTGACCACAAATTTATTATGCCCTGTTTCTAAAAACATTGCCCGAAACAGTTTTTTATTGCAATTGTCCACAACAGTATACTTTGCTTCGCAATCTGTTAACTCTTGTGATTACCTCATCAAGGTACTTGTTATCTGTATGTAAACGTGCAGAATACTTTTAATCGCAGAGTCATCTATCTCAGACAGCGTTTGCTTGTTAATTTCACATTTTTACGTATTGGTTTCAGACTTAGCTATGTGCCAATGTTTACAATAGCTGCGTCGTCACCATTCTAATGCAAATTATGACTAATACACTTGCTCGCTAAAGAGTACATCTGTCCAATAAGTGATGTTGACATCAGAAGGATAAATTATGCACTCTCGTTTCGACAATACGCTTAAATTTTGTTCCTCTTGAGAAATACTGTCGAAGTGAAGAAAGCTCTTGGATCCGGTCCAAAAATTTAATTAGACATTGGCCCAGAAACATTCTGCCATCTTGTATACTGAGTACAAAAACAGAATAATTAAGTGATTGAAATTTAACAGAGTATCAGTAGGCGTTAGTTGAGCAAGACCGCTGCTACGTAGTTACAGGCAATTAAATTGACAAACATCTCGGCATGATCTAGAAGTCTTGTTTCTCGCGTTTCAGATCACGTGGGAGGAATATTAGGGAGAATGGTCCACATTCAATTGAGGATCTTGGCTTTATGACTTAAGGGACGAGTACATCTGGTCTGAATATGGAGTTATAAAATCTTAGAAAGATTTAATACATATCAATTGGATATAATTACGACAGCAATAATGAAAGTAAAGAAACTCGAGAAATTCATTGTTAACTCGCTACTTGATTTTTAAATCTACAGCAAAGACAATTAAGACTTAAATTTAAATACATTCGTTCACCTAGAGTGATTTAATTTGCTATTAGCCATTCAATTAGATTTATTCAATTGCGCAATTAGTATCGAATGGTTTCCTTGAAATTGTACGCAAGAAATGTTTGAAAGGAAGTGGAAATTTATTACACTGAGCACTCTTATATAACATTGTACACTGAATTTTCTTAATTAAAATACAAATCATGCAGGATCTATAGAAATAACAAATCGTGACTATTGCTCTGTTCTCACTATATTTGAAACCAATACTGCTTATTAATTTACTTAAAGTCCCTACATTATAAAAATGAATGTGTATTTTTTTAACGATGGGTTAAATAAATAAAATATTCTTAACCAGACTTATATATGTCTTGTATTTAAGGTGTTGGAGCAACGGCCGTGGTGCACGCCGCCTTCTGCATTCCCCGTCAGGAAAAATGTGCAATCAAACGTATCAACCTCGAGAAATGGAACACAAGCATGGACGAGTTATTGGTAAATTTACTTTTTACTATTTAAGTCCTTTGAATCATAAACACACATATGGCGCAGTTGATTAACTGGATTAAAGTAAACACGATTGAATGGATTTGCGATCCATTACTCATTGTGAAAATGCATTTTGTCTTTGCAGAAAGAAATCCAAGCAATGTCGTCCTGCAATCACGAAAACGTAGTAACTTACTATACATCATTCGTTGTAAAAGAAGAATTGTGGCTGGTCCTCAGACTACTGGAAGGTGGATCCTTACTTGACATAATCAAACATAAAACTAGAACCACGAATTGCAAACACGGCGTTTTCGACGAGCCAACCATTGCGACGGTACTTCGAGAGGTGCTCAAGGGTCTCGAATATTTCCATAGTAATGGACAAATACACAGGTAATTGATTGCATATGTCGTTAATAATATAGACAATTCATTACAATACCAGAACCTACTGTCGACTGTTGCTACATGCATATTACAAAATAAGGAGTTCGATAGCACACCTGGATTGGTATTTGAAATAGGTTTATGACATTTACTACAAATGTTTGCAATTTATTTTTAATCAGGATTCAGTATATATTTGCGTTTAATTGGAACCGTACTAATTCATCAATTACAGTTTTTAAAATGATTACATTGCACTGAATCTTGTGAATATATTTAAAAGAAAAGTTACATCAATTGCTTTTCTACGGTTCAATTAGTAAAGGTAACACGAAAACGTTGCAGAATGTTAAATAATTATCGGAATGAATTTTATTAAAATAAATAAGACATTCTGTACATTTTTAGAGATATAAAGGCGGGCAACATACTCCTAGGAGAGGATGGAACTGTGCAAATCGCGGACTTTGGCGTCAGCGCGTGGCTGGCGACCGGACGAGATCTCAGTAGACAAAAAGTTAGGCATACCTTCGTGGGCACTCCCTGCTGGATGGCACCAGAGGTCATGGAGCAGGTAAGAGAGGAAAGTTACACTACAATTTCTTAGCCTGCGAGTGTTGTGCCTGTAATCGTGTTACGTTCTCAGAATTTAATTATACCCTTTGCAATACGTAACAGTAATCTGCTGCTATAACAGAATAATGATATTTATTTCTCGATTAGTTTAATTTCTTTTCTTCGTAATCGCCCCATGAACAAGGCAATGCATTTTTACGATATGATTAAACAGTTGTGTTGTGCACAGATGATCCAAGATGTATTATTTAAAGATTGAGTTTCCGTTTTTATCTAATTACAACAAATTGACAAGAATTGCTCTCGCATGATAGGTACACATTTATATGCTAGAACATGCATAGAAGTATATCGTTCAGATAATGAGCTGCATGCCTGGAAGTTATTAATTGTATATTCACCCTGCTGCCACAGATTTCGTTAAAATATGTTAGATAAAGTTTAACAGAAATTAAAGGATATTTTAAGGGATACGTTGTAGGTGCACATTTTCAGACTGCTTGCTTTACCGTGTATTTATTTGTGCAGGACCACGGGTATGACTTCAAGGCTGATATTTGGTCGTTGGGCATCACTGCCATTGAAATGGCAAGCGGGACCGCGCCTTATCACAAGTATCCCCCGATGAAGGTGCTTATGCTCACTTTGCAAAATGATCCGCCGACTTTGGACACTGCTGCTGACGACAAAGACCAGTACAAAGCCTATGGCAAAACATTCCGGAAGATGATAGTCGACTGCTTGCAAAAGGACCCCACGAAAAGGTATATTTAAACTTACTTTTTGTAAACGATCGCAAATTGCAGTCACTATTTATTTATAGGCCGACAGCCACTGAATTATTAAAACATCCCTTCTTCAAAAAGGCCAAGGATAAGAAGTATTTACAGCAGACACTGGTGGCCATCGGACCAAGTTTAGAAACGCGAGTACAAAAGGTATGCCCTAAACATTGTTAGTATGAAATACTGAGTCGAGTCATAAATAATTCCCGTTTTGCCTGCAGTAATTGATATATCAAAATGGAAATTATGACTGAACTTAATAGTTGCAATAAAACTTCTCATCATTCCAAAACTAATATAAAGTATTACGCTTATAATTATGACACTTAATTGAGAAACATTAGGTACCAATTCATTTTAGTAAAAATCTGAGGATGTTACCAATAAGCATTTCTTGTGCAATTGCAGTTCGTTTTCTTTAACTCGGAAATTTGTAAAGGGTACTTTATAGAAAAGTTATGTATAATATATGTCAAGTGAAAAAATTATGTTTGATCAACAGGCATCAAAAAGACAGCCTGGTACATCGGGTCGGTTGCATAGAACTGTAACTGGAGAATGGGTTTGGTCTTCAGAAGAGGAGGATAGTGGCGCTTCAAGTGGCGAGGAAAGTAAAGAGACGTTACCGGTTAATACTATCGATAACGGCAGTAGTGAAGAAGAGGCGCCCGAACCCGAAGATTCTTTCGGCCAAGTCAAAACTGCACGCAGCCATGTCGTCATTCAGGCAGCCGAACAGAACGACCCTATTAACCTAGTCCTTAGACTCCGGTAAGTCAAGTTTCCTTAGATGTTTTATACAAACTGATAAGTACGGAGATTATTAAAAATGCCCGATTTATCACTTTGCGTTCAGCATACATGTATATAATGATTGAACATATGAAAATCCATAAAAATATCTTACAAGTTTATTTCAAATACTTTTCTACTATTGCTATATCCTGCTTTTCTTACAGACGTCCAGACACCCAGTTCACTCAAGATGAAAGTCCAGAGTATGAACCAATCCTAATTATCCTGTCTACTCTATTTCCTACCTTTAATTCCCAAATAAGGGTTACACGTTTGAGACATTGCATTAGTAAAACATTTTAAATAAATTAATTACTAGCTGACATTTCCTTCGTAATATACAATCTTTTCATTATCCATTTTCTGTACAGGAATCAGAAGCGGGAGCTCAACGACATCCGGTTCGAGTTCGCGGTTGGCATCGATTCCGCAGAAGGAATCGCTGCAGAACTCGTTGGGGCAGGTCTCGTAGACGGAAAGGATATTGTCGTGATAGCAGCGAATCTGCAGAAGCTTATCGATAGCGGTGGCCAGCTCCGTACGGTGACGTTTTCTCTGGTGGGTAACATTGGAGTTAATATTATACAAACCTAATTTATATGCTGGACTAGAATTTTTCTTTCGTTTGTAATCGGCTTCTAATGAACACTTTCTGTATTTCAGAATTCAGGGTACGCGGCGAACGAAGTTCCGGACGACAAGGCGCTAATCGGATTCGCCCAGATCTCCATAACCGATTAAACATGTCTGGAAGTACGCTAGAAATCTCAGGATTTACGTTCTCAAGTGATACTTAGGAGAAGTGAGAGTTCTTGTTGGAAGCTGTAGGCCCGGTGTCCTTACGACAACGTCGAGTCGAAGTATTACGAAGTACACTTAGGGTACCCTTCGGCATACGACGGTCACGGCCACGTCCCGGGAGAGCTAGAAATCGTACCGCGGACTGAACTCAGTACCTTCGTTTCCTTGACGCCCCCTAAGAGATATCGTCAGACCTCGATAACAAGGCGTAAGTATGCAGGACTCGTAATCACTGGTATTACCGTGGCCACAGCAGCCACATCCTCGGAAATCCTACGATGCGCTTCCTTCGCAAACCTGGGTATCCATTTGAAGTAGTCCTGTACAAATTTTACTCCGGTACAATATTCGGTACACACGTGCATTCAATTAGGATCCCACTCGTCAATTAAGACTTCTACGTTGATGGAGTATTGAGTTACAGAAATTTTATTGAATAGGGGAGAAATAACTTATCTGAATATCTTTCCCTTAATATATTCAGGGAATTCGGCACGTAATCGATACTTTTTAGGCTTTTAGGAATGACTAATCGTACTGTATCTGTCATGCGCAGGTGTATACTGACTACCATAGGTGAGAAGTCACGATAAACATCTGTTTACAACAAAATTTGGATATGATTATATCGGATAAGTACCCAGGTTTGTATGTGATGACGTTCGTCCTCATCCGAAAAAGAAAAAATCACAAACGAGTGCACGTCAATTTCTGTACTGGTTTCAGGCTCTGCTCTCGCTTTGACAGCCGATCATCGGCTAGGAAAAATTCATGTAATCGATTCGCGACATTTCTCCGTTACGTTACTACTTTCTGTAAATATTAGCATTTTATTATGTCGTCCATTTTGTTCTTGGTTCTTTCTTCTCCTCAAGCGTCGCTAGCGAAGAGCTAGAAAAGAAACGAGATCTTAATCATATCGAAATTCGCGTTACCGAGAGAACTAATGGTGATTTTACAATGGTGCTTATGCATCCAATTTACTTATCTCTGGAATACCTAGTGCGTTTTATGTGGCGGAAAAAATCGGTTGGAGTAAGTTAGGGTATCCTGTTATCCGTAGAATCGTATAAGAGACGTCGATGTTATAGAAGTATGATACTCACGTATCACGATTTAATCCCAGTGAAATGCGAATTGATACTTCAGACAAGACCTTGGTACCTATTTGAGATAATTATAACCAAAATTCGCTATAAAAGAACGTTTACCATTGCTTTGCAAACAGTCATCGATAGATATCCGTGCATGATAAGGTATTTCAATAATTAATTACTAAAGATCTTGAATATATTCAATTAAGCCCCGAGTTCTTTGAACGTACTTGAGAGAAGTGCTTGAGCTTGATTGTTTTTTCTTTTTCTTTCTTCCCGTTTCTTTCAAACGAACTCGTGGATCTCGGTACTCAATTTGAAAAACTTTTATCGGTTAACGTTCGGGATTGAACGCAGGTATACGTACTGATTCCTAAAATGAGATTGCAAGCATCGTGCAGAATAGAATTTCACGCAGAACCATTCCAAATAGATGTCCAGGTCTGACGCTCGAGATACCTCTTGGTCGTGTCTTTCGTCGAATAGAACTCACTTTATCAACTCTTTAGTACAAAGCATAAATTATCGAGTAACCTTCGTGCTTCGTACGCAGACTTTAGGTATTAGGTAATTGTTCGGGAGTACTAATGAAAGAAGGGGAGGAAGGAAAAAAGAAACGATGTTGTTTTGTACTTAATCGAATAGGACGCGCGCGCGCGCAGCGATATATTGTACCTACTCTCATATTTTCACGACTTCGCGCGGAGCGGCTATCGTAGGAGAATTTTTTAACTTTCCACTCGCCTGGCATACTTTAATGAGTAGAACGAACGAGTTTTAGGTCCTTTACTAGGATTAAGAGAAAAAGAGAAGTCGATATATGTCGAAGCGGAATTTAATTTAGCGCGGTTAAGGGGATGTGAAAGTGGCATCCGAATGGCCAATCGTTCATGAAACATTTCTCCTAACTGGATGTACTGAATCGTTTCAAACTTTACAAAGTAAACGTTGAGGCTATAAGGAAGGCTCTGACGCGAATGAAATTTCATTTTTTATAATGAATTTTGATGATATCAATAAAGAAATTTTTTAAAAATTGAAATTTCATGGACGTCAGGACCTTAATTATAGCCTTCATGTTCACATTGTCAAGTTTGAAACGATTCGGTACACCCTGTTCGGAGAAAAGTTTCATAAACGAGGACCTCTTTGACGCCACTTTCGCCTGATCGTCTTAGGTAGGTGGTGCACGCTCGAGTTGTCGATCCCTACGTGCGCGAGTAAGGGCCGACCTCGGGTGATAAATTCTCGTCTAGTCTTGGAACGAATTTTCGGAGAAATTCATTCGCCTGCAGGTCGGAATGACTCATTCATTCTGCCCTGTGAGAGATAAATTGCACACCGGCACGTTCGTTTTTCTTCTTTCCCCTTTTCTTTTTTGCCTGTCCTTGGCGGCGTCGTCGGGACATCTTCGGCATTTCTACGCATACACGTCTCGATGTTCGCATTAAGAGCGGCCCGAGTATCGCTTTTCAACTCCAGACTTATCCGAGATAATTTAGCGCAAAATCTCCGATAAAACTAGCGCTTAGCGTTGCTCTGCTATCCGTAATTGGCACGTATAAAACACGCATTCCGGTATCGCGACCTCACGTACGAAAAAGTATTTTTTAGAAAAGCTAACTAAATTAGAAAGCTCTTCCGAGTTTTCAAATTTATCCGTGAAAAAGGATTTAAACGAGTGTTTTCTTTTTCTAGTAAATTTGTAAAGTGACGGCAAATTACGTTTTAGGGAGTTCGAGAAAAGAGATGAAACGTGGGGATGTACCGATATTCTTGGATTAAGACACGAAGGAGGTTTTGCGCAAAACTATTTTTAATTACTTGCTCGGGAACCCGATTCGCGAGTTTATACGATCAGCTTTTGTGTATGCGATTAATTAATAGGTTCGTATACGGCTCTAAAATGTTGACCAATTACGCGACTTTGCAACAGTGCAACATTCCTTTATGCGAATCTATTCGTACGCAAAAATAATCCACCTAAACTCGAGGGTCGGACCTCAGGTCTGGTACTAAATGAAAAGTTGATAAGACCAAATGCGATTTTTCCGCTTCGCGGAAACCGATCCAAGGCGAACGGTTCTCGGTTATCATTGATTGTCATACGCAATTTAAGCATAATTAAACGTTAAGCTGCAATGATAATAATCGTATAACCTAAGTAGACGTACGAGTGTAGCTGTTAACGCTGAATGGCACTACCCTTAGCACTCTAAAAACTCGGAAGACTTTTGACGGAAATTCCCGACCATTGGTTTTAGCTTAGACACGTTACGATAATATATGTGCCTTATCCTGATGCGATACCGCTAACTTATCCCCCACCTCCGACATTTAGAAATCGGCTTTGAAAGTGAACAAGGAAACGCTGCTCCTGGACTAACATTATGCCATTGAGAACTGCTGTTTATGCGGCGTGCTGTATTTAACAGCGAACTATGTATCGAAATAACTATTTATTTGTATTAATATCAAAGGACATTAGCAAAGAAGACACTGTGCTTTATTTACATCGCAGCGGCCAGTTATACGCCGACCCGGGGGTCTACTTGAATTAGTTTTGTACAGATTCTGCCCTAAAAATAAGGCCCTACCTTGTTATCCGAGAATGATTATCATGTACTTGCATTTGATAAGATCATTAGATACGTAATAATTAATTAAGAACCGTTGTCCGGATTTTTGGAGCGTGGCCGTGTTAAATATTAAAATTCAATTAATCCAGTTTCACTCGCGAAAGTGTACTTGGCGCGAAACTCAATGATATGTTTCATTTTAATGTCTGGCCGTTGCAATACCGTTGTTTTTTTCTTTTTTTTTTAATTTTAATTGAATGGATGTTGTAGAAAACTATTTCTAGCGGATACCCAGGTTTGGATTTATGCTCCTTAGAGAAGTGCAAAGAGCGTAAAATCGAAAACAAAAGAAAGGAAGGATGCACAATAGTACTTAATTTTGATTGCATTTAAAAAGGATATATAATACATAGCGACATATATAAATAAATAAATAAATATATATATATTTCTTTTATAAATCTATCACAGAAGCAATAGTTTACCCTTGCTTCTACTGTCTACCGATGTTGTCGCAAAATAAACTATTAATCTTTCTATGTCGCGTAGGAACTCCTTGTAATCGCGTCCGACAGTTCTCACGAATTCGCGAAATGGTTTTCCTTACCCAATTATCCTTCCATTATACATACTTCCCATCGTGAACTATGCTTGCTACGATAACGCTGTAGCCTCTAGATAGTTTCTGTGCTTTTTCAAGGAAACGGCCGAATTAGCGCGACATCACAATAAAAAAAATATATATACATACATTGTAAATGTGTCGTAATATACTGTTTCTACTGCAATGAAGAAGAAATAAATATGCATTAGATTTAAACTCTTTACTAGGCAGTGGAAATAAATTTATCTTATTCCCTTGAGTAAATCATTCGTTTAGTTTTACATAAGGCTAGCTTTTAAAATCACCTTTACTTTATGTTTAAAACACCTGGAATTGTATCAGAAACTTCAACTCTTCACAGGTCAATCATTTTAAGACATACATACTACTGAGTGATTTGTTAAAATCAGTAATTACTGTATTAACTTTCTAAAACCACTTAACCCTTTGCGGTCGCATTTTCCCAAGATCAAGAGAATTTTGGTGGCTGAGAGTAGACATACGACCGCAAAAGGTTAAAAAAAAATAATATGTACAGGTAACGGGAAGAAATGAATTTTACGGAAAATCCGCCACTTGTTCGCCATATTGAATAGTGCAATACGTAATAGGTTTGACAACATGGCGGCGACCTGACAAGTGCGGCACATTTGTAAATGCGAGTTACTATGTAAAACTTAACACAACTACTCAAATACGGAAAAAGACATTCATTCAAACTTTAAGAATATATTAATTGTGACGTTTCTGAATGCAGTAGAAGCATAAGAATGAAAGACGTGCAATATATCGACGGTATCCGCCATGTTGGATAACGTAATGCATCAAGTGCAGGCTGGTGCAGGTTGCATTATAGTTGCAATATAGTTGCGGGATAATTACAAGATGGCAGTATCCCATCAAATACAGAAACGGATGTGGATACAATTATACAAATCGTTGTACAGCTTGTCATGACTTGCCGCGGATTTCACGCGTTAAGTAAAGTTACCAGATACACATATACTGAAAGGTTATGCCATATGTATGAAGTACATACTTAATATAAACGTACGTTTTTCTTAAATGAGGAAATGATTTATTCACAATTTCTTTGATATTTCAACATTTTGTTGAAAATGATTTGAAATTCTTATCTGCTTAATTCTTTAAATTATAATTTTCAGTGAACCGATTAACATGAGATATGCAACATCCACCCGTCTTTCAGTTGGAATTATGGATAATTAAACTGGCTATGCATTTAATATATTGTATTGGTTGCAGGTGACCAGTCAATGTTGAAAATGGTTACGAAGCATTCCAGTTGAATCGATTGATCTTTGGGTTTCATCAACTGGAGTGTCATGATAAGGAAAAAGCTCCATACCAACACACCATTGTTGGTGGTGTTAGTTTTACTTATCCTCTTATACGTACATTATATGACATCTCTGAAATGTGTGTCTGGAGAATTAGCTGCAAAAAATAAGCCTAAATACAGGTTGATCGTTCTTATTCTTACCGCCGTTGATAATCTTGAACGAAGAGATGCTATTAGAAAGACATGGCTGTGCGACGACCATTATAACGTGAAACATCTATTTGCGATAGGTACTCTTGATATACAACCAGAGCAGCGAGATACTTTACTATCAGAAAAACAAAAGTATAATGACTTGCTTCTCTTATCGAAGTTGCAAGATTCATATAATACTATAACCAAAAAGATTCTTTACTCCATGGGACAGATTTATGAAACCTATGAATTCGATTTCTTATTAAAGTGCGATGATGATTCGGTTGTCCTGGTCGATCGAGTCTTGAAAGAACTTGACAAATGGCAAAGTCGAGGTATTAGAAAAGAGCTGTATTGGGGATTCTTCAATGGTAAAGCACAAGTGAAGAGAAGTGGACCATGGAAGGAAACTGACTGGATTCTATGCGATTATTATTTGCCATATGCTTTAGGTGGTGGCTACGTACTATCATCCAATCTGGTTAAATTTATCGCCAGGAATTCAGATGTCTTGAAGTACGTATATGTTCTCTTATTTTTTGGCGTAATTTGTATTGTTTCATTAAAAATCATATTTCTTATGTAGAATTCAGAATTCTGAAGATGTATCGGTTGGTCTTTGGCTGGCACCTGTAGCCAATATCGAGAGGAAACACGACGTGCGCTTTGATACAGAGTACAGGTCTCGGGGATGCTTCAATGATTACATAATTACACATAAGCAAAGCGTTGAAAGTATGAAAAATATTCATGATCTCCGAAAAGCAACAGGCGCATTATGCACGAAAGAAGTAAGGAACCGTATGAGTTACCAGTACGACTGGACTGTCCCACCTAGTCAATGCTGCAACCGGCAGTCAGGAATTCCATAAAGTATGCCATTCTGCTTCTTGTTCTGTATCATTGGCATATTCTAGTCGTAACCTGACATACTAGTTTTACATTTCTTATTTATATGCTAAAGGCAATAAAACATCTTCTTAAATCCTCTTCTCATGCTTATAAAAAGAATTGAAACTTCACAGCAGTTGCGGCATTTAGTTATATCAATGATGTACAAGTGCTTTTAAAACGAGACAATAATTAAGAACCAACTCTCCTGTAAACCAAATATATTTGATATTAACCATTATAATGTACTTATATTACATAGTTTGCCGGTAGCAAAAGTTGCCTATGCTAACCGATACCACTATACAATCGTAAAATATAAAATCAGTAATTAACTAGTATAGTCAGAGAATATAATGTTATTCGTAGTTCTTTATTACTCAGTGGGAGAATATTCCACAACTACGCATACGGCAGATCACAGACATTCAAAAACCGGCCACATAAATTAGTATAAAAAGTGTAAAAACCTTGTTCGATGTCAAGAGGATAATAAATTACTAGAACGAGATATTTAAAATAAGATTTAAAGGGAATTAAACGGATGGCCAATTCTCAAAATTCTTGTTCTCTGTGATAAGCCGAGACCACTGTGTCTTCATTACACCTAAAATTAACGGTAAGCCTCTATACAACGTTAAAGACTGATTCTTTTGAAGAGAATTATTGTTGTACTTTGAGACAGCTAACTAACATACAAGACCAATCATAGTTCCTGATTATTTACTCATTACCACTAATTCAATGGTACATTCTCCGAGAAACTGACCTTAAATAAATTAATATATTAACTTGAATTTTTATCACCTTGTTGTATACTTCATACAACATAAATGTATAAAGTTTGTTCTTTTTTCTGTACCTTTAGATACATTGCTCCCGCGACCATTAGTTTTATAATGCAATGAAGATGCAGTTATTAAATACTTGTATAAACTCTCATAGTTTTTACGTAGTTCGATTGCCTTACATGGCAGAGCACAAAAAGGTAACAAACTACTTTCAGAAGTAGCATACTGGAAAGACTGGCTTTCGCTAAGACGATTGATGATCTTCATCTGTTATTTATTTACTTCTTTTTTCGATCTTGCGTACATTTTGGACAATACCATTTACCTTTGGGTTTTGTAGTTAGACCAACACAGGCAAAGTGGAACCACTCGATCGGACACTGAACAAACAGAAATAAGAATCAGTCTTGGACACTTAATTGTCTGGCTTTTTACATAGATAAAAGTATAAATATTTACATCTGGATTATCACATCCAATCATTTCACCATATGAAACTTGGTGACACAAACAGTAGGTAGGTTCGTTTGGATCAACTGGCATATCCAGAACATCTGCTGGATGTCCTAATGTACCACCATCAGCCTGTGCTCCACTGCCAATAGCTCCGCTTGCTGTCGTAGAAGTTGTAGAACCACCTAAATATTCCATAACAAACAATTTTTTATATATGCCAATTCTAAGTTACAAATATATATCCCAGTTAAGTATATAAAAATAATTTAAAAACAATTTCAGATGTATAGGAATTATTTTTTAGAGAAAATCAAACAATACCTTTCTTTTGCTTCTTTCGAGCACTCTTTGATTCATCTTCGCTACTTGCTCCAGCAGTTCCTTTCTTTCGTTTTTCTTTTTCTTTCAGTTTCTTTCTACCTTTTTTGCTTGCATTGCCCTCTTCCTGAGCCCTTCCGCTATTTAGTGCCTTGTCCTGTATTTCAGCCTCAAATCTCGCCAAGTCTGAATCTAACCTTCTTATGTGTTTATCCACAAGTTCGTAGGTCTGTATAGCCAATTGAACCTTGTCATCCCCATATTCTTTAGCTTTATTGAAAAGACTTTGTATATGACTCAACTGCTCCTTCTTCTTCTCAGCTGTTTCCTTCTTCATGTTCCGTAAGTAATCATCAGCCAGCTTATCAATTTCTTTCATAAGACCCTGTGCTCTCGCATCTAAATCGCGCATTAATGTGAAATTTCTTTGCAACTCGATCGGCAAATGTTCCAAACCTAAAAGTAACATTTAGATTACCATACATTCCAAAATTCCTGTGCAGAGAAAAAACTTATTAATACGGGATGCATCCATTTTATTTAAGACAAACGTGTGCCCCAAATCTCGTTAATTATTTGGAAATAATTGCAATCAACTGAATACATTTAGATCAAGATGTACCTAAATAAACCAGACATATTTGTTTCAAGCGCCTTGATTATATTCTGTTCTTAATTGCATCTCGAGATTTGGGAACGGTTTGATGCCTTCAGAAATGTGTCAGTTCAAAGTACAACCTCAAATTCCTAACTTACTATCTAAATAATGTTCTAAATATAACGCAGTTGTCATTTTTCCTCAGTAAGTTAGACCGCGGACGCTCTTTTAAGCGATTCTTCCGCCCGAAGATTCCAATTTCTCAAAGGAACGTCAATAACCTATGCAACTCTCGACACCTTGACGTAACATTCTTGAAATTGTCACCAATTACTTCGCTGGCGGCGATCGATGGTCGGTAGCGGTGGAATGCGATAGATGGGTTTATGCATGTATTCTTGGATCCGAAGTGCATATGTCATCATACGTATACTTTTGGTACAAACCTGGAGTGTTCTTTTATCCACCGTACGAGAAAATCTGATTGGTCGGCCAATGCAGAGCTCATTACATGGGAACTGACCAATTGGCAATAATCACGAATTTGGGAATGTTAAGAGGATATGAAAGGCGCTAAGAAATTTAATCAACGTCGATAACAGAGATGAGTTGGAGATTGCTCAGGAGCAGGGTCGCGCGATTGTGGGGATTGTCGAATATATTTCACCACTTCATCTATAGCTCACGGGCAGGGTCGGGCAATCACATCCTGTGCTGCCCTCTGGTTTCGTACGTCAGCTTTCACTGTTTTTTGCCTCCAAGGGCGGCGAAACGAATTTCTGGTAGGGGCTCGCGTACTCGTGATGGTAATACCATGCGAGTGTTGACGGTGGTGGCTTACCTACGCGTACCAACACTGCTCGCTTCTGATGGTAAGGGAAGAACATTCGTGACACCCGCTTTGACTTTACTCTTCACCTACCTTATTTATTTTACGAGAAAGTGAAATTTTAGTTACGCAGCCAATTAAAATCGTCCGATTAGGCTCCCTTCCCGTTTCATCCTCGGGACGAGGATTCCAAAAGTCCCTTCGAACCAGTGGCGAAGAAGCCCCTACCAGAAATTCGTTGCGTCGCCCTTGGGGGCAAAAAACGGTGAAAGCTAACGTACAAAACCAGAGGGCAGCACAGAATGCGATCACGCGACTCTGCCCGTGAGCAATCTCCCAACTCATCTCTGGTTCATACGCGATTATTTTTATTGTTTTCATTTTATCAGATTTTGTAGTGTATTTTAGAACACACCTAGAGAAATACTTGCGTATGAACGAATACCTTGTTTTAACGAAAGAGAATCAAAGTTGAGAACCGCTGATGTAAACTAGTGATGGCTGCCTTCATGACTTATAATGGTTGAAACGGGTGATGTGTCGTCAAGCTGAAAGGAGAGTATCAATAATAGGAATTGTGTGAATAAAAGACATTTGTCGCCAACTGAATGGTCATCGTAGTATTTATCTGCAGAATTTAGAAGTAGTTGCTCCTTTTGCATTGTTTTTAACTCGTTTGTACATGTAGGTATGTTTGACAGCTCAGACATTGTTTAATTTTAAGGGTGTTCGCATGCAAGCAGATAATTTAAGTCGATAATTGATGACGTTTGTAATTAAGCGTTTGGAGTGCGTATTTATCACATGAATTTGTATACTATTTGATGAATGCTATATGACCAAAAAAGCCAAGAATGTAATTTTAAAAATGGAGTAGAAAATGGGATGCCAGCTGGTACAATAATTTATAATACTCTGTTCTAGATTACAATGGTTAAATTATACGCATTGTCCGTTTTATACAAGGCTCCCACCTCAGCTACGGCACTGAAAACTGCATATGATGTGGAATCGTTCTCCTTCTTTCAGCGAAGTAGCATCAAAGAATTCATGGCTTTTATTAGTAAAACGATGACTGAAAGGACACAGATCGCGGCAAGACAAAGTATCAAAGAAAAGGGTAAGTCTTTAAATACCGTTACAGTGTTCCCTTTATGATGTCTATACTATTCCGTAGAATATATGTGCCATATCTATGTCAGAGGAGACAGCTTGGCAGGTGTAGTAATTTCGGATCATGAATATCCACATAGAGTAGCTCATACGTTAATTACAAAAGTATTAGATGAATTTGCTTCCATACACCCATCAAATACATGGCCGTCATTGTGCGAAGCTACTTCGAATTTCCCACAAGTTAATACGTACTTAGCGCAGTATCAAAATCCCAGGGAAGCAGATGCGCTCACAAAGATGCAGTACGATCTGGACGAAACAAAAATAATTTTAGTAAGTTTATATTAATGTTTTATAGTTGGTGAAATACAATACTGTTTTTTCTTAACGGTGTAATATGTTTTAGCATAACACGGTAGAAGCTGTGTTGCAAAGAGGCGAGAAATTAGATGATTTAGTCTCTAAATCGGAGGGTCTCAGCATGCAATCGAAAGCCTTTTATAAGACGGCACGGAAAACCAATTCTTGTTGTAGCTTAACAGCTTAGAAACTGTTTGCTGTATTATATTTTAATAATCCTCATTGTCACTTTACTGTTGTTAATGTGCAAGAGACACCATCAAATAACGCCAAATGGCTTTCGTAAATGTCAGGATGATGTTTGGAAATCAAGGAAACTTTAATTTCCAAAATAAATCCTTTCCATTCATCCATGCCGTCTGGCAAATATATGGCGACTGCTCCTTTCTGCGAATTGCCAGTTGTCGCAGTCACTGCCAGTACTTCCAGAATAAAGTTGTCGACCGACTTGTATGGCGCATGCAAAATGGTGTAAACATTTCCTGGTAGGTAGTATTTCTACTACCAAACGGTCCTAAATTGTCACAAGCTAGTTAAGTAGCGGTGCTTATTCTGGTCCATACCATTGAGCCGTACATGGTGATGTAGCAGAATTTTTGAGGTACCGTGGACTGACATTCCAACATTAGAGATCTAGTGGTTACACGGTACAATAGAAATTATTGAAAATCCCTTGAGCTGTTAACATACTGGAAGAAAAGTATAAAACAAGTTATGTACATGTGTGCTTTATGATAAAAAAAAACAAATGAATCATGATATTCAAGTATATTCAATATTCAATTGTTTTTAACCGAGATTATCTTTTATCTTATATGTAAGAAATTTGTGTAACATTCTTTAGAAGTTTTATTGCCAATCAATTATTGCTGTATATAAATATTTTTTAAATGTTTCAACTTCTTTGCCATTACAATCTGGTAATAGTGACCGTACCTTTAGCGAATTCATGTTACATATTGTTTTTTTCTATTTCATGTTACATATTGTTTTTTTCTATTTCATGTTCCAATAAATCAACTAAGTGAAAATTTGAGCAAACAAAGGACAATGTGTAAAAACGACATAAATTCAATCGTTTAAGCAAACTCAGTGCAATGTATGATTTTAAAGTGCGACGTTTTCAAACTGCAAACCGTATATAATCAAGCGTCTATGTGGTTGGTGTTTGCATGTAGTTATGCGTTTGATGAACATTTTTAATAATTCTGATTGTATCCTAATATCATGGAAATAATACGCCTTGATGACACGTGAGAGCTGAGCAAGACTACAACAGTATGTGTACATTTGAAGATATATCAATATATTATATTGTATACGTTTAACTATTTGTAATTATTGTACCAAAAAGTACAAGAAAAGTGACGTGTTCGAGTTAATTTAAATAAAGAACGTTTTCAAATAAGGCAAAAATTTACTTAAAGGGCAAAGTTTATTTGTCTTTCTCCATGTACATCATTTGGGTAAATTTATTAATCAAGTACAATTTAAAACTTTTTAGAAATAAAGACAAACCTAAGATAAAAGCAATGGCTTTCATCCAACTCTTCCAACCTCGAAATGGTATATAATCCGAGATAATTGAAACATTTGCACAATTTTCCCGAATATTCTTCCTCATGTATTTAATCAGAATTATTGTGTAAAGCATTTGTACATAATCAAGTTGCTATCATTACGATAGAAAAGTTTTATGTAATTTACTATTAACCCTTTAACTACGGCGGAGTTGGATGTGGGGATGTACCACCTGTATGGATAGCTCAACAGCGGAGTGCTAATATTTTATGTGAATACGATATTCAATTGTTGCTTAGAATACATGAGAATGAAAGGGGCCACTATAGTAGCACTTTGTAAAAAAATGTCCATCGGGCGGAAGCCACTTTAATGGCACTTCGTAAAAATGATTGATCACATGGAAGCCATTATAATGACATTTCATAATTAAATGGTTAAGATAAATTTTATCTTAAGAGTAGTCGCAGTCGCCGTTCCTGAACTGTTAANTTAATTTTCATGAAAATAAATTGTATTACAGGGATGATTTTAAATGTACAATGGCTCATACATAAATAGAAACATCCATCCATTTTTACAAGAACAAGATATATGCAGGTGGAGAATCGGATGTTTCATTGCAAAGTATCATTTGGAATTGTATTAAGCACATGCCTTACATTGTTTCCAACCACTCGTATATTACAATTTTCTAAAATGTCAAGTCTGTTGCTTTACAACAGTGGAATGCTAGTACTGTACGTTACAAATGTACATACCAAAAGTATACACCTTTAGTTTACTTAATTGTTCCTTTCTTCGTACTCGCAGTTTTCCCATATAGTGCATCTAACGCTAATCCTGTAAATACTATGACTGTACCTATCCACTGCCTAGGTAATAAAGTATTTCCGAATAATAACACGGATCCTAAGACGGTAAAAAATTTCCTAGTAGTCGTTACAACCGCGCACGTCAATGGCCCAAATTCTGCTATAGTTAAAAATATAAAATGTTGTCCCAATGCTCCAGCTATGGAAAATGATAATATATGCCATAAGCAGTTTGGATGTCGTTGCAAAAACTGTATAAATGCTAAGAGTTCTCCGGAGACAATAATTGCCACACCAGTGAACAAAACCGACCACATATTCATGTTAATCATCATGTGTCCAGATTTCGTTTTATACTCTGCTCTCATTCTGTCCTGTATTGCACAAGTTATTCCATCCATCAACAGTGAAAGAATAAGTAAACATTCACCAAAGCCTACTTGATCATCCGTTTGCTTGACAGTTGGTTTGTTATCTTTAAACATGAATAATATGACACCGGTCACAATAAGTATGATAAATACATACTTCCTAGCGGGATACACCTGTGAAAGAACACTATATTAATACTTTGTGTATGCTTTTAGAATCTCGTCAATAACTCCACTGCCACATTAGAAAGCGACCGATGGATAACTATTTTCAGTGATAAGTATAACGAAACTTATGAATGAACGCTAGTTTTTTCAGTTTATAAGAGAAAGGGTGCAGTTGTAAACAAACCTTTTTTCCAATCAAAACACCGAGCACCATTACAGGAATCGGTTTTCCAGCCTTTCCGACAACCTGAGTCGGATAGTTGACAAACTGGAGGGCCATAATACTACACACCATTGCAAGGATATAAGCGAGAGCGGAACTGGCATAGTAGAAAGTGCTCGTAGTGTCCTCTCCTTGATTTAACACGGCAAGCATCACCTTGGCAAAACAGTAATTAATGAGGCACTGGATAAAGACGAGGACAAACGTGTATGTAAATTTTTCCTTATTCTCGCCATCGCCGTATTGTCCTCTGGTTATCTTTTCCTGGAGCACGGCGAAATAAAAATAACAGACAAATATACCCCCGGCGTAAATGATTAATTTTGTCTTAGCATTTCTGTCGGTCGTCATGCTTATCAAAGATATATTTCACTTAAGAGCAACATATGGTCAGCGAAAACGTTCAAAACGCTACCACATCGAGGTATACAAACTTGTGCGTGGCTGTCAGCGGTTATGTCGTTATTAAAGAGATGCAAAGGGGGTCTACGACCTGTTTCATTGTCATCACTGAACTAGCGGCATCTTCTGGCTGAGCCTTGAAACTGTTCCGCACTAATAACATAACCTGTCGGGTAAGGAGGAGGTCCCATTGAACGCGATACGTCAGTGCGTCAGAATGACAAACCAATCGAAACTGCGGTAGAAAAGAAATTGAGGTTAAGCGTACTTTTGATTGGTTCTTCATTCATTACGCATGGATGCGCCGCGGTCTGTGCGATATTGAACGCGCTCAGTGGGACATCGGCCTAACAAGGAGCATGTCCATGCTAAGCGTGAAACAGATTCAACGTACAGCACTAGTATTCTTGGTGTATTATATTTAGTGTTTTTAAATTCTTGAGAATTTAAATTCGAGTAATATAACCGAGAATATTACGGTAATTAAAAAATCCCTAGAGAATTTAAAAGAATTTACGAGGTCCCTGAGAACTTTCATTTAAATCAATTTCTAAAAGTAATTTATTACTTTTGATAAGTAATATTCATTATTGCAAGGTACTTTTTATAAACAGTGCCCCTTTAATTTGTTATTCCTTTCCTGCTTGCTATGACTTTCTATTTCCGCAGTTTGCGTTACCACTCTTATTTAGTATTATATTAATAAGTTATATTAATATTAATAAGTAATATTCATTAAGGTACTTTTTGGTATTGTAAATTTATTTAGTTTACATGATAAACAGTATTATAAGGTAAAATAATAACAGATTATTACGCGTAAAATGGAATAAATACGTGCTGTATTGTAAAACTAAATTATATATCACTACCCTTCGTGGTTTTTTCTGTTCTATTGCCTTTCGATTCCCCTTCCTTTCAGTTATGCCGCTGAATATGTATGCATATAAATATATACTTAAGCGTGTACTACTTACCTAGGTACGAGAATGCAATGCTGCACGGGTTTGCACTTGCACGTGACAGTAAAGCACGTGCACTGCACTTCATGACTCTCGTGGATGAAAGGGACTTCGACGTTCCTAGGCCGAGTCAGTCGGCTTTTCTCTACTAATATATTCCTATTTACAATATTGCCCAATAATTTTCTTTAACTTTGAAGTTTCACTTTCAATGCGCGCACCGGACTGCGGATCAATACATGTAAAAAAAAAAACCTTTTGTATTGTTTGAATAAAATAGCACTGCTGATAAAGTTTTGCTCTTCCTGCACTAATAATTGCACCGAGAGCAAACATGTTTACAATTGCATCGAACGTAATCGAAACCACAGGAGAGCTTCTTCGGGAAAAAGAAAATGTTTGCTAAAGTAGCAAAAGAAATTATAATCAGCAGTCAAAAAAATAGTATCGTCCTCTACTCGAACAAACGAGCAATATACGATTTGTTATCGCCAGGAAAGAATACCGTAACCATGAATAGAATTTGTGTTGCTCCAACGAAATAATCGTTAAGGTTAAAAGATTTCGCTGACCAATTTGGAAATTTCAGTTTCGTTGAAGCAAGTACAATTTCTTGTTATCCTTGGGTTTTTCTGCGGGTGTAATCGAAAATAATGTTCACCGAGACGGCATCGATTAAATTCGCTTTCGACATTGCATTCCAAAGAATGCAACGATACAGTAATTAACTATTACGGTGATTAATTGAGTAAGGGGCCAATATTCATTTTACTTTTCCTCGGTATGTCTTGCTTCGATCTGTTTGTCCATTTTGGGAGCCTTTCGAATGAATAAAATTGAACAAGACTCGTCGAAGCGATGGTCACGTGTCGGCCTACAGAGTGGAGGAGCGAATGTCCAACTGGAAAACGTGATTCGGAATGTAGTCATTTCTCTCGAGTTACACGGCAGCACGTGACCATTGGCCATTCGGTGAGCCGCCGCGTTTGGTTGTTCACGTTTAAAGGGCACTTTACGCAATTCCGGTGAGTTTCTTCCAAACTTTAACCCTTTAATTACGAAATGCCACTATAGTGGCCCCCTTCATTCCCACGTATTCAAAGCGCAATTCCGGTGAGTTTCCTCCAAATTTTAACCCTTTAATTACGAAGCGCCACTATAGTGGCTTCTGTATGACTGACGTTTTTTTACGAAGCACCACTATAGTGGCCCCCTTCATTCCCATGTATTCAAAGCGATAAATGAATATCGTATTCATATAAAATATGAGGACTCCGTCGTAGTTAAAGAGAAAAAACAACTAATCTGCAATCAATTGATCGTCCGTATATCTCGTAATTTGAAATCAAATCGGCCCTTGGGTTTGAAATTTTGAACTCAGAGGTTCTTAGGAGGTAATCGCGCGTCTTGTCAAAACTGATAAGTTTTGGCTCGATGTATACATACTAATAATCGGCAATGTTTCTCCGTCAATTTATTAGTCCACAACTTTACCACGTACAAGTCTATACAAAGGAAAGATTTCTTTCAACACTTCTGCGGATGACAAGACATCGCACAAAATGAAAATGATCAGAGATCATGGCTCGTATATGTTCTCGAATCGAGGAAGCAAATTATAACCATTTTTAATGATATATCGATTCAACCTAATCTTTTAAACGAGGAGTTTATTTAAACGATTGCGATATTTAAAGAAAGAAAAGAATCCTGATGTAAAAGAAACTAGCTACTTTTGATTTTTTTAAAGAAATCATGATTTTTATCGACCCTGCACTTTATTCATGTAGCGCAACTAGATACAGCTGCTGGTCTTTAAAAATACAAATTTAACGTCTACATACACCCAGCTTCCGCGAAATCCTTTTCAATCTATCCAGGACACCCTCGTTGTCTCCCTGTGTACTCGATCATTGATACGGCTACTTTGGAATATATCACAATCGCGCCTTACCTTTCTCTTCCCTCGACGGAACCATCGGGGTTACAGCTGATCGCGCGAGTGCTTACTTGGTCATTGAAGATCTCGCTCGCGTTGCGCACTCACCTCAAGAGGAACGCCTCTAAGCAAATTGTGCCATTAAAATATCTTTCTTATCGCAGATGTTAGCAGTAACGAAAATAGCGGAACCAACATCTCTCGGCATGAACAACGAGCGATTCATGTCGATCCTGACATTAGATGACAAGTCATCGTTAAAATCAATCGAGATCGATAACACATCGATGGATGACTCTTCGTTGGATACGTTGCCATCGTCAACATCTAACGCGTTACAACTCCTACGAATTAAAAGTTGCACGCGGCTTTCTCAACGAGGTAAATAATAAACAACTCATTCGTATGATTAACAAAATCATGATGTTTCGGATTCCTCGCTTTCCCGGTCCTCGAGAATGAAAGTTTACTGATAAATCATTTCCAAAGTGTAATATCGGCACGTTTTACTTCCTAGGGAAGTGTACCGCCAATTTTCAAGTTATTGTCAATCCACAAATTCGTAACGAGCATTATTCAAGCTATGTATTAAAGAAATAAAAAAAAAAGAAAAAACGATATACCAGTAAAAGATTTCAAGCGACTTTCCTAAGTACCATGATATTCACCGCGTAATTGCACGCTACTTGTTCATTTGGCTAATACCAGTATCTTGTATCTAATTTCGAAATTACTCTAGTACTTGAAAAAAGAAAAAGTACGATCAGATTACTACATATAGACCGATTGGCAGTCTCTAATGAAGCATGTGAACGATGTTAAAGGTATTTTAACACTCGCAAACAATTGCCGCTACCTGAGAGAACTCTCATTGTCGTACTCGCTACTTAGCGAGGAATTACTGTTGGCTCTCAGTACCGAGCACCACGTTCGTTTGGAGATCTTAAGGGTGGACGCTCACCCGGAAACGAAACCTTTTCCAAAAATTGGCGAAAAAGCATGGACCACTCTCGCCAATCACTTGCCAGATCTAAATTTCATATTGTAAGTATCTTATCAGTAACTAAACAGTTGATTTCCTCGAAGCTTTGGCCTAGCCAAAGTGTAATCATTGAGCTGCAAAGGAAGTCCAATTCGCAAAATCTGTTCTCTATTTATCTTTAAGGTGATATGAAAGGGCTATTACATACATATAAACGTGAAAATATTGATACAACTTTTCTCCAAACTGGGTGCACCGAATCATTTGAAACCTCGACACGTGATTATGGAAGTCCTAAAAAAGAATGTGGTATTCATGAAATTTCACTTATAAAAGGTTAATGTTAATCATACATATTTATGTTTTCTTGGTTCTAGTCTGGGCTAAACGGAAACATTTTTTTTTTTATAAAAAATGAAATTTCACGAGCACCACGTTCTTCCTTAGGACTTCCATGGTCCCATGCTGAAATTTCCATCGATTCGGCGCATCCAATTTGGACAAAGGTTTTATAAATATTTTGACGTTTTACATATATATATAGAATAACCCTTTCATATTACCTTAACACTTTAACTGCAAAAGACGTGTATATACGTCCAATATTTGGTTCAATATTGCGTACACGTCTTCATGAATTTCGCCCCTACGTCGAAAAATCTTGGCAGTCAATCGGTTAATGATATCTTCCCGATCAATATTTAAATAATAAAATACGATTATGATTTTGATATCCGGAAACTTTTATTATTTCTGGATTTATGTATTTAAATGAAATGCTTATTAAATACGTGTTACCTTCAGACTGTCGTATTTAACTGAAGAAGAGGACTACGAAGCTCTGCTTGCATCTCATATTCCAGTCACGCATCTGTATTTCGGCGAGATAACAACGTCAAGAATCTTATCCAGAATCGGCAAACACTGTCCACGACTTGTTGAACTTGTTATCGGAGCTCATGGGCCAAGTCTTCTGGATCATGCTCTCATTTCCATAGCCAAGGGATGTCCTAAATTATCAGCTGTTGGTTTAGGCGACTGCGAACTAACGTATGGCCAAAATCTAGTTTTTTGGAAATGTCGACTTGAAATTTCAACTATCGTAAAACCAAAGATTAGAAAATTTTATAATTACGTATTGCTGATTATTGACCCTGTTGTGAGATATCTTATTAACACTCAAGTCTCCCCAGTATGTCTCCGAATAAGACTTCTAATTTTTTCTTCTAAATTTAAATCATTTAGTTGATCTATAAAGTCTTATTAATGTTCCATTTAATGTGGATTTTTTAAATGCTTTTATAGTACAATACATATCTTAACGATATTCAATTTATTTTCATCAAATATGAACCGTGAATTTATGTTGCTTTAAAATTGATTAAATTGTGTCTACAAGAATTTAAGTTTCACCGTTTCTTTTTTTTTTTTTGTTTAATTTAATGCTTTTACAATAAATGCATTGATAAGTCATTGTTTTCCAGGTGCTCCGGTTTTGTAGAGTTTGCAGCTCTGTGCGGCCAACGTTTGCATACGCTTTATGTTCTGGAGACGTCTCTTTTGGACGACTCGAATTTTGACATTACAGAAGCATCCGCAAGAGTTTCTAAACTTTTAGGACGTACGTGGACACCGGAATATGTTCCACTATGGTAAAATGCCGTACGTGAAAATTCAAGACTGCCAAGAGTATTGCAAATTAATTGCATTTAAACTCGATGTACAGATAAGTTCTCTAATTTTGTTCCTTCAGTAAAGGAAAATTATCAAATTTATGATTGCATTTTGCAGAGGTCGGACCATGTTAAAACTGATCATTTATTCCTCAGTGTCTGGATAAGTTAAATAAGTCAATTAAACTCCCTCAATACAATGGAAATAACGTTTAACAGTCGATCCGACAGAAATGATTGTTAATACCAAAAAATATAAACTTTATTGGATTATAATAGGTTTCCCTAGGTGTAATGTATATAAAATAAAATAATATCACTAACTATTAATCAACCGTCATTATTGATAGATATGTATAATATATAATAATAAATGTATACCGGATTACTATATTACAACGTGATCTATACACCGATTCTATTATACAACATAATATATGAGTGGGCATTTGGCGCTACGTTTTTAGCAACTTCAACAGCAATGGTTCTACAATAAATTACAATTTCCTAAACTCCATTGGCCTCTCTCTTTCATTTTTCTTTTCTTTTTTTACTCCTTAGTAATACTAGTTTATAGATGCGAGGCAGTCAGTCTTGTATCTTAGCCAATCCGTCCAATCTTTCTGCTTAATAAGGCTGACCAAATTAACGCTTGTCAAATGTCGAGGCTGTACTTTAAACCAAATACTGCATAGCTTGCAAATAAAATGACGACAAAGAAATAATTGATTTTCACTCATTTCAGTGTCTTACATGTACAATGAAACCACTAGAATCAGTTGCTAAATAATCAAACTACGTTAAAGAAACATTATTTTACAAATTATACATATTATGGCACGTGTCGTTGGAACTTGACTACGTGTATCGAATACGACTTCTTACACATGATGTCCTGTTGCGATTAATACGCAGTAAATTGTAAGTTCATGTAAGTAGATTGTACATCAAGTAGTTGAGACTGTAGAATTGCACTTATAGGAGATTACATGTTATTCTGGTTAGCCTTTGTGACTATGTAAAGCACTTGAAAAGTAGCGCGACTGTAGAGTTAAATCTGTTAGTATTCATCATATCAATCACGTGAGAAGCCTAGCACCTCGTGGTAATGTCTTAATTCAGTAGGGACAGTCATTTAAATAAATCTTGTATTCCGATTCTCAAAGAGCAACTTGTATGCGCTAAATAGTTGCTTGGAAATCTGTCCCCACTAGCACTGACATCATATAATAGAAGGAAGTATTTTATCATACAAATGTAATACGTAACAAAAGAAAGTAACAAATTTAATTTTATCTTATTTTTACTATAATCTTTTAACTATCCCAACTGAGTTATGGCTTTACCGTCTTCAATAACACATTAGCAATTCTAATATTGCATTATAATAAAGCGAAGGTGTAGCAGTAAATCGCACACGCTTTTTGACGATCAAAGTCGAGACATTTACCTTTATAAAAAGTTATGATTGTATGCAGTTTCAAATCACTCGGTGATATGTTAAGCTCAATTTAAATGTTTCCCAGAGTAACATGAGATTTAAATCGCACACACGTTTTAGCCCAAATAATGCCGAATTATTAATAAGAATAATGTCTTGTATATTGATGTAGTCATAAATAAATATACACAAAATAGTAAGTAACAAATATTAAACATGTGTATTAAATGTCAGATTGTAAATTGAGTTGGAAAATTATAATCGTTACACATATAGCGATTATTGTAGCGATTTAAAAATATGACTGATATTTTATATAGAATCGTCAGAAAGCGCGATGATTGAAATTAAATGGACGGATTGGTTAACTTAACCTAAATGTGAGTTAAGTAGTTGAAATATCCTGACTTGACAGGACATTAAACTACGTAACATCACTGAATATTTTCTTTTGAGCTAGTTAACTGAGAGTAATAGTCATGAGTTTCTTAGAAAATTTGCAGTTACTTATGCACCTTTCTCTCTCAAACAACAATTCTAACATAATAACGACTGAGTTGTATCAACATTGACCTTGCAATGTAGAAATACATTGACCTCGGCGTCACCAGCACTTTCGTAGTTAAGATCTGTTTTCTGCTATAATAGGTAGCTTGAGTTACATGGCAAACTGTTATTTGCCAAACATCTACTCTCAGAGTGTTTTAACATGCTTGTTCACTGACAAGTCAATGGATACTGAATTATTAAACAATCAACTCATTGCAAGATCTGTCTCATTACTGTAGGTCTCGATACCGTTGCAGTATGAATGTTGTTTCTTTACAATTTTATACAGCAACAATTCCACTGAAAGTGAATAATTTTGCTGCATCATTGTTAAGATACCATGGCGAATTTTAAATATTCACAGAAAGTACCTCAGCCAAAACGATCAGTCAGGCATGTCTATCGAAATTATAGGCACAACAGGTTTCGTTAGGTCAATCTTTTTAATGTGCTTCTCGTTCTTTTCAGAGACCATAGGCTCCGATGGTGGCTGATCGTGGTCACTTCTGGACTGATAAGAGATATTACCATATTCTTGGAGTAATGGGCACAGCCCAAGAAGAAAATGACAAAAGTCTTTTCTGATTCCAAACCACCCTAAGAGACATAGTATCAGATAGCAAATATGAGAATTGACTTAAGAATTGTGAAGAATTTTAAAATTAACTCTGCGGTCGCGTTTTCCCTAGGCGTGGTAAGCGTGGCTGAGAATATTCCGGGATTTGACCACAGAGCTAAGATTTTATGAGTATGTAGATGTATTAATATCAATTAGTAAAAATACTCACATCTGTTTCCTCCCTTAGCACCAAATGACATTAAAATAAGCGTAATGTGAGATAGTAATAATGGAGCCGCTACTGTTGTGTAGTTTAGAGATATATCTTCATCAAGCTTGTTGGCTAGCAGCACCTAATGCACATTGAAATATATTATAACAAAATTTTGATTAATGTAATTCAACTTGCAATACTCTAACTTACTTGAAATATTAAAATGGGAACTACTAAAAATGTGTATGCTAGAGCAGAATTCAAAGAAGTTCGTCTTTGTCTCGCATTAATTTGAGGGGTTCTTAGTAAAACAGCTGCGAATACTATAGCATACAGTACCGCAACAAGCGATAAACACAGTAAGGCCCATAGAGGCACGAATACAACCTCCCAACTCCAGGTAATAAAACCATCCAATCTTAATGCTAAAAAAATGAACTGTAACACGTTAACCGCACAAAATAATTCTAATTCGAACGAGCGGTCATGTTTCACAGCCCAAATGCATACCTGCAAACAAAGAAATTTTTCAATGAACCTGAACATTTATCAGCTTGCTAGACAAATATGCACGTTGTCAGTTATCATTTTCAATAATAGGAATTCATTTAAAGTATTTACAAAGTACTCATACTTACAGCTATAGATACAATAGAGATAAAAATCAACGGTATAAATACAAGTATCCATAAATGTCTTTCCGACTCCAGTTTGTCACAAACTAGTAATTCAAACATCAACAATATCAGGTGCAATGCTAAAGTAATCAGCATTGCTTTATAATGTACATAAGCCTCTCCTTCTAATCTTGCGTGGGGATGCCTCCACCACACGTAACTTCCAACCGTAGCACCCAAAATAACCATGCCCTTCCAGAACCATATAGGGCTGAATACCGACCAATAACTCCATTCTATGAACCCATCTAGTCGTAAAGCGAACAATGAAGTAAATACCATGAGGCATGAATGGACAAGAAATTTGCTGAAACGAATACAAAAAATTTAGTGAACAAAAATGGATTACATAGAATTTGATAAATATTATATATATTTTCTAACGACTTCAGAAATGATCTATTATGCTCCCATGCACATTTGGCAGAACGCGTACCCTGCATAACGTTCGATTAAATTTTTAATCTTATTCCAGAATACATCTCGTATAAATCGTTAATCAGTGACTTCAATGGATCTATAACTTAATATATATTCATAACCTGAATCTTATCTAATAAGACATCCTCGTCATAGAGTGAATCGTATATGGATAAGTCATACAATAAGATTAAGGTGATCGAGATAAAAAAAGCCTGCGTCTCTCTCTTGAACATTACCAGGAAATTTTCAAGAAAATAATGAGTAACGTCTCGAAGAGATCAAGGACGACAAAAGAAATTCAGTTGTAGACTGATAATTATTAACGCAAACACTCAGAAGAATTATTAATTCGAATTTGGCTTGTAAGAAGCTTATCTAATGAATAATATTAACACAGAGTAGGGAAGAAAATAAGCTCCTTTAAAGGTGCATAAACTACCTCGGGTTGAAGTCTTGAAACAGAGTTTGCAGATTCATGGTTATCCGCGAGGCTCGCCGAATAGGCCGACTTTCTCACGAGGTGCGAATCCTCTTAAAGCGCGCACTCATTCCACGGCCGGGTACTATTTTACCCACAGCTTACCGCAAAAGAATGCGTGCATGAACTCACACATTTGTTAGCATAAAAAATAAATTCTCAGTCACACACAAAAATTTGGAGTACACTGAAGGCGGTCGCTAGTTCGGTCAAAAGATGGAACGGTCGAGACTATCGCAGTTCAAGTTAGCCAAGTCCTAAGAGTGTGACAAGTGTCTCACAGATCGCGGCGCGTCAACGCGTCGAAGATGAATAATCAATCAGAATTGCAGTGGAAATAACGCACATGGTTAAGCGCAGTTCTGATTCGTTGTTCATACTTGACGCGTTGACGTCCCGTGGTCTGTGTGACACCCAAAGGTCACTCAGGGGAATTTTGGCACAACCCGCGAAATTCAAAGGATCATTGAACTATGATGCAATTTCTAATTTTAGAAATGTATACATTATATTTAATAACGCAATGCTTAAAGTGATAGTCTCTGCGTGCTCTATGTTAAGAAGGATATTTCCTGTTCTGTATATTCTTTTAACAATTATTATCAATGCAATGCGAAAATGGCTAAAGAATGAAACTCTGTGTATTAGATTTCGGAAATATTAATATGCGGGTTTTCATCGTGTGTAAGCTTTTTAATACTATTTTCTCCTTAAAACTATCGTATATGTATCGACGGGGTAAAATAAGACACAACAGTGAATGTTTTATCGAAATATTAAAATTAGTTCCGTTGCTAGCTAATTTTGGAACATACTCCATTCGGCATTTGGAATCACATGGAAACGCGACTGCAGCTTGTTTCCGGTGAAGGACCCCTTTCCGTTTTCTGTTTCTAAACATGGCGGTTGGGAAAAATAAGGGGCTCTCGAAAGGAGGCAAAAAAGGTGTAAAGAAGAAGATGTAAGTCGTTAATATTATATTAATACGATTCCTTGCATGTGCTACATTTATACACAATTAAATTAACTTTTCCAAATGTTGAGATGGCAGCGAATGAAACAGATTATGGTGACTCGTGACACATTCACATCCTTGCGTTCCGGCATCATTACTCGATAATTTCATTTTAATTTAAAAGACAATCCCGAAAGTAGAAAACAAGTTATAATGCGACCCCGTACATTACGAATTTTTTAGTTTTTTAATGAGATAGCTTTAGTTACATTTGAATACCAAGTCTTTATGGTTAAAGTAAACCACTAAAAATGTTACTACACTGCTAAAGTAATCGCATGTGAGTGCTACAGAAAGAATTTGGGTTTGTATATAAATATCTGTAAATAGTTAATTAATTGCTGTTTCAATTTCGTTTTAGTTATCTAGTCATCTGTTATAACCTCAAAAGTTATATTAAAATGTGGAGGATGTACAATTTACTTTTTTATAACATTTTTATCTTATATTCTTACATTTAAATATATCTCATTTTAATTGCAGTGTTGATCCTTTCACTCGTAAAGATTGGTATGATGTTAAGGCCCCAACCATTTTTGATAATCGCCATGTGGGAAAAACATTGGTTAACAGGACGCAAGGAACAAGTGAGTTAACATCATTTATTATTGCCAATAAATGAATTGGATTCTATCATGCTCTAGTTTTGATTTATATAATTTAGATAAAACTACATGCAACACCAGCTCCACATAAGATCAATATTTCTTCTGTGGCGTTTTACGTTGCTATAAAAAAATTCAGTCATGATACCAGGTCATATCTGTTATCCTTAGGATATGACAAATTGTTTGCTTGAAACAAAATTATTTAACATATACAATTGCAAATGCTGATTCATACTGTGATAAATAAATAATTAACCTTAATGTTATTAGAGATTGCATCCGAAGGCTTGAAACATCGTGTCTTCGAGGTGTCCTTAGCTGATCTGCAAAATGATCAAGATGCCGAGCGGTCATTCCGTAAATTCAGACTGATTGCCGAAGATGTTCAGGGACGAAGTGTATTGACTAACTTCCATGGTATGGACTTAACCACAGACAAGTTGCGATCGATGGTCAAGAAATGGCAAACCTTGATCGAAGCTCATGTTGATGTGAAGACTACCGATGGCTACTTATTGAGAGTTTTCTGTATTGGTTTCACCAACAAGGATCAACTCAGCACAAGGAAAACTTGTTACGCTCAACATGCTCAGGTATGAAATCGAGTTTTCTGTAATAATTATCAAAAGTAATAAACTTTATTTTTCATAATCTATATTTTATTTAAAAATTAAATATTTTTAAATCAAAAATGTGCAACGAAACTTCTATCTGAGTTTTTAGTAACTTACATGGATATACTATGTTGCGCAGAGGAAAGCAGATGCTTACCACACAATTTCAAGTATAGATATTGTGAAATAATTTTCTGCGACACTTTCTAACAATGTTTACACTAATGCATGTAATGGTTAAAATGGTCCTGCAGAATCGATGTATTTCTAAAAAGTATTACCATATTTGTTTAGGTTCGCAATATCCGCAGGAAAATGGTTGACACCATCACAGATAACATTGCCAAGGGTGATCTGAAAAATGTTGTTACCAAACTTCTTCCCGACGCCATCGCTAAAGACATAGAGAAAATATGTCAAGGCACTTATCCACTCCATGATGTCTTCATTCGCAAGGTTTGTCTTAAACACAGATCTTGTTCTAATATCGTAAACACAGACACGTGGTCTTAGGGACTGTCTCAATTTTTTCGCAAATAAAGTGCAGATAATAGTTAAACTCTACGAAAGTTAAGCCTTTTAGTAACCAGATAGAATTAATAGTGCTCGGGGAGATTATATTTATAAAAAGTATGTAGAGAAAACAGGATAGAATGCATGGCCTGATCCAACAAGGTTTGCGAGACCACTTGGCTGTATTTCAAAGTTAACATGTTTCAATCTTAATACGATTCCTATATTTTTGTATAAATCTTACATAATGCATTTTATAGAAAATGATGGAATAATGTTTATTCTGATCAATGCAAGATATTTAATAATGATCTTGTATTTTATAGGTAAAAGTATTGAAGAAGCCACGTTTTGAATTGAGTAAACTCCTTGAACTCCACGGCGAAGGTGGCAGCAGCAAGAGTGGGGAAGTTGGAGAAACCGGCTCCAAGGTAGATAGGCCTGAAGGATACGAACCACCTGTACAAGAATCCGTTTAATAGAGGTGTTACTCGTAACTACTCTTTATAAAATAAAAAAAAATTCTATTGCGGAATTTACGTGTGTTGTTTCACTTTCCATATACACTCGAACCTTTTCTACTATGGTACCCCTGTTACTATATCTGTCCTATAACATGATATTCTTATTAGTGTTTCTGTATAGCGTGATTTAGTAAACTTAGACAACCCTCTTTATAGCACGAATTTTTCCACCGTGCCGTTTTAAAATTAAGTTTCGTTCAATACGGTTTCAATACAACATGGAACGAATTAACCATGTCATAACAGGAATCAAATTCTTCATGTATTACTGTAGTAAACTAATAAGTGATACATTTTGTCTTGTAATAGCATTTAAATCGTGATTACTCGTAAACTCGTAAAAAAAATGTATATATTTTCATCCAAAATTGTCAATTTCAAAGTTATGAAAAATTTAGTACGACTCGGAAAGAAGTTATCTCTGTTTAACCTGTGTTAATTCTTGCACAAAATCTAATTTGGCATTGGCAGCATTTATAAATTAGAATGTCAAGGAATCAAAGGAAAGATTTTAATAACGAAACCTAGTTCTACTCTTAAATATGATACTCTTATAAACAAACTGCATAGAATTAACGTTTTATTTGGTCATATTATAATGCAAAGGTACTTGAAAGATTAAGACTATGTGGAATCAGTTATGGAGATTGTATCTTAGAAATATACGTCCAACTGCTGAACACCAGCGATCGAAAGCTGTCACTCCAAGAAGCCAGCAGGTAGATCAGAAATACGCAAAATAGGATCTTTGTGATTACGTCCACCCAGTACATCCTGTTACATGGAAAACAGAAGAAAATTTTTTGTTATAAATCATACACATTGACGGCAAAATAATCAGTTTTTCAATTGTGACTTACACTCTCAAGTGTCGACGGGCTGCTGGTAACGTATCGGGTGGTTCGTTCAGTATGTAGATTCTTGCAGCCCTTATGCAGTCCTCAAAATATGCATCTATATCCATGTCATCACCATGGAGCTGATAATTCTTCTTCTCTCGAGGATTAAATTTATCCCTGACTCCTAACATGTTTGAGTTAATAAATTCCCACTGATTGTTAGCGTAATATTCAAAAACCTCAAATCCTTTTTGAATACGTCGATGGACTCGACACATGCTGCAACAACGTTTAGGATTAGCATCTTTTATAGAATTTCACGTAATGAATTCTTAGGGGTATTCTCCTCACATTGGCTTGTGACCGGCGAGGAATATTAATGCATCGATGAGGTAGGCTGGTATCATGTGGAACAGTAGTACGCAAATATTGTGCATAAGTCGTGATTTCTTCATACTCCCCCCAGGATACCAAACAATCCCGTTTAAAGGCACTTTCTCGGTGATTCGACGTCCTCTCTCTATAATCTCTGCCCACGACACCTGCCAAGCATATCATTTATTAGTATATAAACATTATCCCGGAAACACATTTTCTATTAAATTTAATTCAAGCGCCGCCGAGTTCACCTATCGCGCTGCATCTTTTTAAATTATTATTTCTTTTTTCAATATCAAATCTTATCCTGGCCCATTGAATTTGTTAAGACTAGGAGGATTAAGAAACTCGGTAGAGTTTCGCACCAAATATACATACATAGAGGCGCGAAACTCTAAACTAGTAATGATCTGCGATGTTTAGCTCGGCGCATCAAACTAGACACAGAATGTCGTTTTCTGAACCTCTTGAATGAACAATGTCAACTTCAGCCAGGTCATCGAGATTGGACTGGGGTTCCGCGTTTTTTTGAGCTATCAACTAAACCGATTGATACATTCAATACAGAGATATGCAATTTTTAATATTCCACTTCGCTCGGGTTGCTTGACATTTTTCCGTCGACCGCTTTCGGTAGTACCGCAGGGACGTCATTACTTATTTCAGAGATCAAGTTTATTCTCGCTTTGTATTCTAAGCGTAACTTAAACTTGCCTTGAATTCACTACTACTAGTGAGGTTGTAGACCCGTTTCTCGTGATCTTTGAAATAAATGAAGTTCCAGGAGCTAGCGAGTATGGCGTTCACAGCGATGTCAACGGGAAGATAATCCGCGTAACCGTCTTCGTTGCAGTACATTGTCCTGATGACACCCTTTCCAGCTCCTATCAAAAGACCCGTAGGTCCATTGATATTGTCCGTCCAACCCGGAATTGGCTCCTTCCAGACTGGGATCACTATGCTAGGACTAAAGTCCGAGAATCATTTATAATTCACATATACTATATACATAGATGTTTCATTTAAAGAAACGCAAACGGTAGGTTATTCTTTTCTTTTCTTTTCTTTTATTTAAATTTCTACGGGAGAGTCCTCTTAAGGTGAAGTGAAACACGCCGAGGAACTTGATCGACATCGATAAGGAAGATTTTTCTAAATGCCTACGTTGCCGACGTTCGTTTTTATATTGACAGCTGTGTCGAATTAAATTGAATATAGTACCAAATGAAATACTACACATGTCGTTTTCGTACAATAAATATCAAGAAATCGAAGTGAAACTCCAGAAATCCTCTGAATTCATGTTTTCTGGAGCCCTAATTGACTGCAAAGGGACTCCCTGCGCCATCTGTGATTTCCAGGTGAATTAAATTTTCACTCCGAGACCTCGTATTCCCATCGTTTTGGGATAGAAGCGCATACAACACTTTTTTTGCCTTTATCCCGTTCCAATGCGAGTTTATCGATTACCAGAGTGTTCTAAATTGTCGTAAAATTGTACTGATCCTTTTGTTTCTCATATCAGAGCCCTCGATAATTGTATATTGATCGAAATATGAGAGCTCGACGCCATTTTGATTCTGGTCTGGACTGAGTTAAAAAATTAAAAAAAAAATCCAAATTTTTAATGTGTCAGGACAATTCTTACATGATCAGGAATGATGTGTCAAAGTTTCGGACAATTTGGTCTAATACCTCTAAAAAAAAAAGTGTTGTATTCGAATCGACTGATTTGAAGGGGTTTTCACTTCACCTTAATCTATACTTACCGCAAAATGATTGCCGGCACATGTGGCATTGCTTCCTCGACAAGACCCTCGGATAACGCTTTGGTAAAGGCGTAAGTGTTCGGTAAGTTGCCAAGGATCTTGTCGGTCATCGCTTCGACAACTTCGTCCTCCATCCATTCGACACACTTGATGATCTTGTGAGGATCCGCAGGCGGTGGATATGGTTGTTCGCCCAAAACCTAGAGAAATGCCAACTGAGATGATTGTAAACGTCGGCCAGCGGTCACCGGAAGTATTAAAGCTACAACTACTAACGTCACTTTGACATAACATTTATTTATCGAGACTCTGTGGCCTAATGGGCACTGTCTCGCAGTCCACTAGTCGAGAATAACATGGTACTAAAGAATCAAATTTTAATAATGTTACATCACAGAAACAACTCAATATCATGTCACACAAACATTTTAATATGTTCGAGCCTAATGGATAAGAAAAAAAAAAATGTAACATTGATAATCAACGACCTTCGGATACAAACCTTCTCCTCCAGATGGCAATACGCTGTACTGATGTGGGCAAAAAGTATCAACTTTTTCATTTCCTTCGCCAGGTCTAACATTTGCTTCGTACCTCTCGTGTTAAGTATAACGGCTTTCTTTAGCAGCTCGTCAAATCTAAAATCAAGATGAATAATCAATTATTTTTTTCCCTTAAAAAAAAAGAGAAGAGTAAATCCACTTATCCTGAAATCAAAGATACGAGTATGTCGGGTTACTTAAACTCGATAAAAGAATTAACTCTTTGCGAGCATTCCCGGCAAGGCTATCGTGCCTACGGAAAATACAACCGCAAAGAGTTAATACTGAGAATCAATGCATACCGTAAACGAAAAGAAGATAAATATTAATGAAAAGTATGCATAAAAATGTAAAACTCTACGACGAACTTACTGTGGGTTTACTTCCTAAATTTCGATTCTATTAAAATTAATAGCGTAATTTCTTTTCTCTGTACCAAACGACATGAAATAGACCTACTGTAAACGAATTCATAATCGAAGTATCTTCACAGGAATTATATTATAAATTGGTTTAAGGTGAAGTGAAACACGTCGAGGAATTTGATTGACGGCGATAAAGAAGATTTTTCTAAATGCCTACATGGCCGACGTTCGTTTTTATATTGACAGCTGTGTCGAATTATATTGGGTATTGTACTAAATGGCATACTCCGCTTGTCGTTTTTGTACAATAATTATAAAGAAATCGAAGTAAAACTCCAGAAATCCTCTGGATTCATGCTTTCTGGGGCCCTAATTGCCTGCAGAGGGACACGCTGCGCCATCTGTGATTTCCAGGTGAATTCAATTTTCACTCCGAGACTTCGTATTCCCATCGTTTTGGCATAGAAGCGCATACAACACTTTTCTTTGCATTTATCCCGTTCAAATGCGAGTTTAACGAATATCAAAGTGTTCTAAATTGTCGTAAAATTGTCCTGACCCTTTCGTTTCTCATATCAGAGCCTTCGATAATTATATATCGATCGAAATATGAGAGTTCGACGCCATTTTGGTTCTGCTCTGGGCTAAGTTAAACAATTTTTTCCAGAAAACCAAATTTTGAATGTGTCAAGACAATTCTTAGATGATCAGGAGTGATGTGTAAAAGTTTCGGACAGTTTGGTCTAATACCCTTAACAAAAAGTGTTATTCGAATCTACTGATTTGAAGGGGGTTTCACTTCACCTTAAGACTGGACAAATGTTTAGTAATTAACTATGCTGACCTGACAGTAGCCGCTGCATGGTATACTATACTAACTCTGTCGCAAAGCAACTTTCGGTCTTCCGGAGAAATACCCAAACCTGGAAGGGACACATCTCCACTGATTACCGTAACCGAATCCTGCAAAGCTGCCAGACCTCTTTGTTCGCGGACCTTTTCGAACAACTGAAACAAACGACAAAATAAACGTGATAAACGACAGACAACTCAGTTCCGTTTTTAAAAATGCTCGACTGGGATAGGATTCAAGAATTCACAGTTTCGACGCAAAAGTGACGATTTCACTTTTTCATTTAAAATCTGATTCTTTTCCCGCAAGTTCAACCCACGCAGAAGTAAATTTTCTGCAAATCTTAATTACATCCCATTCCCACAATGTATTCAGATTTACGTTAAATTCCGTAATGAGGAATACATTACTACACGCAGAAAAATATTTGTGTTTTAGTATCAACACAATTTGTATAACCGTTTCTTTTTTCTATTTAAATATCATTTAATTTCAATTTGTTGTCTAAGAAGTCGATTATGCTTCTGGCCTTGGCGAAGTGGACATTAAAATCGCCGCTTATTATTATCGATGTCCCGTCGCAATTATTTTTCGTTCACGGAGTTGATTACTATTTACATTCATCTTTTTGTGTATTAATACTGAGACAATTTGCGTAAACGTTTTCGTTAGTGTTGGTATTAGCGCGTTATTCTCTCAGCTGGCATTTAAAAGTGAAATAAAAAATAGTGTAATTAAAACGCAAATATGATTAATAATATCTAATAAGTCTTTTTAAGTTTCATTTCTAACACGTGTGGCGATTAGGCAGCGATTTTGTTTTTTCGTTATCAATGGTTCTCTAGGTGCACCTGATTGCATTGCAATAAAGTCATTAGCCGTCAATTGAGAGTTGTGAATTGTCGCAACCTTATGACTGTATGCGTGTTGAACGAGAAACTTCATGAGCTCCCGTAGCAGTATAAGATTAATGTAAAATGGTTACTTGAAGGACAACCAGATTTGCCCGATGATATCACCTGATTAGAAACCAAGAATCAAAGATCAAGGTGAAGGATGGTGTCGACTTCGAACACTTGTTTTAACAATATCTAGTATATTCGAGCCCTAGGGGGTAAACTTATATAGAAATTGTCAATTAATCTACGTCACTGAAGAATAACATAACTTTCGACTCTAAGTTTCATTTAATTTGGTCCTTTAACAAAGTCTTTTAATCCAAACAAACGAAGTTTCTATATAAAATTTGGCAACTTGTGAAATCGACTTTTCTGCAAAGTGCTGTTATAAATTAATTTCTGATGTATGCCTCAGTAATTGAAATATTAATTTTGCACGTGATAAAATGGTCTCATTTCGGTACACACTGAAGCTAATAACAAACATTTGGTTTAAGTAGACAGTTAAGTTAAAAAAAAAAGTCAACAAGTGAATCCTCATTTCGTGTAATGTTTGGTATAACGTTTTATGTTTAACTAATTCATAGTTGCTATATATAGTTAGGCATGCATTTGGCGTAAACGTATTTCATTTCTTTGCCCTTATTCATCTTACTTTATACGATGAGTCAAATATGGACGTACTGGTTAACGCATTTTAACAGGGGAATTATGGGCAGTAAATATCCGGCAAGATGGTCTCTCATCCATGTTTGGCAAACAATAGAAAGTGAAAATATCATATATTCAGCCATCTGATAATAACACTGTTCACACGTGATGGTTACGTGTAAATCCTGACGGTTAAACTTTCAAGACATGTAATACTGTAAACATGATCATCTGATCAGTTCTTGTGCTGTGTGATATTGATTTTTTATTACGTTCATTTATTATTCCATTTTATCAATACCGAATCCTCTCCAATTAATAAACATAATGAGGATAAAATAAATGTTGTTAAATTAATAGTAAAGTAATATAGACGAAATTAGGTATCGCAGATCTATTTTTAAATAAATGACAATCTATTCCTGTAATAAATCGATTGATCATGATGTTCTTGGCAAATATAGGCTTCGCTTCCATAATGATAGGTCGAATCATGAACCAACCTCAGCCTTTCGCCGATTTCATAAAGTTGACCATGATCATGAACAATCGGCCAGGACAATTATAGAACTGGAACGGACATTACTCGACCCGAAACCTTCGCGTAATTATCGTGTACAGCCTCACTGAACAACAAAATTCCACCTTGAAAGTTGTTTTGTACATTGTTCTCATACTTCAGAAAACCGCGAAATCTAGCCACTTTTTTTGCCAAAAAAGACAATTCTTTGTAATATCTTTTACGCAAATGATCTTTCTCCTTTTCATTGGTAACACATGGAAGTTCGCAATACAATTTTGTTTCACGAGTCTTTAATGTTCTTTGTATAAATGAACAAGTTTCTCACATAAGTGTATTTGGCTCGAAATTTTACTGAATTTCTTGATAAAATGTATCAATGAAATAACAAAACAATTTAAGTGTACATAAGGGTCTGCAAGAAGCAATGATACCCCTTAAACTTCTCATACAGCATCAACGTTGTAAGAATAATAGGGTAATTCGAGTAAAGTGCACATTATTATTCCGACAATGTCGGTTGTTTTACTTTGAATCGTGAATTACAGTTTACGTATAAAAAACTTGCTGATATAAAAAAAGAAATAAGCGTATCCAAAACTCGTAGACGAGGGAGCTCTAGGCTTTCGTTCTTTCTGAAAGTAGTTACGTGCTTTGCATAAGCATGAAGTAAGAATATTTACACAAACGAACGTTCAAGCCGCGACGAGATGAAAGTTCTTCCCCGGTTGTGCAACTTCTCAATTCTGGCAGGTAATTTTTTTTTATTTTGTATTCCGCGGTGACATGGCAAAAAGTCCCATGAATAGAATACTTCGGTTTGCGTGGGCTTAGCGCAATTGCATTTACGGGACTCTCTTTGCGGAATGCCGCAATACTTTCGTCCCATCGATGGTCGAAAAATACATACAGCATTAACAATACAATTACAATGAGACGCAATTTCATTTCAACATTTCAGCTGACATTTGATCATTTTCAAGAACAAAATTCTCTCCCGCTTAAGAATAATGAGCCATCATGTCAATCAAGAATCTCGGAAGAGTTTCGCGCCAAATACAGACACGTGCACTTACACTTTACGTGTAAGACAAATTCAAGTGGAACGCTGATTAATTTATTAAAAAATGTAGGTCGTCGTTAAAATGGCGTTTTCTCCGCGCACACCGTAATTGCATATGTGGAATATAAAAAAAAAATGTGCGTTGAATAAACTTTTCATAACGTGAATACAAATTAGGTAGTGATTTATTAGACATTTATTTGCGATGCACCAACAAGAGTGCTTCGATCACCGTTATTGATATTATACTATCGTTCAATATACACATGGACTTTCGCGACACCTCATTAGCAAAATATAAATATTAAGAAACGTCATCCGAGTTATTCGGTAAATCACTTTCCCAGCTGAAGACTCGCAAGTCTAGGTTGCGTTTCCTTACCCGGTGATTCTACCGCAAGTGACAAAATTATTATTCAAACCCACCTCTTCATCGTAATACTTTAACACCGGTCATATTTCAGACACGTCAACGTACCTAATTAGTATACCATGTCTGAATAAAACTTCTGTCAAAAATGTTATAAAATTCACAGAACTTTTTTTAACAGTGCCATTCTCCCGCGAGTAATGTAATCCGGAGTTTTGCCTCCAAGTACGTCAATCAATCTTTCGTTTTACAAGGAAAACGGGCCCAAAAGGGGATTTTCGCGCAAGATTGTTCTCTATTCTTTCATCGCACATGCACTTCCGAGAAATTCACGGGGCCCAAAAGAAGGTTATGCAAATTGCGCTGACTCGGCACTTCTCGGCAAAGGCTGAAAGTCGGCGCTGTTTAAATTTCGAGATTATGTAAACGGCATTCCTCGGACACAGATCGAGCAAGATCGAGTCTACGACGATTGCGCCGACTCGTTAGGTGTCCGTTTTACTTCGAAGTACTTGCAATCGAGTCCCTTCACGTGTCGATTGCCCCCCCCCCCTAAACTTACGGTTGTGTACATGTTTATTTAACCTATATAAGAAAGGTACAGCGAAAACACGCGAAACAAACATCAACGAATAACATTCCGTCCTGGGTTACTCATATTCTACACTAATCTTGCCAAATCCATGGGCTTGTGAAAGTATTGAAAAACGTAATGCGCAACTCGAGGTTAAAAAATCCTTTTAAGGGGGTGCGAAAGCGGCATCCGAAAGTGCAATTGTTCATACAACTTTTCTACGAACTGGGTGTCTCAAATCGTTTCATATTTTAAAACGTGAATATTGAGACCCTAAGGTAGGTCCTGAAACTCGCGAAATTTCATTTTTTGTAAATTATTTTTAAAATACCTATAAACAAAATTGAAAAGAATTGAAATTTCACGAGTTTCAGGACCTTCCTTAAAGTCTCCCTATTCACGTTGTAAAGTTTCGAACTATTCGGTAAAACGAATTGAGAGAAAAGTTTTATAAACAAAACCCCTTCGACGCCACTTTCACATCACCTTAACCTCTTGCGCTAGAATTCTTTCACCGGATATTCATGAAAAGTAGGGTCCAAATAAATTTCCAGCTTATTGGTACTTTAAATCATTTGACACATGATTAGGCATTGATTATTTCTAATTAATCTAACTTTCTAGGAGCAGAACCAGACGACTTAAGTGGCGCGTTATTCCCATTCTTGAAATGAATAACCGTCTATGTGCATAGCACGTCCATTCCAACGCAAAAGGTTAATCCAACTGTTTTTTTTTCCATTTGATTTTTTTTTTATGTCGCACCAACATCGAGATTATCAGCTACGATCCTACACCGACACTGCAAGATGGAGCAAAGCTTGGTTTTGTACAGATACCGAAGTATTAGAAAATGCATTTTTTAATCGAAAACAAAGTGAGATTTCATGGTACAATTATTGAACTTAATATATCATTTGTTTTTTCAGATATATTAAAAAATTGGCGAGGTACAGCAATTCTCTGAAAAAGCTTTCGTTCTGCATCGCAAAAAAGACATTTCAAGTTATATTAAAAAAAATGATATATTAAGTTCAATACTATGAAATCGCGCTCTATTTTTGATTATAAAATGCATCTTAGTTATGAAAAACAATTCTTGAATTTCGCCTATGACAATTGCATATATCCCCTTAAAGATTGGTTGGCATCTTACTTGCGTTATCGAATTTGTACCATTCAAGGTGGCTGATCGATATGTGCGTGCTCTATGTATTGCATGTTGGGAGTCTATGTAAGCAGTGGGTAATATCTCTTCAACTTGTCTCTAAGAACCTTAGCATTTTTACTTTCGATTCACCTTCTCAGGTATCGACTAGATCATCCCTAATTTTTATCAGGGGGATTTTTCTTACCTCCTACCGCGGCTCCTTCGTTCTCGAAGGTATCGCAATTCAGATTTAGTTTTCTTGAAATTACACCCAACGAATTTTTCGATAGCGACAGTTTACATTTCACACCGAAGGGAAACTCTGACCCGTTAGCCTTGTTTCATACACGCGCACGACGTAACTCTCGCTACCTCCAATGAACGCATGATTGCGTTAGAGCAGCCTGCTAAGAGATATGACATAATGGTACGGTGAACACTTTCACCAGACGATCATTCTTTCGCTACGTACCGAAGCGAGGCCTTGACTCTGTTTCTGCGAACCCGTGACGCCTCGCTTTTCCCCGGCGAATTTCACCGCACCGATTTCGCGATTTTGCAAACGCTTTTCCCGAATCGCCCTTTCGTCCCAGCCCGAACTTTTTACCAAAAAAAAACAGAAAAAAAAGGCGTTGCCGGATATTTACCAGTATCAAACAAAAAATCCAGTACTTACTATCTCGATCCAGCTTGGCACTTGTCACTAAAAACTATTTCAAATACTTCTAGAGTTGGAGTTAAAAAAAAAAAAGAGACGAAATTGTACGGAACAATTTTTCAAGCTTTCATGGATGTACGATCGTAGAATTTTGCAAGTCATTTTTTGCGGAATAAAAATTGAGCATTATTTAACTAGAGATTAAACGCGCATTGGTCATTTTGATCGAATTAATTAGTACGAATTCTTGTTTACCGCCACGCGTAAAATAAAAACTCCATATATGGAGGATGAGGTAATTAGAATGAATGTATCTTAACTTTTGACATTTTTTGCCGCAACGAACGTAGAAATATTTTTGAAAATATTGACATTTTTTTTTAGAAACCTTTTAATTAATTTTCCGCAGCTTCTGTCGTCGAAACTTGGCTCATAACATATGAAATTCAATTTAAATACGACTCTTTTGAACCACTATTATACAATTGATTGACTGCAGTAACTCTGCGCCTCCCAAATAATTCAACTATAATTCTGGGCATCTGCAATCTCCTGACTCACGAATCGACGATTTATTTGAACGCCTTATAATGTTAGGCTTCAATAATTATACCCTTGTGAATAGTCAATGGAATTGAGCAGAGGTCGCGGTTATTGGTAATAAAAAAAAAGGATTTCGCATAAATTTTACGACGGACGGTTTAAAGGAACTCGAATGACGCAAAAAAGAAGAACAAATGTTAATAACATAGAAAGTCGTTTCCCCCTATAAAATAAATACTGTATATTTCCATTAACACATAATTACCGGTCACTCTGTATTTGTTAATTTGTAGGCTTATCATTGAAATGCGGTGGAGGAAACGTTATTGACCTTTTACATATATTGACTGCTTGTTGTCAATAGAAGAGCGACAAGTAGGAAGTGCTTTGTACACTCCTTATGGTGTACTCGCTGTCACTGCAGGCTTCACATATTTATGCTAATTTGATATATACAATTACCACTAGCGAGTGCACCATACGTTGTATATAGGATTTCGTTTATACGTTTTACATTCAGTTACATATGCATATGTTACTTTTACATTTTTATGAAAAATGTTGATCTTACGGTATACATATATTGATATACCTGTTACATTAAAATCTCCTGCTATTAAACGGTTCTTACACGTATTGCACACATACCATTTCACGCGACGTAATTCCTGGAAATATATCATAGAAATATGAAATCCTTCCGAAAGTAACAAATGTTACAAAAGATTTTACTGCAAGTACATTTTCTCTCGTTGCGTGTACTCGACTTTATATAAGGTGCGATTTCGGTCGCAATAGCCTCGTTAAAACATTATTTTCGACATGGCGTCATTACCTTGTTATTATGGGTGTCTAATCATTTACAAAAAAAAATTATAATATGCATTTCGAAACGTACAAATCTTTATCAACGTTCATAGTTATGTTTCCTTTCAGTTCAAAAGGGGGTGCTGTACAATTGTACAATCTCTCATTGTTAGAACTACTTAATTGCTTTATGTCAAGTGGTTTCTACCAACCGACAATTATTTTTACTGCGTACTCAGTCTAACAGTTTTACTGATTTCATGGTCGATTAGTCAGGTCATTTAACCACTGTATTCTTTGTCTCACTTTTACATCTATTGTCAATTTATATAAAAAAAAAGTCATGCTGCCTAATCGTTACGTCGCATAATTAACTCTGGTATTTACCCATCCATAAACCGGTACATTAACCAGTAGATATGAACATAAGCAGTTAATTTTTTTTATTAACCGTGACCACTGATAAGTTTTTCCAAAGTATATCTGATGTAATTATAAAATTTGTACAAAAGATTACGCTCCTATGAAATAACATTTCTATTGTTACGTCCCGTGGTTACTTCTGACGCAAAATTTGTTTCTTTCGCCGACACATCCCGCAGTTAGAATTTTAGAGTTATGAATGCCTTCACAAATACCTTATATACCAGTAACCGTAAGCATAATAGTTTATAACTGACTAATTAACCTTTAATAAACTAATTAAAATAAACTAATTAACCAACGAACACCGACCTCGTATTCAATTATCTGAACTTTCGATTGCGCCGGTTCTTCCTGTTACGGTTACAGTTATTGCTACGTGAGATATATGAAAAGGCCTTGTCATCTACTGAGCAATTGAACGAGAATGTGTGCGTCTCGCCCCGAGTTTTTTATCCAAGATGTGTGAAATTTTTCAAATGTAACCGCATGATTCGAATCGATGGCACATCTTCAAAAGTGATTAATAATTAGTACGCTTCGAAGACTCACTGCGGAATTGAAGATGTCATCCAGTCGGTGTTTGGGGTCCTTACCCTTCTTCGGTCTGACGAGTATGTAAATCTTTCCAACTTTGGGGAGGCATCGCAGGAACTTCTCCATCATGACTTTCCCCAAAAATCCCGTCCCTCCAGTCAGCAAAATTTCCCGGCCCTCAAAAACCTCAGCTATCCTGTCGGGCATGTCTTCCATCGTTGGGTCCGCCATGATTCTCCCAGACGATCGATGGATACTTTTCTGGAATTTCAAAAGCATATTTAATTCCGTCAAGCCTTCGAAACATACGTTAAAGGAGTACCCTTTCTATGCGGTACATTTTTAACGACAATAATGTCAGATGTATATATTCTCTCCGTGATTTGAAAACATTTTCGGATGTCTCTCCAGCATCGAAGCTAATAATAAATTAAAAATATTAAAAAGTTAAGACATCTCTTTCCGCAGACAAAAGTTTTCACATCCGAACGAGAATGCACTCGGTACATTATTTAAATTCTACATTTACAAAATTCCTCCACCTCGATTCGATGTTTACATATTATTTATTATTAAAAAGGTCTACCGGAACACCCGAATGTTTCCTAAAACAGACGTCATTTCCTTCTAAAGAGAAAAACCTAATTCCTTTGGAATTTTTCCACGAGCATTTCTGTACATTCCTTCCGAGTCTTCGTTTCCACATGTTTCATTCAATGTTTACATCTTGTTTATTATAAAACGGGCTATCGCAACACTCGAATGTTTCCTAAAGCATTTCTGTACATTCCTTCCGAGTCTTCGTTTCCACAGGTTTTAATCCCGACGACTAACTCCCCAGCTTACGTTCTCTTTCCTCAAACTTGTTTTTTCCCTTTCTCTATAGTAGTTTTTTCCTCAATAACCTTCCGCATGTTTTAAGCTACGACGCCAATCGCCACTGCAGGGACTACCTCGAAAGTTTTTACAAAGAAAACGAAAACCATCGATTCGTCTTAAATCTTCAGCCAATTTTCTTTCATTTTTCCATCCTGAGAAAAAGATATCATTGAACCAGAGAAATATATCTTTGAATAGTACCAAAGAAATATTATGTCAACTCGAAGAATAATTATTTGACTCGAATGAACTTGTCAGAAATTGTCATCATTCCGATGAAACGTCGCACTGCCGGACATTTCCTTTGGTTCACACAAAAGCGAATGTTCATCTTTTTTTATTTATCAAGTCTGATGATACATTGGAGTAATCGATCTTATGGGAAGAACATTTGCTTATACACTCCTCGCTAAAAAATCGTCACGCCTAGAAATAAAAATCACGCAAATCAATGGCTATCATATATTTTTTAGGACAGTGATTCGATTTTCATTGAAAACGATTTGTCATTACCGGGATATATAATCAAAGTGTCCTTTCACTATGACGAACAATATAAGTAGTTATCTGATATGCACAGTATTGATTATAAGGTGTTGCAGTTTTTTCGGTCAGCAATATTTTTCGGAATTACGAATCTCAACCTTTGCTTTTACAGTACGACTGTGTATATAATCTAGGGAAAGATCATACACCATGAGCGTTTCCACGTGCATACTCGAGTAAATGGCAAGGCATTAATAGGTCAGAACAGATATGGTCTATCCGTGCTCAGCTCGAGAGGATGTATATGGTATATAATGTACATAAGGCTACATGATCACCAGGTCGAGCGTTCATGCCACTTGCCCATGTACACGTATTACGTTAGAGTCCCACAGGTGAGGTTGGCCAAAGAAACAGGTTGTGCAGTTAACATTACAGCTTCCTTACCATAGTAGGTGAGCAACAACTGATTCCTTACATAAATTCATCTACATACATAGGTACGGTAATACTCTTCACCTTGCCTTTCGTAATACCAATGGAAAATAAACAACTGGTTATGTGGTTAATCAGGGCAAACTCGATCGTACCATATCGATACGTCGAAAGTACTTTACAGTTACTGTAACGCCTTTATTTCGGTCGAAAACACTCAAAATTGTTTAAATAAATAATTAGAATATTGACGTAAATGTTCCCTTGATAATAATCATTTTTCGGGATGGCTTATATGGTGTATTTTCATCCCATTGTAATCACTTGGCGAAGTATATTGCTTTGTTTTATTGTACTAGCTTTAGGGTATTCAATGATCCAATTGTAATAAAATATTAGTTTATAAACATATGAAACGTTTGATTGATAAACAAAGATGTTACAATTGACCTGGCAAATCAAATGCAGTCAATGTTTCCTGACAAATATATTGCCGTGAAATATACCAAATAATTTCATAAAGCAAAACATCGCGAACGCATTTCGAACGACTAGACATTACGGAGATATGTAATTGTTCCTTGACAATTCTGCCAAGGCTGTTACAACAATTATTCCCAATGACAAGAAGGATCGGTGACTGGTCAAGGTTCTACATAAAGAAAAAAAAAAATCTTAAACATTTACGACCATCAATTGGCGTTTACGGATCTCTCGATTATCTAAGTACCTAAGTTGCAAAATAGGATTTTATTAAAAAAAAAAAAAAAGAGGAGAAGGATGAGAAAACTAAAAAAAAGTTCAAACGTTACATAAATAAATCAGAAACGAGGATTTCAAAATCTTCCTAGAGGGGTAACCTCGCCTTTAAGTTAAGATTGAAAACGTTTGGTTTACATGCCTCATTGACTGATTACTATGTATGATCTAACATATGTTAAACAAATGAGCAACTTTCAAAGTGACCATCACATCACGAAATATGTTAATCTGTCAACGGTGCACGCAACTGTTACGCCATTCACAAAGAGTCCAAGCAACACCTTGCCTCTCCTCTAATCCTGATATTTAATCCTGAAAATATAACATTTTTTGCCAAATTGTTTATGATAAAACTGAATGTAAAAGTGTGCCATTCATTAATACGCTACCCGCAAGAAAAGGTCGCACAGAATGGAAATGAACATATATTGCTTGGGATAACGTCAAGAGAAAACGATTTTTGTTTAAAATAATGTGTAATTACCGAAATACTGTCAAAGTATCCGTTCACTATCCTGAACAATGTAGATGATTACCAAATACGTATAACTTTAATTATTAGACGTTACAACTTTTTTGGTGTATCCAGTATCAAGTAAGTTTTGAATAAATGATACTAAGCTCAAAGAAAGCTTGTATATCGTAATTATAGGTACATTTAACTGTACAGATGGTTACCATGTTTCAATAGAAATATTACTGTTCAGATTAATTTATGGAAATAATTAACATGAAGATATAAGATTAGACGTAGTCGTAAGCAAGATCTTTTTGTTGGATACATCTTTGCGATTAGGACCAAAGTCTAATGAGAATAAATTGAATTATCTCATTTTCGGAGAAGGGGTTCAAGACCGATGCGTTTGCGTCACTAGGTGAATGCCTTCTTCGTACTCTTACCGGAGATTATGCGAATATTAATTACTTCCCTGAAGCAACAACAACTAAGGTGACTATTGCCCCCAGTAAATTTCTGATCGTTCTCTCAAGGTAACACCAAGAATCTGATATCGTATTTTCGACCTTACGTAGCAATCAAATATTCCATCAAGCCGCTCAAATTTCGATGACTCTTAAATTTGTCGTAATTTTATGCTGGCTTCCGGTTAACTAAATTATGCTAACACGATTGTAGACGTCCAAAGCAGTCCGAGGTTCAAATTTAAATCAGTACTCTTAATAAAGAATCGTGTTTTAATCTGTTCCTATTTAATTATAACTATATTCGATAATAGAATTAAGACGAAAAACGGAATTAATTAAACAGGCGTTTTCGTGAACATTCCTGGAAGTTTTGGCGTTTCCATTTTTATTGAAATCTTGCTTCAAAAAAGAAGATACCGGAAGGTAGAAACTTCAATCTACGCTCAAACTTCCTTTTACTACTTGATTGCGCGATAAACAAGAATAATTGACTCGACCTTTGGACGTAAAAAATCGCATATTTTGTTCATCACGTTGCAGCTGTGAATAAGTACAGAAAGAATGCATTTATAAGGAATACAATGAGAATTGCGGATGCTATCACGGAAATAATTGAGAGTTGAAAAATATCCTTCGCGAATTTCTCAGATTGATATTTCCCTACTATGCGAGAGATAATAAGACAATCGTCATTATAACGTATTGGAGTAGATATGTTTGAAGGGCCTTTTTTGCACAACATTGAGAAAAGCATTCGTTCACGCGACATTTAATAATATTAATAGTCGGAATTTCTACATAAGAGAGCCATGACGTTCATTGATATTAATTTCATACAAAACAATTGATTTGAAGAGGCATGGAAATATTCAAAATTATGATCAAGTGTAGATCGACTCAGTTATGACATCTCTATTATTTGCGACACTAATAAATTCTTTGTAAAACCCAATTGCATCCTAACAATAAGGTCTAGTTATGTACATAAGTTTCTCAGTGATTTACTGTTTAGTTTTATTCATCTTATAACGTATTTACATCCATAAATTTCCTTCTATGTCAAAAAATGCTTATTGGTTGCACTTCCGCTTTTTCCTGTGCACGGTATTTTAGTTCCACATCATTTATACCATTCTCATTGTTGCTTTCTAAAACAGAGCTAAAAGGAAACTGCGCAAACATTTGCACATCACTGCATGTTGTTGAACAGTACAGTTATTACAATGACTAAGGGTAGCATTACAATCGGCGGATCCTTTTCCATTATTTTTTCTCGAACCAGTCAATAATTCAGTAATTAGCTTTTCCTTCCCGACAAAGATGTCGGCAGGCATTTTCTTGCGGAATGTGGCTTATTTTTTCTCCAATTAAATCCTGCATGTACGACGGTAATTGCTAATTGAAATCTCAATTGCAGGGACATTAACGCCCATTGGGGCGAGAGAAGTTCGAGAGAACTTGACAAACAAAAATGCTAGAAATTAGTCAGCGGTAAAGGTGATTGAAAAAAGGATCGATACCGAAAGTGTTTGTCTATTTCCCTTTTTCCTTTTTCTTAAAGAGAGAAAGAGAGTGCTTTTGCTCTTATATATCGGCCAGTCGAGCAGAACTGGTTGCGGCATACTTATGTATAGTCAAAGGCCAACCCACGGAATCACAAATCAAAAGAAAAAGGGAAAACATAATTGGCCTATTTGTGAAATTCCGGGATTAAGACGCGTCATATGATTTTAGTCGCGAGTCCAAGCTCATCCGGTAATTCAACGGAACTTTTTCAAAACGAACCCTGTAATAAAAAATGGAATTGTGAATTCCGCGAAAATGACTCCTAAGAGATAAATAAAATGAAAGACCTAAGTAATCGATCCGTTTGCGAAATCCCGAGTTTAATGCGTCGTATAATGTCGGTCATCGTTCCTTGCTCGTTTAGTGTTTCAAGACAACATTGCAAGAAGCTTCTGATGAAAAATACTGAAATGATAAGTTCCGAGAAAATGACTTCGGAGTGATCAATAAAATGGAAAGTAAGGGTAATCAAAGTCTCGATTTTAATGTATTGCATGGTCTTCGTTATCATCACGTTCGTTTTATTGGAGTTCTCGCAAAATGAGCCTGGTGACGGATATTGAAACTGTAAATCCTATTAAAAAGATCACGGAAAGATTAAGACTCGGCAGAGCTTCGAGCCAAATACAGTTGAATCAGAAATTCGTTACATTAAATGGAGAGTAACGTTCCAAGGCAATATTGCAAGAAGCGTCTGATGGAAAATCAGAAATGATAAGTTCTGAGAAAATTACTTCGGAATGATCAATAAAGCGGATGGTAAAGATAATCGAATTCCGATTTTAATGCATCGTGTGATCATCGTCATCATCAGATCCGTTTCAGTGAAATTCTTGCAAAATGAACCTAGTGACTGGTGACGAAATTGTAAATCCTGCGAAAATGGTTTTGGAACGATAATTTAAATAGAAGGTTACGTTATAGGTCCCCTCATGAAATTCCGAATTTAATATGTTATATAGTCTGAGTCGTCACTCTCTAAGCTGATGATTTAAAAAAAAAAAAAGAAGAAACAGAAGGAAAGATCTTAATTTCACCTCATTGATGTGTTTTCAATTTTTATGGCGATGGTGTAGTAAGGAAAGTGAGTTCAATTTGTTTATGCTTCTTTTTAACGTGATATAGGACGGAAAACGATTTTCAACATCGGAATAAAACGTCAGCGGCAAGGAAACCTTGTTCCAGCAAAAATGAGAAAGATATTATATTCGGATCGAATTTAATAAATGCTAAACGTAAGCGGAATCTTTCATTACAATGATAGTTGTCCTTTTCCTTGGCATATTGAGTAGAAAACAAGGTTGTTTAAACAGGTAAAAAACGGATCTGGGAAAGTCCACGTATGACGCACTCCACTTGGTCAACGCACTATCCCTACTTCTACAAATTCTACGTGATTAGTTTTTCAAGGCTGTTTCATCTCTCGTGTTTCAAACGTCTCCGCATGACATCAGTATACATTGGATTGCCGAAAAAATCTTGGAACACTCTACACTTTCATTATTAAAATTTGACAAAAATGTGCCGAGGCATCGATAAGTTGCCCAACAGATGGACCCACATCATACATAGAAATGGAAAATATATTGTTGACTGAAGTTATAATTCAAGAAATAATCATTTTCAAAGTTATGTTGCCAGTGACGCAAAACTTTCTGGCTACCCCAATATTTATTTTCTATATTCCTTTAAATAAGAGAACAAAGTTCAATAATGTAAATAGCTAGTAATACTGTATAATCCAATATTTACGTGGTATTCATTAAAAAATTTATTGGATAGTTTCTACGAAGATTTACTACATGGAAATAAAATCCCTGGGGGAATTAGAATACCTGTGCGTTGATTAAAAAGTGTTCTGGCATTGTATGATGAGGCTAAAGATAGAATTATTTTTTTAATCATACCCGTAGGACATAACCATGGCACAATCATTCATTAATACAGGACAATTATAGTCTATGTTTGGTAAAGACACCCCAAGGGATTTTTCATTTTTTTTTTCCCCATGAACTTGCTACGAAGATAGCCATCGTGCCAGTAACTTTAAGCATTATTATATAAACATCCACAAAAACAATTGAAATTATGAATCGTGCACTGGAAAAATGTGAAAAAGGGTTACGATGTCCAGCGTTCCTTCAATTCATAAACTGTACAATAATTAGATCGTGCATTGAATCGATTCTTTGTTTCGTATAATACGAGCAACTGTGAATCAATTACCATCATTCATGACACCATTTCCCAACTAATTTCACTTAACTTCCGCCTGTCGCATTTGTCAAAGGAATATATGCCGCTCTTGAGAAATCATTTTCACCTAATTTTGTAATGCTTTAGCAACGCGTGACAACAGTATTTTGCAAGCACAGGAAATGTCACAGAAACTGCAAATCTTCATTTATATGAACCTAGTCGATTTGTTAATGATCCGTACGTAAATTTATCTTTTTAAATTTCTTCTATTTCACAATGAAAATAACCTTCAAAACTGTCTTTTTATTGTTATGAATTCACCGACATTGCAATTTTTCATTTTTTTTTCGAAATCAGTTCACAGAATCATCTGAACGTCAACGCGTAAATATGTAGACCAAAAAGATCATTTACTGCCCGGGTACAGTATATGCAATTCTGAAAAAAAAAAGTAATTCTTCTTGTCTCTACTTGCCATCTGAAACGAACAAAGTGGTATTACGACTAGTGACGTCAATTCAGTAATATGAAATCTATCTGTATCGAATGAAGAAACGTCGTATGGTCGAATGATGAACGAATAATTTTTTTCGTAGTCAGCAGATATTTCTTCTGTCCCAGATATACTTGTGTCAAAATATAAAATTCTTCTCTCTAACAACGAAAAATAAGGAGAAAGTAAATGTCGATATCGAATTACTGTCAGGGAAGACGAAAATGAATTCTAACGTAACTATTTGCTTTCCGGATATCTGTTCATTTCTTTCTTTCCAAATTCTATTTGTTGTTTTGACAACAAACAAATTAATTCAACATCGTAGGAATACTGCGCTCGTTATTGTTTGTACTCGCACGTTGCAGAATTTAGTCCGAGACGTTCACAAAATGCCGCCATTTTGACTCACGTGACCTACGCACGTACATGCAGATGATTTCGACGAATCACGTTATTCCATACTACCACGAATGATTTTAACGCGAATTAAATTTCTACCACTCGTTCTGCATTGCAGTTTTCTATTGAATTCCACTTCTCTATTCGACCTCATAGATTAATTTCAACAATAACTTAAAGTATGAATTATTTCTTTTTAAAATTCATCGTTCCTCATATCTCGTGTAATATGCATTATATCGTATCATAAGAAAAAAAAGTTTATCTAAAACCGTTACAATGGAATTATCTAAATCCCACTATCATTTTGATTTCATCCGCTCAAACATTATTTCACTTAACTCAGGATATACGTAATTAGCATTGCCAAGTAAATCATTTACGAGATAATGCATGACTGCACCAGAAAATGCAATTTTAACCGACTTACAAAACATCGTTAATTCGACATCATTATTTTCACACTAATACGCACTCGAGTGTTTTATCGGTATCCTAAAATATTATTGTGTCCTGTCTCGTGACATTTGTTAACTTATTCATTTTCGCCCCTCGGGCACTTCTAACAAAGATCAATAGATCAATCGACGATCGTAATATCTCGTATAAAATCCATGTATAAAAGGATTAGTTGTTACGTCGGTCTTTTCTGTTTTTCTACGAATGAAGTTTACGTCGACATTCCCGCAACGTGGCGTTCCGGGATCATCGGGTGGATTCAAAGGTTGCGTTAAACATATTTACGTCGTAAGGGATTGTGGGAACGACGGTCAGGAATTTCGCTGCCACTCACCCAGGGGAAGCAGGTCGCGATCTTCGGGACACCCTGGACCGATCGAAGGGCACCAACGGTGATCCGTTGAAGCTCAGGACCCACTACGCTGGCTCCGAAGTTCGGTTGACGCGATCCGTCCAACAGCCCGATGCAGACTGAGCCATACTGAGCGCGCGACGCCTGCCGGTTATTCGTCGACGACCGGCCTTGCCGCTGCTGCCGAACCCTTCCGACCTCCACCGAAACCTGCCGATTTCTTCACCCTTTCGGTTAAGGTGAAGTGAAACACCCTTCAAATCAGTTGATACGAATACAACACTTTTTTTTAAGGACATTAGACCAAACTGTCCGAAACTTTGACACATCACTCCTGATCATCTAAGAATTGTCCTGATACATTCAAAATTTGGATTTTTCAAACAAATTATTTAACTTAGCCCAGACCAGAAACAACATGGCGTCGAGCTCTTATATTTCGATCGATATATAATTATCGAAGGCTCTGATATGAGAAACGAAAGGGTCAGGACAATTTTACGACAATTTAGAACACTCTGGTAATCGATAAACTCGCATTTGAACGGGATAAAGGCAAAAAAAAAATGTTGTATGCGCTTCTATGCTAAAACGATGGGAATACGAGGTCTTAGAGTGAAAATTTAACTGACGTGGAAATCACAGATGGCGCAGGGTGTCCCTCTGCAGTCAATTAGGGCCCCAGAAAGCATGAATCCAGAGGATTTCTGGAGTTTTACTTCGATTTCTTTACAATTATTGTACGAAAACGGCAGGTGGAGTATGTCACTTGGTACAATACCCAATATAATTCGACACAGCTGTCAATGTAAAAACGAACGTCGGCAACGTAGGCATTTAGAAAAATCTTCTTCATCGACGTCGATCAATTTCCTCGACGTGTTTCATTTCACCTTAAGCGGGTGGTCTTCGGAATGCGCGTGCTCCTAACTTCCTCGACCCCCCACCATCTTGGTTACCTTAGAAATTCCACATGACCCACGTTTATGTCACTTGGTTACAGCAGAGTAAACGTAGCTATTCCATTGTTACTTAGAGCAATTTACATTAAAATTTTGTCGTCATAGAAATGGGAGTTGCGAACTGTCTTTGAAGACACTTATGGTACGATGATACATATAAGTTCGCATGTATGGGGCCTGTTTCGAAAATCGAAACGCTATTTCATTTCTACAGTTACTCTATTGAACATAAAAGTTTCACTTCCTCTGCACGTGCCGGCCCCATATTATTTTTTGTTATTTTCTCTATCTTGTTTCATAGTCACGTGTCATACTCCTCATGCTTCATTATTAGTCATCATTTATTACATGCTTTATTAGGATATACGCACTCTAACACTACGATATGTCGTTAATGAGAAGAGCAGTTGATACGATGCTGAATATGAATAAATATATATACAAGATTTTAAAAAAGGTACCAAACATCTACTCTAGGTTATCTATTTAATCAAGCAGATATGAAGATTATAAGTACGACCGAAAAATTGAAAAACCATCTCAGCTGTGTTTCAGAGAAAGGCCACGTACCGCGAAACAATTAAGGATGATATCATACATGGTTTAATAAAAACTCGAGTTGTAAAGCTGCTACTTACTTGATCTCTATATTGCAAGATCTCCGTATCAGACCGAACGTGAAATTTTCTGCAGCTGTTGCCAATTTGTTAATTATGAATTCTTCTGCAATCTCCGAGAAATAATAAACCTGTAAGTGCACGTACATCTGAAGTATCTCCATACATCTGTACCTTCTTCAACGAATCGTTTCAGCAAAACTTGCAGATCTGGAATTTCGCACTCGTGGCATATCTGTCAGTTAAAAGAGACATTGCAAAAAGCACCTTTACGATAAGAAGTGCATTTTATTGAAGAAGAGAGGGAGAGTGAGTGATGGAATTCACTTTCCGCATAAAAGATAAAAAATCAATAAAACCGTCTCGCCTTTCAGCTGCCGATGTGGGATTTTTGTTACCTCAGACTTTCCTGGAACTTAAAGATCAAAAGTTTCCTCGTTACGACGAAAATTAAAATAGCTTTTATATTAATAAGACTGCCTTTCTTTAAATGCTCTTTAAGGAAGCCCAATTCGGCGTTTTGTCGTAATTCAGTTGGAATATATACTTATAGGTCCTGATGTAGTACAGTATTCTGAATTGATGATTTATTTTTCTCTCGAAAAATATTATATGGGAGAGTAGTTTCGATAAAATATTGTTAAATGACACGTAACATTCTTCGACCTCTAAATGACATAAGTACTTTACGTAAAGTTCACGTTCCAAGTGATGCTCTCGGAACGGGCTGTGGTCAAGTAGCTCATACAACTTGTTACATAGCCGGCATTAAGTATAGTTAGTGCATCGAGTAATTCTACGTAATCGTATCGGGATATTATCCAGAAGGTCAATACCATGTACTGAAACTGTTAACAGTACTTGCACCTTAACGCTACACCTGAGATTTTTTTGAAGTAGTTAGAAAAAAAGGTTCTCTACAACAAAAAACTCTAAAGTTTGTCTTTTACTTTCGACTACTGTCACGCAAAATGATTGAAAAGCTTCGACTCGAGCTAATCCAAAGTTTGCGTCAATGTTGTTTGCAGAAGATGACCAAGATTACGTCAAGATTTCTCTTCGAACATAAAATTCTTACACAGTTTCAGTTTGGAGAACTTTTCTCCGAAGTGAGAACGTCAACTCGAAGCCATTCAACTTGTATTTAGCAACACGGTGATGTTCATACGCGAATGTAACAAACTTGAATCCTTGACAACAATCAACAGACCTTTCAATTCCACTTTATAATACTCAATACTTTGTCTCGATCATCTCGTTAATTTTAATCTCTAGTAACAATCATCAAATCTTCAATGTCCCATTCCACGAGACTATTGTAATTTCCTCATGTATATTTAACTCTCCGATAGTAACCGGATTTTTAAATTCCACTTATGTAAAGTGTTTCAGTCAGAAAACCTAATCCTGATTTTTTGAAACGCATGTATAGATGCTGCAGTCCTCCTTGTACTCTCTACAAACAGGATTAATTTACCTTTCGGTTATGACAACTAATATGCAAAATCATTGAAAAGCTTCAACTCTCTCTAATCCAAACAGACTTTGAGTTACGTTGCCGGCGGAGGATGATCGACATTGCGTGAATTCTTTTCTTCGGAAATAGAATCCTTCTGCAGGTTCGGTTTGAAATGACTTTCCTCCGAAGTAAGAACGTCAGAGCGAAGCGGTTCGACCTCTATTTAGTGACGTAAGTTACTTTCGTGCGCGGCAAAGACTCGCGTTAGCCGGTCGACTCGACCAACCAGTGGAGATTTCAACATTTTAGCTCGCCACCAGCCCGATGGTCTCCTCTCGAATGTCCTCAGCACACAAGCCATTTTTCATAGACAAATCCTCCAAATTTCGGACCGATCCATCACCATAACTCTTTGATCAAAATGCCACCGCGGTTGAAATACGACTTATGTAACTTTTTCATTTCGCCGATTAACAGGCTCGAGATACGATGGCCACTTTTTTGCCTGACGAAACGTAATCCATGAGCGTCATTAGGACTCATAATAGAGTTTGGACTCTTTTTTATCACCTGTACATGTGTAGACTCAAAGGACGATTTCGCTGGCTAGCAATTTTAATGTCCACCTTCCCCCCTTCCTTTGACTTTTCAAATCCACGCACTTTTCAGCTGACCTTTTAATTTAGATATTCTTTCTTCTATAGCTTCTCAAGTCGTAAAGTTTGGGCGTAATTCATAACTGTTATTAGAATCTATTACACGGTTTGATTGACTTTTGTCAACACTTTCTCTGCCTCTATATCAAAAGTTTTCAACCTTTTTGAGCTCATGGAACATTTTTTTTATTGTATGGGAAATTTTGGGAATATCAATATTAATGAGGTCGTACAATTAGAAATAAAAATATAGAGAAATACATATACAAATGTGTATACAATATGCGCAAATATTTGCAAAAAATATGTAGAATTCCAGTTAGACGTCCTCCGAGGAACACAGGTTAAGAACCACTGCTCCACATCTACGTTTTTGCTGACTGCAATCTTAGCATTCACCTTCTCCTATTCCGATATTCCTCAAATTTCAGTACGCTTTTTCATTTTTATATTATTATTGCTGTTACTGCGTGCACCGAGCACTACCAGCTTTTGAGCCGTTATACATTATTTTATCGACATATAGACATAATAAATTGTTATTCATTAATGCGGTTGCAATCTTGATATTCACGTTCTCCTATTCCGATATTCCTCAATTTTCAGTACGCTTTTTCATTTTTATTTTATTATTGCTGTTACTGCGTGCACTGTCAGCTTTTGAGCCGATATACATTATTTTATCGATGTATAAACATAATCAATTGTTATTCATTAATGTCACCGAAACTCGTTATTTTGTTCGAGCCCTGTTTTCGGCGGAAATGCGGAAAAAAGCGATCCTCAATGGCACGAAAGTCGTCACACGTCCATGTAAATGTTCACATTCGTTGCGCCATTTCACTTTCTACGAATTAGTCAGATTAAGTCTTTTATCCCGGTCGGCTCGACTAATTCGTTCCCGTCTCCTTATTCCGCGTCTGCCGATCGGGAATTTAGTTTCTCTGCTCATTAGTTCTTCGTCATAATTCCTAAGTACTTGCGCAACTCCTGGCCCGAGTGTTAGAAATCGAACGTGTTCGAACAAATTGCACGTACGAAAAGTTGGCGACTTGAAATTAAGTCGATTCAAGTCCTTGAGCAAATAGATCGCGGTTTTATGAACAATTGCAGAGCTACGTATTGCTAATTTGGAAAGTTATACAGTAATTATCCAGAATTAGAAGGTGCGAGTTGTAAGCAGCCTACCTTCCTGTAATTAATAATCTCAAAAGAGCGAACAATGTCTTCATTTTGATAAATGATTCATGAAAAAGCCTTAATTTCATTATTCTTACGAGAAAAATTAATGCATTCAATTTGCATAAGAGCTAACAAGGTCCTCATCTGAAAAAATGGTTAACAAGAAAGTGCGCCAATTTACTTCGGTAAAGCATTTTCAGGTTAATTACTCTTTCCAAGAAAATTGATGAGTTATTCTTTTGCCCGCAATTTAAGATAGCTCGTAACCACACAAAAGTATCGTTAAATTTAACTGTAATTACTTGCCAGTCATGCATGCAGCTGCCAGGATTTACGTCTTTTCTTTTCGCGCCACGATTATTCTATTAATTTCAATTTTAAAGTCTTCACTGTGGTAAATTAATTACCTACGTTCGTTTTACCCTTCTATGAATCAGGTGATTGCAATAGGAAAGTCGTTAGGTTGCTTAATGGGATATGTATGACCGGAAACAATCACCACGCGGTTCGCCGCTCTAGTAAAATTGTTCCTTTCAGCCATTATTTATGTAGCACAAAGTTTATTTCAAAATTGGCACATCGCTTACATACATACATAATAAGACGGATAACGACGGATGAGTATATGTGAACTTAAAATCCTAGAAAGCGAAAGTGCATTCGGGAGATCCTCAATTTTTGTAAAAAAAAAAAAAAATGTTTACCGAAGCCTTCAGACCAGGAATAAAATATAACCGAATAATTTATTACTCTCGTTTCGTCATATTTCCATTCCTTCATTTTTATTTCACAATTAATGATCCTCGTCGATTCCAGTGCTCTTTCCGAATAAGGAATTATTAGACTCTGTTCGTACAAAGATCTGGTAAAAAAAGAACCTGCCCCAAGTAACACATATATCTTATACGTAATATGCACAGCAAATCTAAAGTGCAAAGTATGGTGGAGATGTCTCAGTCTATAAGTCGCGCTTACAATACGTATTATGTACAATGGAACTACGTTAAAGGTTGAAATATTAGTTACAATAATGTTACGAAGACTGTCGATTGTTAATAGGAGAGCATCTTCTGACGATATCACGCAGGATGTATTGTTCATTAAAATCAGTAAACTCGGATTTTTGCAACATGCTTTGCTGCTAAACCGATCGAGCACATTGCAAAATGATTTGTCGTGAAACTCTGACGATTTCCTTGAGTATTCTATAGATATTCTATTCCACATAACGTGTATTCTATCGTTCACAAATCGTCGATTTCTACTAATGTTTTATTCCTCGATGGGACGGAAGTAAACCGCGAGTAGATCAGCCAAACGATGAATAGTCCGAGGATCAGTTTAACAAATCTATCGGCAATGTACAGATAATTCATGACTCGTCGAGCCTGAGGTAAAGTCGAAGGATCGTCTTTCAGGCAGTATTTTCTGATGCCCAATATGTAATTCATTAGATACTCGTTCCAGCATACGTCTGTACAATCCATGGGAAATGCTTTTCTATCTTCTGGACTAAGCTCATCCTGCAATTTCTTCAAAACGTCGGTCCTGTTACAAAAAAAGAGCGTTAACCTGTATTAATAAACTTTCGATCGGCAGGAAGGTGTCTGAAGTAAAAATTCTGCATTCGTAAAATTTTCAATGATATTTGATAAGAATATCTTAATATTTATTTTTGTCTAAGTTAAATTCCCTTCTATAGAAGTAGCGTGGGTATGCGATGTGCCACTCTTTATAATTTATTCTGAATTAAATTGACCTCTGCGAAGGACAATTTTTATAAGAGGAAGCGTGCAGGCACTCACCTAAAAATCCAGTCTTTCGTAGTATAGTATTTCAGAAGGTCAAGCCCAGCTGAAATTCTTCCTTGTACTCGTACTAGGAATGGTTTATTACCAGTTAACATGATCAATCCGTCCAGGATGTATGCAGGAAGTAAATGGAAGAGAATCGAGTTCACCCAAAAGATGACTTTGGATGAAGTTATGGATCCTCCCGGATACCAGAGTACATCTAGACAATTGCAAGCAAAAGTACATTACAAAACAGAATTAACATTCTTCTACTCATTTTCTTTTAAACATCTTGCAAACAACGTACTGACTATGGATTGATTGTATTCCTTTTCCTTTCCACTATCTACACTTACCTCAAGGTTTATAGTTCAATACAGGTTTACTCAATAATAAAAGTTCACATTTTATAATATATTTAGTACATTTCGGCTGATTCGTGAATTCCAGTATCACTTTGCGTAACTCTATGCTTAACATAAATGTAGAATTGATTTAAAAGGTATATTTCAATGCCAGAAGTAAATTCTTGCAATATTGACTGTAAAAGTGAGTCTCTTTTCCTTGCCATTTCGTTGGTCTTGTTTAATATCCTATTATATAATTTTATAACTAATTTTACTCTTTGATACCGACAAATTTATCTGTATTACTGTATAAATACTACATTATTGTACGAATGTATCGATACTACTGAAAATCGTTATGTAAATCTACAATTATTAAAACAATATAAATTTGTCTGGCGAATAATGTATTAATCTAAGTAGTCAATTCTTGCGATGTCAGCCCTAAACAGACTAACTCCTAAATATTGATTTCTATTTTAACATCGTTGCATGACGTATAAAGTTTCATACGGGGCACGAGAAGATTAGTTTTCTACGCAGCTACGCCAAAAGCCTTGTTTAACGTGGCCGTGAATTGACAATTGCAAACGCGAGGTGAATGATCGAAGAGTCTGCTAAAGAAATACTTTGGTTCGAATGAGAATGATGCGACGTGTTTTGAAAATTAATACTTCATTATCGATTCACATCAATGGTCGACGGGAAGCAGGGTTAAATAACATCAAACCAATCCGATGTAAATATCGACATTGTCTCTCGACTTAATTTTAATCTTGTTGAAATATACACGGAATCTTATAGCAGGATGGTAAACTAATTCGATACAAGAAAAAGTGCTAAAAAGCATTTAATTTCAAGTTCCTGAAATTCTTTTTCATCCAAAACTTTGCTGACTAGATGCTACACTAGATTAATGGTATTAATGAGAATAGATTCGGTTTCTGGTTTTTGACAAACATGAAGCTTTAAACACAAAGACTAAAGAAGAACTAGAGGATTATTCCGTTCTCTCCTTCAAATGTTCTCTATTACCTGCAGAATTGTATGTACATAAATAAATAGTTACCTTCAGTTCCCTAACTTTAACTATATTAAACAATAATATCTCGTTTTTGACGGACCTGAAAACGGATAGTCGTAGACGTGCTTTCTGCCAACCTCGATAGCATATCGCCACAGGATTGGATTCGATCCCGTTTCAGAGATATTCATGAAAATCGGTTCGTCGGGCTGTTCGAGGCCCACTTTCCACGCCAATGAAATGATTCCATTGACAGCGATATCACAGGGAATCAAAGGGAGGTAATCATCACCCCTCATGAGCATCGAACGAATTACGCCCTTCCCAGCTCCGATCATCAGTCCAGTTGGTCCATTCATGTTCTCCACCCACCCCGGAAACGGTTCCTTCCAAGAAGCAGTCACTAAAAAATGACAGCAAATTGAGCGAATAAACAAAAGCAATTATTTCCATCTACCCTCATTTATTTCGTTATCAGTAATCGCCTAAACTTTCGAATTCACTTCCCAAAAGTACCGACTTATTTGATGAAGGTCGCTCGAATAATCGTTAATCACTAATGCTGCGTTATGACGAAACGTTTAATGATCACTAATAGAGGAATTATGTTCATTAATTTCTTTGTCAAGGGATCAGAAGTCTCCTCTATCGTCAGATTTACTTGTGGCATTACTCAAGCCGTCATTTATCTAGCGAATAATAATCGAGCAACGGATTATTTGTATCGATTTTCCTCGCACTAGTTAATTGTTGGAGATTCCATGTTTAAGTCGCTGCTTTGCGCAATCATTTATATTATCGTCATTACCAATGGACGGGCGAGCAACACCTGCAGGCAAACCACTTCTTACGACCAAATCTTCCGATAAGGCTTTGCTGAAGGCATACGTGTTCGGCTGGTCCCCCAAAAGTTTTGGGGTCATTTCCTTCAATCTGTCTTCGGTTTCGTTCTCCACCATAGATATAACACTTTCCGGTGTAACTGCGGTCTGATAGGCTCTTTCCTCTAGAACCTCTTCGCCGCATTGGCAGAACGACGTCGATACGTGAACGAAGGCTTTCAGTCGCTGTATCTGAAAATAGTATTTAGATCCATCAAAATAAAATAGAATTAAAGTTAAGAATTACTTCTCGAAACTATTTCTTTTTTTTTTTTCGAAAAAATTAAGTACTGAGGTATCGCATCTCACGCATCCACGAATTTGACTTTGATTCGTCGAAATTTCAATATAAGTAAATGAATAAAGGCGTTTCAACGTTGAAATAAAATTATCCAACATAGAACGGAAGGACTTCATACGGTAATGTAATTACTCTTGTCGGTCGGAGTTACTTTTGTTGTGGTTTATAAGCCACTTTATTAGATATATCTGAGAGGATTGGCAGTAATTACCGAATGAAAGGAAATTGACTCGAGGAAAATGTAAAAACTTGTGATCCCACCGAATAAGCATAAGGAATCATTTAACGTTTTGTTATTAATTGGTAATGCAATGTATTTAAATGTAAAGGAGTAATAGTTATATAAAAAAGAATTATGTGAGTATGGAAATTTCGAAAGGAAGAGATTAAAGTGACAAAGTGATACCAGATCGTATGAGAGGCACTCATCTAGTGACTTATATACTTGGCTGTAATGTGATTTCAGTGCTTTATGTATCTAAACACATCCAGGAATATAATGTAACATAAAAGAAAAAGGTGAGCTTGTATTCGGCGAAGTTGTTTTACCCGAAACTGTTTTTAGAAAGGGGATCTGAAAGGAGAGGCAGTAATTACCGAACAAAAGGAAATTGAGTTGGAAAAAGTGCATACTGCGGGTGACTGCGTTAAGTAAACGTCACGCTGCACTCGAGGTTGCATTATTCCTCGATCTGATTCCACGGTCCGCAAATCGCCGAACAATGATCGATCATTTGAGTTACACTATCGTGATAAGTATTCCGTTACAAAGGAAAGTCCACTATTACAGACTTTCGAGGGAAATTAATATGTACTTACGTCAAAAGTTCAGTACTGCGAATCGTTGCATGTAACTGAACTAAATCCAAAAGTGACATTCTTGCAAGTAATCTCAGTACGGGTAACAAAGAGAAGTAATACAGGTAATAAATCCTTTACAGCGTAAGTTAGTTGCAAGATATGAAAATCAGCATTGCTCTAGTAAACGTAATACAGTATTTACAAGGGGCGTTTAATTTCTACAAGTTACATTATTTCCATTGTATTACAATTATGAAAATTTCTGTTCAATATATATTCTCCTGCTGAAGTTTTGCTTAAATTTTGTCGCGATATACGAGGAATATAATTATAGTTTAAATACCTGTTTCGCAAATGCCAGGGCATTGGCAGTTCCTTTTGTATTCATCGTGATTGCAGTTTTTAAAGGAAGGTCAAATCTGACGTTTGCTGCCATGTGAAATATCACTGATACCTCCTCGGCGAGAATACTCTTATCAGTCTCGGATAGGCCGAGATCCTTCATCGTGGAGTCTCCGGAAACGACTACGAGTTTTTTCACTTTAAAGGGATGTGTTTGTTGGAGCGATTTGAAGGGCTCTTGCTAAAAAAAATCACAAAACATGTAGGTACGTAAGCATCTGCGAAATATAATACATTTTGTTCTAGTACTCTATCTTATTTGTAGCATTGAAAACTTCCCTAAATGTGATAAATTCAAATAAATGTAAAAATCTCCAAGAATTAGCAGAAATTAATTACTGAAATTTATGCGCATTGTCAACGTCGGCATCAACATCGCCATCGGTATATTAAGTAATAATATTGTCGAAAACATTAAAAACATTAAATTAATTCGTTAATCAAGTCATATTAGTAGGGTATATTTGCGCTTGTTTGCATGACTACCTAACATTTCTTATCATTTACATATTATTTTACATGCGTCAGCTTATATCTATTAGAATTAAACATTATATGTTTAATATGTACTGCTGGGTATAAAACATTTTTTCGAAACGTCCTTAATGTTTCTCCGAATAGTATGTAAATAGAAGTCTCCTCGTTCTTAGTGAAAGCTTTATATTTCCTTGACATTTCGTAAAAATCCGGGTCTATCAATTTTGGCCTTGATCTAATTTTTTTTTTGCAAGAAGGCCGCTTTTAATATATCTCGTAATTGCTGTATTAATAATAATCTTGCAATCATGATGGATTTAAGAACTCGTTTTTACGAAATATCTCTAATCCCGATGAAACGTTGCACGTATCTGAATCCACATATTTTATCCTTGAAACATCTCTTTATTGCATCAAACACATGCTAAAATGCAGCCTTGACCTTCTCAAACTCCGAATAAGAAATACATAAAGCATATCACAATATAAGAATTGCATGGAAATTTCTGCACGTTTAAAGTAATACATTATTAAAATCTACGCAAATTACAGCACAGTGATGCATGCATTGGGAATAAAATCTGACAAAGGCGACATTGAAACTAGCCATTCATTTCATTCTGACAGATTTCCAAGTTTCAACCACTGAATCATTAACAATAAGGACAAACATATAACCTATCATTTTTCTAGCACGTTTAAGAGAATATAAAAGTGAATTCTTCTCAATGAAGATATCCAAACAGGTGAACAACTACTATCGACAATTAATAACATACAATGGCACATTGGACAATAAATTCTGATAAAAGATTGCTTCGGAAATAAAGAGAATTGTGAAATAGGTTAAAGCCTCACTCGAATGGCGTACGTGCACTTTGCGGCCAAAAGAAAGTGAAAACGTCCGTGATGAATCAGACCGTACGGTATTATCGCCTCAGGTTTTTTATTATAAGAAAATGATCTTGCGGTATGCCTGATTGTGAAGTAAAATTACAATATGCATACACGAAAGGACTCTGCTTGGCTTTCTCACGGCATTGTCTGGTCTTTTCGAGGACATGTAACTTAAGGTGAAGTGAAACACGTCGAGGAACTTGATCGACGTCGATAAGGAAGATTTTTCTAAATGCCTACGTTGCTGACGTTCGTTTTTATATTGAAAGCTGTGTCGAATTATATTGGATATTATACCAAATGGCATACTCCACTTGTCGTTTTCGTACAATAAATATCAAGAAATCGAAGTAAAACGCCAGAAATCCTCTGAATTCATGTTTTCTAGGACCCTAATTGACTGCAGAGGGACCCCCTGCGCCATCTGTGATTTCCAGGTGAATTAAATTTTCACTCCGAGACCTCGTAATCCCATCGTTTTAGCATAGAAGCGCATACGACACTTTTTTTGCCTTTATCCCGTTCAAATGCGAGTTTATCGATTACCAGAGTGTTCTAAATTGTCGTAAAATTGTCCTGATCCTTTCGATTCTCATATCGGAGCCTTCGATAATTGCATATTGATCGAAATATGAGAGCTCGACGCCATTTTGTTTCTGGTCCGGGCTAAATTAAAAAATTTGTTCAAAAATCCAAATTTTGAATGTATCAGGACAATTCTTAGATGATCTGATGTGTCAAAGTTTCGGACAGTTTGGTCTAATACCCTTAAAAAAAGTGTTGTATTCGAATCGACTGATTTGAAGGGGATTTCACTTCACCTTAACGAGGGCGTACAACACTTGTACTTAAGGTAGGCATGTATCGGGAAATTAATGATTATTACTTAGAACCCACGTAAATAAAGAATGCCATGCTTAGACGAAGTCGAGCGCAGCATCTTCACTTGAACATAGGTACATACTTATCAAGTAATCATCTAACTCTCATTGCGGTCAGGGCAATGCTACTCCGATACACCGCATAGTCGGTAGTTGCACTATGCAGTTGTATGCGTATGACGTTAAACTATGAATGCATACATGTGCCTGCATGGCGCAATGCAAAGAATTTGCGCGTCTTTACAAACGATATCTAATTAGTTTCCTCTATATACTAAACTAATATTAAATGCACAGTCGCATTGAAACGGTGATTTATTGACGTAAATCTCCATTTTATGAGCGAGTCGTGCAGTTCGTTGCTTCTTGGTGTACGCAACATGGCGTAACACCTTCAAAGAGTAGATTACGGTATAATTATAAAATTAATAGGGATGTACTTGGAATGTGTCGTATATCAATTGTTTGCGCAGTTCATCCGAACCTGGCGAATCCAATCACGCGAATCCAATTACCCGAATGGAAAATCGAATTTCGGATTAAGAGAAGCCAGAATTGTCTTCTAACAATTACTAGGAAATGTGCGATTACGGGGGCGATTACATACATTATTATAGGAATGGTCATTTTAGAATGAATCCTTGGAATATCTCCACTACTGTATCTTGCTTTTTATTTAGAATATCATTATGTATTGGTAATGTAATTACAACTTAGAAAAAGTGAAACAGCGTTTTGTATAATTATATGTAAAGTATGCGATCTGATTTCGTCTGAAATATGGAATACTTGGGAATATCACAATAATGTAATGTTCAATTTATTATTAAACACTTGTTGAGGTAATAAGCGTGATAAATAATGTTTACAATTTATATTTAATGCTTTAGATTATCCCTATGAATACGTAAACTTGTCTACAGAAGTCTACGGGAAAGGAGTGCTAAATATAAGAGAGGTAAAAAGTAACTGACGTCAAAAATAAAAATAACAAAGGCGCGAGACTCTTCCAACAATGGACAATGGAAGATTTTGTAGAAGCGATCTTATTTTTGTTTTCTTTTATGAACAGATTTCAAGGTGAGACGATGCGTGCAGAGAAACACTCTTAGTTATGAATTTAAATATGCAGAATTTATGGAATGCAATATCATCATGATATTACGGAGTAAAAAAACTTTCTCACGTCGGGAGCCTTGGAAGGTAATATTACATTACTTGGAGTATGACGAATAATTACTCTTCAAAATGTCCATAGACAAAGAATTGCGCAAATTTATATTTTCAATGCCAGGCTTACGAACTGGAAAAACACGAGGATTTCGATGATTTTTTTTTCAATTGATATCGACTTATGACGTAGGTTTCGCAATTTACTCAATGGATACATTCATTCATTTAAGTTTCTCCGTGTTGTGACTTGCATAAATTAACGAACAAATTACGACATTTTCAGTTACTCAGCTAATTTCCATGAAACGACACGCCTCAGCCAAGGATGTAGAAGCATGGTTAAGTTAGGTATTAACAATTAGCATAACAAATATTTAGGAATATAAATATTACTCTATTCATTCTGACAGTAATTATTCCAATGGGTAATTTATTTATAGAAAAGATCGTTCTATACATATAATATCAGATAAAATATCAAACGATTATCACTTTTCATACAAAAGTTATGTAAAATATATGCAGGATGTTCCCAATTTAAATGGCACAAATTTTAAAAGGCCAATTGATAAACTAAGAGAACACGTACAGAGATTTGCTCGTTTTTGCTCTCGTTTTGAGAAAGTTAAAAAACTACCAATACAAGATGTTCCCATTTTTCGCTTACCTAATGCAGAAATTATGCAAAATGTCGACGTTTTGCATTAATGCAAGCATTGCACTTAGCAGTGACAGGGTGTGTTGCAAATATTCTGATTTTACGTACTTCAATACTGGTTAAAATGTTAAGCTGCACTCTTCTACTTGGACCATGCATTAACTCTCGTCTTGCATTAGATAATCGAAAAATGACACCTTTTGGTTTTATAATTATATTATAATTCTGCTGGAAGGATGCAAAAGTGAACAAATCCATATAGAAATTATTTCTTAGTTTGTTCTCAGTCTCTCATATGCTTTCAAAGTTTTAACGTGTAAATAGGAAACACCTCGTATATTCCTTTGCCTTCTTAGGCGACAAAGTTGAAAACCAACATGTATTCATTAATATAACAACAATGTACATATTTCCTCAAAGGGTGAAGTAACAGGTTAAGGTAAAATGGATTGAAATCGGTTATGCGAGCAATATGTGAGAAACAGTATTCTCTATGCGTTTAGAAAATTACTTGTCATAACAAAAAGTCAACAAAGTTAAATAGTTTTACTTTCTTTACCTGAAGTAACGTCTGCAATCTCGCCTGAGGGAGGACGCCTTTCTTTTCCCTGACTAGCATGAAAATTTTTCCAATCTCTGGACACTCATTGAGAAGCTTAATGACCAAAACTTTGCCCATAAAGCCGGTGGCTCCAGTGATGAAGACATCCTTGCCCTTAAACCATTCAGCTATCACTGGCTTTGATTCCATTTTCAAGATACCTATGAGAATATATTATTCATAAACTTCTAAAATAATATGCGCAAATTTCACAATTAATAAACTATCTCTCTGACCAGGGTATAAGCGCATTAAGGTGGGATGAAAGTGGCTTCTGAGAGATCAATCATTATGATACATTTCTCATAACTAGGTGCACCAAATCGTTTAAAATTTGACCATGTAAATGTGGAGACCCTAAGGAAAGTGCTGACATCCATGAAATTTAATTATTATTAAAACATAACAAATGTTTATAAACAAATTTACAAATATGAAATGTCGTGGGTATTAGGCCCTTCCTTGGGGCCTTCGCATTCACGAAATAACATTTCAAATGATTCGGTGCACCCAGTTTGGAGAAAAGTTTCGAATGAGTTAAACGAGACCCCTCGAACGCCACTTCCAAATCACCTTAAAAGAGATCAAATATTTCAACTACTAACATTAACAAAATCGCTGTACTTGACGGAAACTCACTCTATCGAATCGATTAACTTAAACTGAAGAATCTTACCCAACTTTCCAGGTGTAAGAGAGGCCTTGAAAAATTGAAAAGCTCCTGTTTTCTGCGTCACCGACTGTAGGCTTTGTCGTAAATACCCCCAGGCAGTCTCTACATGCGAATAATGTATTTGGCGGGAAATTCTTCGGAATTCTTTGCCTCGTCAAGGAAGAACCGGAAATACACTCAAACAACCTTTACACGCGAATAATTTATTTAGCAGGAAATTCTGCGGAGTTCTTTGCCTCGTCGAGGAAGAACCGGAAATACACTCAAGCAGTCTTTACACGCGAATAATGTATTTGGCCGGAAATTCTGCCGAGTTTCTTGGCGTCTCGACGATGCAGTCGCGGGTTTAGCACTGAAGAAGGCCGAAGCCGGTTCACAAAGAGTCGAAGAATCGGGAAAAATGGTCGTAAGGAGCTACGGGGTAGAGTCACATGCACTATGGAGATATACAGAGGAACCTGGTATTTATCCATACGAAGGCTCGATTGGAACTAACCGATCCTCCGCCGAAGTGGGATCAACGATGTCTAGTCGACTTTCTTGGTTTCGGTCTTTGTGGATTGTTCATCGACACAGTCACTGACGGTCGTTCGAGGTCGCTCGGCCACACTCTGTAGGTTATGACATTGAGCCACGACTGTTAAATTGATTTCGACAGGCGGTACAAAGTACACTGGAACATGGGCTCGAAGTTTCCCTTATCGCCGGATTGTCCTGAGGATCTGAAAACATGTTATGGATATGCACTCAGCGAGGCGGTTGAAAGCAGGAACAACCACTTGACATTATCTGCCTCGTTACTTATCGTATCCCAAAATGTATAAAATGAGTGAATCCACTGCGTGATGATTTTTCACGTTGAAACTTGGGATGTCGACACTTGATATATGCCTTTTTATCAAACTTCATCTTCAGGGCATTGACGTAGGAATGATGTCTTTGTCTCGGTGCGCAAGCGACATGAAAATCCGTAACCCGTGTATGCTCGAAGTGTTCACAGCTAAAACGTGATAGAAGATTAAACAATGTATTGTTTTAAGGGGGAAGAACAATCCTGTTCAAATTAATAGTCAAATGTGATTATTTCAACTGTTCGACCTTTCACGCCACGTTATTCTACGTGCAATGTTAAAGTTCTGGTTCTGTCCAAAGGATCGAACCCCCGTTATCTTTTTAACTTACCTTAAAATAATGTTTAGAATAAAACTGAGAATGATTTTCTACGTTGTCCAATTTTTTAAAACACTTGATAAGGATATTGGAGTTGTGGAGTCGTTAACGAGTTTTTTCAAGAAGATCCACGTTTTTATATTACAAATGTTTTCGTTCCATGTATCGAACTGAGCACGCGCAATCTCTTGATGCGATTTTAGAATGATTATGATTAAATTTCATTGAACGAATTTCCAGTGGTTGGATTTAGACGAATACGTCTACTTTCGGAGGGGAATAGGTCGATTCATTGTCAGCCCCAGTTCGAACTTTTCCAAGCATTCAGAGCAAGACATTAATTCCTGTGCTTTACTAAACATATATTCCATTAGTGGCAATACAAGGTTTTCCTCTAAGCACAAAAGTTTTATGACTTCGAGATATTTAAATAATATCTGAAACCCGTTCAAGCGCCTTTCAATGAGATATTAACGTTACTTTTTAAAAAGAAATCAATTTCCCTTCCACTACAAATGTTACGAAGAGAGTTTAGACGAATCGAAAAACCTTAGTTAAGCGATTTGCCAATTAATTATAATTTGTCAAATATTGCGGCTAAAATTTAAATGGTGCAATTTTTTGATCGGCTCAAAGTTGGTTTTTCGACGCGCAACGTATATTGTTCTTGTTCTTCAAGCCCCGATATTTCACGGATTGTTTATCAAAAACATATTTAATATATTCCATTGAATTCTTCTGAACATCCTGTATAATTTTTCTAGAAGTAGAATATCGATTTCTGTGGCAAATAAGTAAAGGGTTCCGCCCGTACCACCTTCAAAGTGGTAAAAAGAATGTTTACACGGGAAAGAGTTTTTCATGTCGCGGAAAGTGGAGAAAATATTTCAGGTGGACAGAATTCACGATCCACCCGGTATACCTACTGCTAGTAAGATTTTGCTAGCCTTGCCTGTACTATTAGTATCCTCAGCATCTGCACGGTGATCCAAGAACTGTATTCTCATGATGCCCAGAGACTGCTATATCGCCAATTTCCATTGTATCTCGATATTCATTGGCCACTATGGGGGCTCGGCCCAATGGAATGAAGAGTACACGAGAAAGAAGCGTACCGAGTGACGGTAAGAAGGGGCCGTGGAAGTAACGTCCCTCTCCCTTTTATATCCTTTTTCAAAAACCCTTTCCTCGTGCTCGGAACAAACTACCACAAGGCCTTGATGCTTTTTTGTCAACACTTTCCTCATGGCCATCTTGGAAGACAGGTATTCGAACCTTTGCGGAAAGTCCGCATGCGTGTATAATTACTGGAGTTACTTTCGTTCTGGACCACAAATGCGATTTACTTATGATAAAAATACCCCGAGCGGAAAAATCACTTCGCATAAATAATAGAAATTCTTGCGAGAAAATGATTTTTACTAGAGTAGGTTGATAGTAGAAAACTGATACAAACATGAAACGATGATCAATGTCCTTGAGCTTGGTTCATCGAGCTTTTGTTATTCATTATGATTTTTCGTATATAAGACGAAAAATGAGGTTTATTTATTGTAAGATTGCGTAATGGTAAAATAAGATGGTGTGTATTAATTATTAATGATATTCTCGGCTAGATGAGAGCACTGCGGTATGAAGTCTGTCTATCTGGGTACGTATGGACTTACAAAATGTCCGCATAAATGTATTATTGCTATAGGTTTTCGTGCTCGGCAATAAGTGCGATTTACTTATTATGGTAAACAATATTGCGTATATTAATGACTCTTGATATTCCCGGTGTATGAAATGTACAGTGTAATTTTACGCCTCAGGAATGCTTCCTTTCGCCGTCCCTGAATAAAGAAGCATTGAAATCCCCTTGTGCTACAGGGCGTTCGGAATGGCAAACCGGTTGCAGAACAATCGCGCTACAACTCGAATTTCTTGCCAGCTCCTTTTTGAGTAATTGTGCTGACTAATGGACCGACGTTTTACCTTTAGTACAGTTTTATCTTTTGTATTATTTATCTTGCACACTCGGAACGTCTCTATAAGGAGTTAGTAATGAAAAACTGGAAATACAAGAATACCTTAATTAATAGTTATTCTTAACTGATAATAATTGGTGATAATGAACAATGAAATAAGGAGGAAAAAGTAGACGTAATAAAATATATTTATTGAGGCAGAGACAATATCTCCGGTTATGTGTTAATTAAATCATTAACGAGACAAAATAATTTGCTAATAGGAAAGTAATCACTGTGACGGAACGTATTGTTCCTGGTTTTTCTTTTTTTTTTACCACAATGGATAGCTCTTGTAGCCACATCAGATATCGGCAGTCTTTTAAGTCAGAATCCTGAGAAAAGTTGATTACAAGCCTACAGACCCGCAAACCGGTTGCCGAATTCATGGTTTATGACTTCGACCTTTTGGTTCTTACGAGAACGGAAATTTCGCTGACTAATGGAGGAAAGTACTGGCCAATACCTCAAAAATCCAATATAGAACTTATTTTTCATCCTTGACTGCGCACAGTACGTGTGCAAGATTCTTCTTAAATATGATCAGGAAATATAAGTACTTAATCAGACGTTATTAATTCTGTCTATATTCAAAAGTATATAACAAACCATGGAAATTGTAATGCCTTATTGCACTATTAACCATTTATAAATATAAATATGTACATATTTTTTTACAAAAATACAATGGGAAACTTATAAATACGTAATTAATGGAAAAAAGAAACGTCCTGTTATTACTACCAGTATATATATATTAAGAAAATTAACAGCATTTGTAATTTTGTAGAGAATGTCATTTTTCGCACTATATTCCTGTTGTAATTTCCTACATTAGAAATGAATAGATTTGCGAAACCATTTAAAACAAGAAATCTTGTTCAACTTTTTGTGCAAGGAATTTCATGTTTTGCCTTAAAATAGAATTTAGTTATAGATGCTCCGCTAGAGTGCACCACGGAACAGCAATCGTTCGAAACTCCATGAATGATCCATCTTCCAGTTCATCTTTTCGTATAGGTCACATGCAAAGAATTCAGAAGTCTCCATAGAAGCCCAGAAGGATACGGACGTTCGATGCTCGATAAATAGTATGTTAGCCAACGGATGGCGGCGCTGTAATCATCTCTCCATCTCTCTTAATCTTATGGCGATATATAGCGATTGCATTCTTTCTTTATCTTACACCCAATACTCGCCTTTCTATATGCGTCTCTTTTCCTCCCGTACGTAAGATATCGCTGGCTAACACATGCGATCTCTCTTTTACCCCCACTTCTGGTTTGTTAGCCAACTTTTAGAGCATCAAGCGCTAACATAGGACCTGGGCTTCTATGGGACTTCTGAATTCTTTGTCACATGGCAGTACACGTTTGTTTAAAGCTTGCTTACATTCCGGCTTGTTAAACTTTTATCATATATCTAACAATAATGGTTAAGAAAGCTGTAAAACGAAAGAGGAAAGAAGCCGAGAAAGAGGATGAGGCAAAAACAGGAGAATATTATATACCACCCAGTAAGAGAATGTCCGATGAGCCAATTCCGCGAAAGGTAAACATAACCTCTATAACACGTGTGTTGCATAAAATCTTAATCAACACTGTAAAATGCTTGTTGCATTCTAATTAGACTATAGGAAAGTATTAATTTAAGCGAGTTCAACGCATAAAATTAATATGTCCTTTTTTTCGTCATGTAGACAAACATAACCTATATTCTACATACATCATCCATAGCATGGATAATACTAAACGTTCTTCAAAATACATGTTGCACTATAATTGAATTACATCCAAAACAAAATTAAAAACATCACTAATTTACATTAAAAAATATTCAATGTTAAATTTACATTTACATTGTGTATGAAGCGTTATCACCATGGCACTATTTATTTAAAAAAAAAAATTGGAATAACATGTACAAGTGTGTTTTCAGGATAAATGGGTGAATAAACAACGTGTACTAGTATTGGGTTCTAGAGGAATTAGTCACAGAGATCGGCACCTTATGAATGACATTAAAACGCTTATGCCACACCATCGCCCTGAAAACAAAATGGAGAGATCTAAAACTCTTCAAGTATTAAATGAAATTTGTGAAATGAAGAACTGCAATAAAGCACTCCTGTTTGAAGGTCGTAGGAAGAGGGATCTTTATTTGTGGTTATCGCATGTTCCAACTGGGCCATCTGCTAAATTTCTTGTTCAAAGCAGTAAGTGTTTAATTAGTAAATCATATTTAAAGTAATTATGCTTAGCTACAAAAGAATGTTCGTTTTCAGTTTACACAATGGGAGAGCTAAAATTAACAGGAAATTGTTTGAAAGGATCTCGGCCTTTATTATCTTTTGATGAAAATTTCAGTACAAAACCACATTATGCTCTGTTGAAGGAAATGTTAACCCAGACATTTGGTGTTCCTAATCATCATCCGAAGAGTCAACCTTTTTTTGATCATGTTTACTCATTTACCGTCCTTGACAATCGAATATGGTTTAGAAATTTCCAAATTCTGACAGAAGATGGTGGTTTAACTGAAATTGGACCCAGATTTGTTTTAAATCCGGTGAAAATTTTTGCTGAAAGTTTTGGTGGTGAAACGCTTTGGGAAAATCCTCATTACGTCTCTCCTGCTAAGGTAATATTCATATTAATTATATTTGACAAATATTCAGCTTGACATATGTAAAAATATATTAACACATGTTTTAGACTTATATTCTATCGCTTTTTTTAATAGACTTTTAAAATAGGTTGAGACAAAGTAACGTCATGATATTTTATTAGAACATTTCAACACAATCATTTAATTTACATGAATGAAATTTATGTTACTGTACTGTACTTTTAATTTTACTGTGTTACCAGTTTCGACAATCATTCAAGAAAAAAGCTGGAAGTAAATACTTGAATAGAATTGAACAGAAGGTGGCTCGTAAATCTAATAAACCAGAACAATCATATGCATTAAATCCAATGGATGAAATATTCAAAGGAGAAATTTCAGAAACGGCAGAAGAAATTCAAAAAGTAGAGTCTGAAAATCGAAATTCTAGTAAACCCAAGAAAATGAAAATTAAGAAACAATTAGGAAAAAAGAAGAAACCTATTCTCAAAAAAAGAGTAAAGAGCTAAGTTAATTTTAGCTAATGTCTGTATTCATTCAAATTAAGAATAAAAAGATAGTCAGATGGAAGATATCTGTTTATTATATACACACTGCATATATACTAGCATTAAGAATGAGTTGTCTGTGTTAAGTAACCTTTTTTCAACCAAGTAGTAAAGATACTATTATGAAATTCACAATTAAGCAACATATCATATTAATACATTTTTATTTTCAGTTTTGCTTACAATAAATATAATTGAAAAATATATGGATCACAAAATACGTCACTACGATTTGCTTAACATGATTTGCCATTATATTAAAAATAAAACTATTTGTAAAGTAGATTGATGAACTTATATAAAAATATATTCATAAAACTCTTTAAATCTGAACTAAAAATAATTATTTTTTATGGACAGTCTGAGTATAAATGTGTACGCAGGCTTGAAATCGGAAGAGTAAGATATATCTGTACTGTTCGATGCAGGTCAGTTTTCTTAGCATTTAGATTAAAATTCCCAATGGAACATTAGTAGCGTTGTAATTCCAATTCAACAAACGGTATATACTGATATTCTATGTATGAGAAATAACAACATATTTTTAAAAATTAGATGCACCGTACACTTGATTTCAATAAAACAATGTGTACATCCTATTTTTCAAAATGCAGAATATAGTCTGTTCCTAAACGGAGTGTACAAATAACACAACACGAGTGCAAAAAAGACCTTATAATACTTTGTACGTTAACAGACAATTATTCAAGCCCCAATGTTTAATTACACGTATATACGTATTTATCGTTCAATTTGTGCGCAGAATGTGATGTAATTAGGCGTTTCACAAATACGTTAATGCAAGTGTTTTAATCCATATTTAAAAAGACTAAGTAGAGTACCTCCACATTTCTATTAAAAAATATGTTATTATGTGGTACTCTTGAGAAAAATGATTGTCATCCTATTTAATGACATTTTTCATGTGTATCAAAAATAAGAAATAATCTAGTACATCACACGTAAAGGCATTTGAAGAGATTTGTTGAAGTATAAATGGATAAGGATTGTTAAGAATATTCAACAGTACTGAACAAAAATGCCAAAGTTGTTGAATTAATCAGAAAGCTCCTTATCCATTATTTAAAATACTATCTTTCGTTTCCAAGGAAGAATGAAGCTGCCAAAAATAATTGGCTTAAAATTATTACTCCAATGTAACCGAATATTAATAGTCCTTATTATATCGTATATAAACAAGTATCTCAGCATATGCCCATTGTTTCTTAAACATAACACATTGCACACGAAATTTTCATTACAAAGACACCCTCCAAGATCGCTTCTTTTCAAATTTCTTATTCTTTTACTCTAACATATTTTCCTGAAAGTCATTATTTTCAATCTTTGGGTGCGACATTTAAGTTTGTAAATCGTACCATATATCAATAGAAACACCATAAACGTGCTTATAAAAGTGTAAAATTCGGCCGTAAAAGTCCAAAGCCTAAAATTGTAAATAATTATATTTTAAATAGATAAATCGCCATATATGGATAGTTGTGACTGAGTTGCAAAATTACCTAAGGTGATTGTACTTTTTTTTTTTCTTTTGAAGCCACTTTTCAAATGTTTCTCATTCACTTGGAAGCAACGAATAAGTAACTATGTAGGAAAGCAAATGCGTACAAAATCCTGCTACTACTTCAGTAAAAAGAGCTTATATATCCAAAGTGATTCCCTTCTGATCTAGTTAATCGGAAATTTCATAATGGAAATAAAGTCAAGTTCGTCTGACTTAGAGCAGAGACTCCCTAACATTTCACGATTCCTTTGTGAAGTGGCAGAAAGTTCGGAATACTGAATATTTTGAACGCACCAGTTAAATTGCCTCAAAATAAGTTGCATTGCAGCAACGTAATAATCTACAGAATTAAAAGGCAAAAAACTTCTCTGAAACGAATGAAGCTTGTGTGAAAATCAGTTGGCGTAGACCCGCAGCACGTACTGATTCATGGGAGCGAGTTCCTGTGCTTGTTGTCCATTAACATTTGTATTAGACCCAATTTGAGCGAGTGCAGATTGACGCCACTTACCATTCTCTCCATTCAGGTTCTTATCCTCGCAAATGCACAGAAACAGCGTGTCAATTATAGTCTGTAATGTTGTAAATAATTATTTAAAAGCCTTGGCAGACAAACTTAGATATCGACAGAGAATTTTAATTAATTTAACTTTAGATAAAACTCTTTGAAATGAATATCTTGGCCTAGTGCCACATAAAATAAAAGCATAATGAAAAACTCTTACCTCGTACAATGAAATAACACAGTGAGCAATGAAAAATGCAAAAATGCAAACGACAAATATAGGCACTGCGTAAAAATGCAATCTGGGATCCTGCCTCATAAAGAGCAGTCCAACGCACCCTGTGGCAGCTGTTACAAAGCATTTACCCAGGAATAGGATAAAATCACCTACTCCGTTGATCACCGCAATTTGTAAAGCATTACTCACGATTGTTGTAAATGCCTATAAATGAATATAAAGAAGTAAGAAAAAATGAAATAGTAAATTTGATCTTGAAAATGTGGGTTTAACTGTATTAAACGCAAGATTGACTTACAATTCTAGCGGCGTTGCAGAAATTCGTCCCTTCTATGGCAACAACGGTGTATGCATTGTGGTTCATGTATCGAATAAATTTCTCCATGCAGTAAAAGCAGCAAATGCAACATTTTAAACCACACTGAGAACACGGTGATGTTTCTTTCGTTTTTTCAAATCTGAAGTAAAGAAATGATTATACAAAGATACAGTTGAATACTTTTCCGGTTGTTACGAAGTAACAGTACTTACTTCGAGTGGAGATATGCTAAAATTAATCGAGGCACTTTAAAGATAGTAATTAATAGTGATCCACAAGCAACAGAGCCTAAATGATAGCTAACTAGGGTTCCCATTGCTGAACATACAGGAGACACGCTTGCATCCTTATCTCTACAACATATTTTAAATGCACACATATTAGGGATGTAAATGCTATTATCATTTTAATATCTTTAATATTGACTATTGCAAATCCTATAACATGTAGAAAATATTACCTAAAGTACCAATGAGCAACTGCACCAGCTATAACCATATCCTGGCAGGCGATAATAAACTCTGAAGTCCAAATTAGTCCAATAATATACACCCACCACATACATTTTACCCAAGTCGCATCGACGTATTCAACTAGAGTAAATGCTAAAACAATTTGTCATTAATATTACATTCAACATTTGAAAGAAAATGAGGAAATGTAAATTACTTTTAAAACTATCAATGGAGAGATCCATTTTCTTCTGTTCGATAGACAAACTTTTTGCTCCGTTGGAGTTTAAATTCACAGGATCAAGAATGTGATCAAGGATTTGAACTGACTTTGTTCCTGGATAATCTGCAATGTTTTATGATTAGTGCCATTGATTTCATTACTTATGGAAGGTTTGAAAAAATTACTGCGAATATGAAATTTACTGGCTGTTGCTAAAGAAAGTATGACAACGATCCAAAAAGCGAAGAATACGAGAAGAGCGATGAAAGTCAATAAAGGCTGAAAAAACAATCCTGGAAGTTCTGCGAGACATTTCGCACTTTCACGGAATAATACTGCCATGAAGCTAATATACTTTCGTAGTATACAAAGGAGGAAGAGCAGAACAACCTAGAAACGATAAATAATATTAGTAGGAAAGAAAATATTCTAAAGAAAATCTTATGATCAACAGAAAACTTTACATAATTTTTTAACATACTGTAACTATTGTAGCTATAATTGCAAAAGCTAAAAAGGCCTTTTCATTTCGAACAGACTCCTCTAAAAGTTCACTGGGATCTGTTGCATCTAGAGTTTGCTTTATTCCTATATACGTCCACCACAGCAATCCGGTACCAGCTAAAATATTTAAAATCTTTGTTAAGGTTTTTGCCTTGAACACTGACATAAAACAAAGTTCACTATGCAAATACATGTGAACATGTGTAAGAATATTTCATTTGCACCATGATGTAAACGACAAATTTATATTCCAAACTTACCAATACTAGATACAGTAACAAGTGTCATCATGACCCAAGTTACAATATTGGCTAATAAATGGAAGATGGCGATCATAAAGAGTGATAATACTGTAAAATAAAAAATTATACTAGTTAAATGTTTTCAACCACATTATGAGACAATACATCGAGTTTATGTAAATATATTTGACTCTGTTTACATACCGAAGGCAAGAAATGACAAGGCTAGAATTTCTCTCCATGTTTTATATAAATCTCCTAAGATTTGTTCGATTACATCCCATGAATTGAGAAGTCCATACAAATTCCTTACTATTGCGTTTCCAACTTCTTTAACAGTTTTAGGAATGCAACGATTTAATATTGGAATACTATCGTAAACTGGTAATTTAGGACACGATCCTGTCTTATTTTTGCTGTTTTCACTGTTGCATGCGCTAAACTCGCTACCAGGTCTATCATGGCAGAGCTGAGACCCGGTCTTTTTATAAAACTTACAAATATCATCCAAAGTTCTTAAAGTTTGATCAGGGCACTTTTTCACACAAATCTTCAAAGATTGCTTGACATTATTTACATTCAAGAAGAATAAGTATCTGAAATGCATTATCTCAATTATATCGCTGCTTAATAATAAACGTAAACAATGTTATACTAACGGTTTTTCACTGGTATCTTGACCTGACAATTCCATACTGCCAAACTTCTGATTATTCTTCATTCCACATGTATTACCGAAGCTGTCATAACCACTTATAAGCCGCAATGGATTTCCATATACTAATGCAAACGCTGCTATTAAAATCTGTAGCCAATGAAACATTTCGAGTACCATAAACAAAACTTGAATTAAACATATGTCATATTTAAGCAAAAACCGAAAACGAGACGAAAAATATCAATCATCATACCATGAGAAACCAAAATAATATAAAAAGGCATAGCCAGAAAATATCTGTGCATCCCCGAACTCTTGTAGGATTTGGGTGTTGCTCTTCTTCATCTTCTCCGGTGCAACAAGACATGTTTGTCAACACTGCAGCTTCTTAATGGAATCTTTAAAATCTCTTGGAAGTATAAAATTCGAGTTCACGTTTCAAGCGACCGAGGCCGAGGCCGCTGAGTCCTTGTGAAGTTGGCTACGAATACTCACGAAAATATGTAAATACCAGGGGTCTATTATGTACCAGAGATGAGTTGGGAGATTGCTCACGGGCAGGGTCGTGCGATCGCATCCTGTGCTGCCCTCTGATTTCGTACGTTAGCTTTCACCGTTTTTTGCCCCCAAGGGCGGCACAACGAATTTCTGATAGGAGCTCGCGCACTCGCGATGACGGTACCATCTACCAGTCGCCGTTGGCGGCTCACGTACATACAGTTTAGTTTTTGTTATTGCGAGGTTATATTACATTATTAAACATTGAAAACTGTTAAATAATTCATGCTTTCGTGACATGATAAGAAAATTATATTGTTCAACTTCTAATTATAGTACATGTAAATATGAATGTAATACATATTTAAAAATTATGTATAGACTCGAGTCCTCTTCTTTACTTTTAACGGCTTTCGATCTGCCCGCCTTTTCTGCCTATAACCCACTCCTCTCAACAATTTTCGATTTACTAGGTCTGGTATATACCTTTATTTCAATATTACTAGACCGGAAGTTTAGTGATCTCGTTCTTTCATATGCGAATACGTAGTTCGGCGAATAAACCCACGTGAGATGAAAGTGCGAGAAGTGAGCGCGCTCGTAAAAAATACGTAACAAACGCCCAGAGCTATTTTGCGTATAAGCGGGATGAATATCCTCGCTACGATATTCGAGCATCTGATTGGATGTTCTAAAAAAATGTATATATAGCAGTAACCAATTAGAAGTAAAGAATAGCATTTAACCAGAGATGAGTTGGGAGATTGCTCACAGACCCGGCTCCCGAACTGGGCTCTCCTGCCTTTCTTGATCTACGTATATTCTATTTAATTTATAATATATCGATAAATATTAAAATGTTGAAAACGATGACTTTAGGTTGATTATAACGAATTTTAAACAATGGCTTCAATTTCAAGGAACGTCATTGGTTACCTATCGACCAATGATATCAGTCCAGATAAGAAGAAAGGTTAAGGTACCTTTTCATTGCTACATTGCTGCAAATTGCATACAGCAATGCGACTTGATTGACTCAATATTTTTGTTGTGTCATCCATGGTAGCTGTCTGCTTGTTTTCAATCAATTGAAGCGTTTTATTTAGTGCATTTTTGCACCAATGCAATAGGTGAAAAGATAATATCTTAGTTTATCGATCTATTAGTGAAATCTAATTGGAGGACACATGTGGTATCAAGAGCTGAAAGTCTGCTTTTCAGCCAGTGATAATGAAGCACGAAGCAAATGAGAACGCGCCCAGCAACATCGTCGCTCACTTCAGAATTCGTAGCAATGATTCCTCCGTTTTCAGGAAATTAACTCGTATGTACCTGTCGTAAGCCTGTAAGTTTGACAGGTACCTGGACATTTTTATAATACAATAGAATTTATCGAAATGGCACGATTTTTATACTGGGGATATTTATTTCTTTTCTTTGTGGGAAATGCTGGTAAGTCTAACCTAAGACGTGTATGTTACTATTATTTTGGTCATATTGGTTATGTTATATATTAGACTTTAATATTATTTACAGTGTTTGCTGATAGAATTAAGGATATGATATATATGTCCGTTGATGGTGTAGCAGCCTGTTTTCGCAGACATAATGGTACCCATCAATTCGGATGCTCGTGTAAGTATCTGTTGAAAATTATATGATTAGAACACTTGAACGGTTATCTAAGCTTGTGATTCATAGTATTGAACTATCAGGAAACTCGGTAGAGTTTCGCACCAAATATACATTTGTATATGTTGTATTGCTCTAACTTGCATATTAACTGTATCTTTAACATATTTTTGTACGGTCCCTTCACTTATGCTTGCTTCGGCAACAATTTCTAAAACGTTAGAAATTAAGCTGTAGTTTTCATAACAATGTATACTACATTAATTATATAAAATATGAATATAAGCTATGGTCAAATATCGTTTTAACAAAACATCTACTAATTTGTTTTAATGTTATAAATGTAACTACCATGGTGATTACTTTGCTAAAGTAACAAGTACATTTTGTATTACAGCAAGTAGGTCAGGTAGTGTTGGAATTGTACATATTGTAGAAAATGAGGACGACGTAAGATGGTTAGAAACAAATGGTACTGCAGGGCTATATACGGTAGTTATGCCATTCTTGATGTTCACAAGAGAGACGCTTATTCGATTAAAAGAAATGAATAATATAAATGGCGTTTTGTTGGCAAGAAATTCAAGTTTAGACCGTCCATCTGTATATTCTCCTGAAGACACGTGTCCAAATCGTTATTCGGGTTATAAGCGCTGCAATGATAAAGCTCCCTGGAATCCTTACGGATCAGCATTATTGTTAGAAGACTGGTCTTTTCCAATGTTTTATATGGAGGTTTGTAATTAACATTGTTTTGGTACCATTATTGCAAGTGTTGATTTCCCTTTAACAGGCACATTGTTTCTTATATTTAATATTGAACAATGTAAATATTGGAATATTTTCTTTACTATACATTGCTCTGTTATAATAATGTCATTTACAGAATGATACGCTATTGGAAGAGATAAAATCTTGTTTTTGGAAACACAATGCACATAATCGAGAGACTCAAAGCAAACGCTCTCTTTGTGCTTTAGAAATGAAGTCATTCATGTTTGCCGCTATTGATTCGGAATCTTGTATCAGGCGTAGCAATTCAAAAGTTAATCTCAACCCGATACAGCTTTGTGACCCTTTGGGAGATAGAAATATTCATTGGCCATTGGTACCATTAACTGAAGATATGGAGTCTGTCATTATGGTAACGGCAAGATTAGATGCATCTTCCTTGTTTGATGGGCTGAGTCCTGGTGCAGGAAGTGCCATCACTGGATTGGTAACTTTGCTTGCAACGGCATATTACCTAAATACTCTGAATGCAACTGTTGACAGTAAGTTGAAAGAAATTGCAAATTCATTGAAATACTGTAATTTGACATAATTTAAGTGACATTTCAATTGAGACAAAGGAGGAAGAACAGAACTAAAACAGTAACGAATTGCATTGTACTATAAATTGAAATTCCTATTCATAAATAAGATGTGCAATTGTAATAACCATTTCATTTTACTTTCTAGAAACGAACGTCATGTTTTCTCTACTAAATGGGGAGTCCTTTGATTACATTGGCTCCAGCAGATTAGTTTACGATATTAAAGAGGGAAATTTTAATTCGCTAGGTGGCAAGACCTTAACGTTTGATCATATTAAATCTGTGATCGAATTGGGTCAGTTAGGAAAAGGTCAACTTTACTTGCATGCTAGCAACTTTGATAGTGATAATATAATACCTCGTTTAGAAAAGAAGTTATCTGCCAAAGTTCTTAATAATAGCGTTCCACCAGCCTCTGTGCAAAGTTTCTTAGCAGCAAACCCCAACTTGACTGCTATTGTAATAACTAACCATGGTGAGAAGTTTGTGAACAAGTTTTACCATGGCATTCTCGATGACTCTCAAAATATTGAATTTAACAGGTAATTTATCATCAAACAAATGAATCTCCATTAATGAATGTTTCACCACTATTATAATTTTAACTTTCGCTCATTTCAGAAACGATTCCATTGGTATAGTTTCTGCCCTCGCTAAGGTAGCCACTATGCTCGGTAATGAACTGTATTACAGCATTACAGGAACATCAGCTCCAAATGGCAGTATATCGGTTGTAGAAGATCTTATTTCTGAAATGCTATACTGCTACGTAGAGAGTGCAAATTGCTCTCTGTTCTATGCAGCATCCTCACCAGGAACGAAATTGGCTGACTATGTGTTGCCGCTATATGTCGGAGTCCACAGGGTAGCTAATCCCGTAACAAGTTTGACAGGTCAGCTTCTTGCTCTGTTAACAGGAGAAAAGTTACCCGAGATGAATGCTAGCACGTGTTACGAACATCACCTCGCGTGGATGGGCGGATATAATTTTACAGGACTTTGTATAAATTCCACTGTAAATTATAGTCCAGCAGTGAGCCCAGCCTTTATCATCGATGGTTCGTATATGAAAATTTGTATTATAAAGTATTTAAAACTGCCTTAAATCACATATGTTAATAGAGAAGAAACCGCAATTACAGGTTACGATATGAAGTCTGGCATATTTTCGTCCTGGACGGAATCTGTTTGGCAATCGTTAAGCGTAAGAATGTTCTTGAAGCCATCAGCAGCAACCGAACGACTGAGTATGATTCTGGGAAGTGTAGTGACTATTCTGTCATTCTTCATAGTGTGGTTCATTAACTCTCACACCGATGTGCTGTTCAACTCAAGGTAAATTTAACAAATCTAAGTTAATTATCCATAACAATTTGATTAAATACTTACTATGATAAATACCAAGTCCGATAAAGTTTTAAGGATTTAAAAAAAAATCGGCGATATTACTAACGAGGTATTATCTGTTGCCAGTGAAAATCCTAATTGCTAGGAACACGCTGCGGACCACATATCAATGACTGGGATGAATCATTGGAATGAACGTGACAGCATTCCAGTGACAAGTCTTTGAATTTACAGTGTGTGTGGTGCGCCCTCGGAAGACAAATTCTCAATTCCAGTGTTCATGAACCTTGTTCCAGTATGTCACCAATACATGAGATTTTGATTTTCACCTGCCCTGCATTTCAAGATGTGATATACATATATTTTTTTCTATCAAAAGCATCAGAATTTAAAATGGATCTTGCTCTTGATGGATCATCACAAGAGTATAGATACTTTGATAGAAACGCATCGCCGTGATAAAGGACTTTGACATTGATATTGTTTATCTCTTAAGCTAGAAGATTTGAAGGAATTAACCTGGACAAGTAGTGGTTAATGCTTTCAACGTATTATTACGACTATTATTGTGTCAGTAACTAAAAGTGGAAATTTCTCCCAAAGTGAAGTGCTGAATTTTTATATGCCTTGGTGGTGAATGTGGTTTAGTCTGTTACAAATGTATTAAAAGTGAATGAACGAATGTCGTAATTTATGAATTTGTAATATAAACATAATTGCTCCTAGCTAGTGACAGTGAAGCAACCGAACTGTCTGTTAACTTCAAAAGAGCATTTACTTTGCTACTGTCATGTATTTAATTTCAAACAGGTCGAATTATCCCTTTCGACCTCTAGTTTCATATTTGCTTCTCGATTTCAATAAAAAAAAGAAAATGAAGAGGACTAAATAAAATCCATTTGCACATTAATAATACAGCTTAAGCAGCAAAATTAATTCTCTGAGAATTTAGGAGTTCAATTGGATTGAGTCCAATTAATCTTTTTATATGTGACTGTGTCGTCTACGTAAATGATCAGATATATCTTTAGAAATGACCCTATTATGTATATGTATGCTTTTTATTTTATCGATTTTTATAAATCAAATACTAAAATACAAAAAAATTGGATCTGTAAATAACAGCGCAACAAATTTCCCTCATAAAAAAAACATTGCACTTCTTGGCATATCACAATAAGTCTTTTACAGAAGTTCATGCATTCTGAATTGTAAAATATTATAAGAGTATACAGTATTATCGTTATGTCTGTATTATTCTTTTTATTATTTCGCTTGAAATACTTTAATGTATCGACTACGTATCGAACTAATCACAATTGGCGAATAATTTTAAAATGATAAAAAAATTGATATTGTAACCGAATTATAGATGTAAACAAATAAAAAGGCAAAAAGATACTACAGAAACAATAAAACCCTTTACGATTCAGAATACAAGAATCCATTTATACTAAACGATTGATCACCATAAAATAGACACGAATCAATTTTGTGAACGTAATACTTTTCAACTTTTACCGTAACAATATATTTAAAATACTTTATAGATTACTGCTATAGGGAAGAAAGAAAATAGTTGCTCCGAGTCCATTTCCTTTTTAATTCAATTTCATCTATCCGAGCAATGTGTCTAAATAACACACCGAATAACCAATAGGCAGTAATAGTAGCTTTTACTTTGCTCTTTATATATTTTACACTTTATAGTTTAAACATTGCAATGGTAATATTAGGTATTTATAATTTAATCGTAGGATCCTTCATTGCGAGAGACTCACCATTCACGGTCGTGTTCATCGATTCTTTTGACCGATGCTCAAGAGAACGCGTGATTAACAAATCGAACCTCTCCTTGTCCACGTAAAAGACTACAACAGATGTATTGCAAGCGTGATGGCATTTATTATCAATAAACTTAATTAACAGGGCGTAGATGTACACGAGAGAGAAGTATTCAATCCTTTGCGACTTCCTCGGCATTCTTAGTACTTAAAAGTTTGAGCGCAGCTAGAAATGGACCAAAGTACCGAACCGATCACCAAAACGTGTTTCCACAAGTGCCGAAACATATTCGATCTAAAGAATACAAAAATCATCATACGATTTATCACAATTCCTTCGTCTCGAGGAAACAAGCACCGCATAAATAAATCCCATTGACTATCCACGAATGAGTAGAAAATATGATTACGGTGGGAACAATTGACGTGCAAGAAACCAAGAGTGCAAAATTAACATCTAACGTAGAATCAACAATGACGTTCCACGTTCACCTTTTCGTGCAGTTGAATAACACTACGTTCATCAATAGTCGTGACCTCTGAGACCATCGCAGATCTTTTCTTCCAGGTCCATTTCTACCTCGTTCCTTGTAGTAAATGTCATTTCAGGTAGAATCTACAAGTCTCAGGGTAACTTGGCTCAATACACCAACTTGTAGATTCGGCACTGAAGTCCATACATGCGCGATCCATATTCATATTCAAGTGCGTTAGAGGGGCATTTGTTAGTAAGCCAACACGCAATGTACGGAATATCGTACTCAATTCGATGCGCTTATGAATGTCACGTGCGAAAGTTATAGCGGGATGTGTAAAAAAAATATATATACATCTTTGAGAAAGGTGGTGAATCGAGAAAGGTATTCTTGTAGTGGTGAATTGGAACCATAGAAGAGATGTCTCCACGTATTCGTTTCTTTTTTCTTTTCTTTCCAGACGTTTCGATGAACGCGTTATCAATTATAATGATTTTCTTCTTGGCATAAACTGACCCACGGTAATGTCCATCTTACAATCGGTGGCCTTAGAAATATCAATCTCTTTATGGCGTACTAGTGGGAACTTTTTTAATGTTTGTTACTTAACGCATCTATAAGATTCGACCAAAAAATTCTCGGAAATGCTCTCGCGAAACTCAAATTTCGGAGTGAAATACTATTTCGAGCGAAAATATACTGAAAAAAGGAAGCTACGTCTTGATAAGCTCCGCTGTAACACGACTCCGTGGTATCACATCGTAGCATGTGTACAATAGACCTCCGTAAAACTAGGAAAGCGAATACAGAGATATGAGAGAATTTTTGTAACATTTAAAGATTGCATTCTTTTTATACGCAGATATAAGTACCTAACTGAGTGAAAATTTTAGTCCTACTTTGAGTCCGCGTAGCCTGAGTAAAAACTTTTCAGATCCTGTTTCACTCTTTAATGTGGTACTAAAGTAGCGTCTGAGAGGTCTCGTTCATGAAACTCCATTGTCGAATTAGATGTACCGAAACGCTTAAAACGTTACCTCATTAACATAGAGGCCGCAAGGAAAGTCCCGACACCTGTGATACTTCACTTTCTTACAATTCGTTATAGAAATTGAAATTGCATGGTTGTCAGGACCTTCATCGCAGTCTCCATGTACACATGGTAAAATTTCAAACAATTCGCTATACCCATTTCTGAGATAAGTTTCATAATTGACTGGTCCCTCAGATGCCACTTTTACATCACCTCAATTCCTACTTTAAGCCTACACGTAGAAGAGATCGAAACTACTGCCACTTTTAAGATCCAAAGTCAGACATGACCATTGTATAAAAGATACCCTTCTTTATATTACTTCAAGCCCATCCAAGAGCTACAATTAGAGGTTCCAAGTAGGATCAATATTTCGATTCGGGTATCTCTAACGATACCTACGATTAGAGGAGTGAGGATCAACTTCAAAATGAATTAAAAGAGAAACTTTATACGACAGCGTAACGAGAAATCACCTTGTAGGAAGAGCAAACGGAACTTCTATTACCACGTTATACATGATGTTAAGATCTAACGAGTACCTCATTACACCGAGCCCTACTGTACACACGCAAACGGCGCACGACCGCCTCGGTATTTCATTTCTCATTGAATCCTCTAGTATTCCAGAGTACTCGTCGGTATACAAGTATGAAGTAGGAGGCTGGGCACCGCCCACCGAGCTATCACAGTCGTCTGGTGCCGCAGCACATACGTATACGTGGTTCAGCCTTACAACCTACCTCTTATCAACTATTATTTACCTTAACGCCTAGTAGTTAAGTAACAGTATAGTCCCGTATCGGATGTACCCTCGAGGGCAACGCGTGTGCGACCTCGTGCACCTACGCCTTTACGCATGTGCCGTGGGGATTATTGCTGTCGTTTTATTTAAAGAGCCCGAAATTACTGGGATCCGCTGTAACCACGCTCCGTATACGGAGCTATACTGTATTATCTGTATATCCGGCTGTACGGCGATTACTGTACAAGTTTAATCATACCGCGTCATTCTGCGCACGAACAGCTCCTCTCTCTGTCTCTGTTTCGACAGGAAAAAATACAATCGCGCCCTCGGATTATGCAATTCGGCTGGAACATATATTTCCTGCCATTTAGTTCATTGTAATTGGAGGATTTAACTGTAATTTTAGTGTTATCTTGTACCGGGGTCGTTAAGTATAACGATAGGGTACAAAAGGGTTGCAGGAAAGATACTCGGTGGTCCTAGCGCGCTCTTCTGTGCGTATTTGGCGCGAAACTCGATAGAGTTTCATGATCGGAAGTCGTATGAGTATAGAGGGTTATTGTACAGGAAATTGTTGGTACGATGTCGCATCTGACTGCATCTTTGTGGAATTGTCATCTTCCTTTTTCTTTTTTTTCTTTTACATAAAATACGTGACTTGCAATCCTTCCAATTGTCGTTTATTTTTTCCTTCGTTATCGATCAGAATAACTGACTAAGAAAATTCTCATATATTGCGAGGCACATTTACAAGCCATTGGCATCGAAGTGCTTATTTACATCGTGCAGATCTAACTTGATCAGGATAATTGATATCATTGGAAATTATGCAATTAATACAAATTTTAAATTGAATCATCCATCGTGTAATGTAGGGTTTAGTTGTGAATATATCACAGTTGTGATCGTATCTAAAATCGTTGCACTATTGGTCACCTGTTTGCATGGAATATCTTTCATATGTACAGTAAATGGGTTTGGATGTAAAGGAACGTTCACAATAACATTAACATTACAGGGTAAATACATCAATTACTTTGCAACTAAATGACGTTTATGTGTATAATTGCATATAAGTGGCATCAATGTCACGTCGTTGGGTAATTCCTATTTAGGCGCAACAGTTGCAACATCACGCAAGAAATTTATAAGCAACCGATGGAAGCACTTTGTCATTCTGTTAAACTACATGGAACTTTAACGATTAAACTTTGTACCTAAGAGATCCACTGTCGAGATGAATTGTTCTACATTCGAGTAGTTTACAGTTGGGGCAGCGCAAAGTAAAGGTAGAACCGTTCCTTTCGTGTCTCGTTCTTCTGTTTCTTAAGATAAGAGTTTTATATAGTGTGCCTAATACATGTACATAATGCACGGAACACTTTTCTCCCTTCTTCGGTGAGATAAAAAAGAAAAATGAAAATCAAACGAGTGGTGCAACGCAACAGCAGATCGCCAAAACTCCTGCCTCCGCTCTACGTTTCTCTTCAAGGTATTGCCACTCTTACATCAAGTCATTACGAGCTAGAAGAACCTCTTCGTTTATTTATAATTAAGTAGCGAATAAACGTGCATTTGTGCAAATCATCGAACCCTTTCGAAACATGATGGACGGAACTTGTAGAAGTACGCGTGGAACAGCCTGCAAAACTTAATCTAGCTCTTTTGTGTGAGCGATGCACTTAAAAATCATAATCTACAAATTACATTGAACTAACTCGGACTAATTCTCAGAGGTGACATAGTTTTAATAATGTTTATCCTGTTGCCTATAACGTCATCTTCAGAAAACGAGCAGTTTAATAACCAACGCTCCGTGGTACGGAGATAACGACGTCGACCATAAACGTGTGCGAATAACATTAATTTTTCATTATGAAATGAAATTTCATCATTCGTCGAGCCATCGAGTTCCTAGATTCTCTATTAAACGCCTTTTAAACCGCCACAATTGCCGACTGAAAATGAGGCCATTTTGTGCATGAATTATTTGGCCTAATATCAATCTATGGGCCGAACGAACAAATTACTAAATTATTCGCACAAGCCTGATAAAACGCATTCGACAGTATATGTATATACGCCCTACCTGTAAATACTTATCTCCTACTAAATGGTATGTGCACGTCGTCATGCCAAATATCGTACTTCGTTAGAGGAGTGGGTAGTAGATCTTTCAATCTTGCAAATTATTAATAGTGATCATTCACTTTTTCGTTTTATTATTATTTAGTAACAGTTCCGTGTGTTATATGTACAGCAGTACCAGCCCGCGAGCTGTGGTACATGCACAGAGACGACACTTAGAGTTTAAAAATATAATCATTATATACTTTAATTTAAGTAGTATTACATTACATTACTATTATTATCTTGGAGGGACAGCACTTTGCTACGTCACGACGATGCAGAGTTGAACAAAGACTACGCGTGGAAGTTACCACGCTCCTTTTAATGGCACAATCAAAAGGATCAGATTTACGAAAAAAAAAAAAACATTTAATGGTTTAATGTATTTATTTACTGGCATGACATCATCATCGTGGGCATTAGTGCCATACGGGTTCGATCCCTCTTAAGAGGATCAATAGAAATGAGCAATCGATAACGCTTAATCATGTAATGGCAACAAGCAATTCAAAGCGAGGATCATAGTGATCTACAGATCACAGGAAATGACTCCAGAAAAATGTTTAAATTAATCCGCGAAGACGCAATACCTTCCGATGGGAAACTAACAAATAACTGTCAGGATTCGTAAGGAATATTAATTATTTTAAAAAGTATGAAATATAAATATGCGAATACCGGGATATATTGCTTTCGATCTGACTTAGTGAATTGGCTTCGTTTGACCATACTTAATTTAACTTTTGATAACGGCGAATCACTAACGAAATAAGAGGTATCGGGGAAAATGATAACGTATCGTACCGTGCCTACCAGTTTATCCGTATAGTTAATAGTTTTCAGTCAAGGTCTTAAGAATTTACTGAAAATTATAATTGGAGAAAGTGTACCATTTGATCCGTTAACTACCCAACAGCCTTGCAATATTGGAAACACGTTTTGTACGATTCACTCTTGACATTACGTATTTGATATCATTCCAGTTCTTCCATCGTTTAAGAAAAATATGTCTTCATTTTGCGAAGTAAATCATCTAAAATTAACCGTACTTCCAGGTCGTCGCGGTCTTCACCGACAAGACAATGGAAATACCACGGAGAACGTGTTCACATCGCGGAACGACCCTCGTATGTTCAAACTCTGTAAGAATTTCTCCTTCGAAAATACCTATAAAAAAAATAAAATTAACCAAGAAATCAACTTCTACGCCTTCACGGTACTCGTATATTCCCTAGTACGGTTAAGGAGGGGGAACCACCCGATTCGCGCGAATCGACTTCCATTCCACGAGGAGACCCTTTACGAGTCATACCGTTCTGAGATCGAGCATCGTCGAGCGAACAACGTCAACAGAAAGAAACAGCCAGCGATAAACATTACACACACAAATCCCGTTTATTTCCTGAAAACGTAGCGACCGTAACTCCGAATTGCATAAACCTCATCAATAGGACTATCATCCACCGTGAAATCAACAATGTACAAATTGGTATCCATGTCGAAACGTAACTAGATCCTCTGGAAAATATGAACAGCCTCTCTCTCGATAATGTTACGTATACAAGGAGCTCGCTCTCAAATTTCCCCCTCTACCCGGCAAATCATCGTGATCCCCGAGTGTCTTGCTACCCCACCGTTCTTGCCAAATCCGTCCGCGTCTCGGACGCGATTCCGCTCTGACACCGCGGCCGTACCGTCACGAAGACCTATTTACAATGTCCAACGTATCGAGGAGCCTCGTCGTCCCCCAACTAATTTTTCCCTTATTCTTTCGAGCTAGCACGAACAAGCGGAGAAGTACAGACCGACGGGGCGTAGAGCGTGATAACCTCTACCCGCGTATCCCTGACTTTCGCGATAATAATTACGTATCTGACAGTTAAAGCGAAATCTAACCTCGAATGCCTTAATACTGTAATGAGCAACTGGGGGTGGAGGTGCCGCGATGACGGTGGTCGTAGTTGTCCAGCCGACCGACAGAGGTCAGTGAAGATCCTCCTCGTCGCTGTCGTTGCCGTCCTTGGACCTGTCGGCACCCCCTTCACCGTCGCTGGAACCTGAATCACTCCCGGAATCTTCCGACTGCCAGCCCGCCTGCTGCTGCTGCAGCTGTTGCTGTTGCTGGACGACGTGTTTCGTCACTTTATGCCGCTTCCCGGCCCGTGGTATTGCTTCGGCACCGGCGCCGTCCAGCATCGGCTGCAGTATGCGCCGCCGAGCGTTTATGAACCAATTGTTCACCTGGAGTAGGGTTAAGTTTGTTTGGCTTGCGATCTGTCGCTTCTCATCCTCTGTGGGGTATGGATGCTGAAAAAAAGGAAAAAAACCAGCTGGATTACAAAGTCTCTCAAAATGGAACAAGTTACTTATCAAATCGCCCTAAATCTTTTCTTCATTTGGCAAAGTATGCCTTTTTTTCTTTATCAAGATGAAGAAACTACACCGAAATTAGATATAAATTTAGGGATTTACCCTGTATAGTATCCTCTAACTTAAAGCGCCGGTTATACCAACCGTAATTACCGTGAAGTTTCTTAACTATGATCCGTTAATCTTGGATCAGTGGAATTCGTATAGCACCGACAGAAATTAGACTAACCGGGGATTAAAATCCGCTGTTAAGTAAACACTCGAAATCGGGGGATTAACTCTAGGCGTTAAGTAATTCTTGATTAATCTTTGACTTCATTTATCTTTTTTTTTTCTACCCTCTAACTCGTGACTTGAGTAGATATCCAAAACAATGCTGTGCTTCAAATTGAATATCCTGAAATCATTAAGCTAAACACTTTGAAGATATTTTTGTTACATATTCTGTATTATTCTACAGATTCCACGTAGGAAATATACCACACCCTAAGCATGTATTATTGACAAGGTATCAACTATGCATCCTACATTTTTGTACAAGAACTTGATTGGTCTTACAACTTAACGAATACATTAAAATTCATATATCATAGGCGAAAGATCGTGGGCAATTTTGTTAACACTTACGACTAAATGTTGAAAAAGCCAAGCACGCATAATGCTAGTGGCTTGTTTAGGCAGGACACCTCTTTTTTGTCTGCCCTTTCTAACTCCTGTGTGGCCACCGCCATGTCCAGAAGAGGCAGTGCCACATCCATCGTCGTCTTCTTCACTCGGAGCTGGGGAAGGAGAGCCTGCAACAGTAATATCTAAACCCAAAAAGGAATTCAGTGTCGAGGTACACGAGACTATCACCTAAAAGACATACAATTTGCATGAAAAAAACTATTGCCATAATAATAACGATATGGCATTACAATCAGATGACGGCAAATGATCCGTTTTTGTTACGTTCTATACATTAATCACACGAGGTTAGCGTAATTCCTGTAATTATACGTTACATAAGAAATGTTATGATCGAAAAAGAGCTGTGCCATCGAATGAATAAAACATACGGTATAGCGTACAGGACAAAGAAAGCTTTGACACGTAACGCAGCAATTTGTAATGATATATTGAGGGTAAGATGAAAGACACAAGTGGGATGTTAAGGTACTGAAGGAAAGTAAGGTGATATAAGGAAGGTATTGCTAACCGAAATACTTTTCATCGTTAGCATCTCCAACGTCCACATATTCGTTCTCGCGCTCCTGCAACGCGAGAAGTCCCCAGAATCCAGCTTCTTCTAAATAAATTCTGTCCATAGTATTCACTCCATCCATATCATCTATAAACGGAAGTGGAGACATCTTTTTATAAGAACACTTTAGTCAGACATTACGTATTTTCTTGCGCAATGCGCGGATGTATTGCAAAACGCTCTGTAGAGAGAACTGGTTACAGTAATTACTGTGTAATTATTAAAATGAACGTTCTATTAAGAGCTATGTCACGTCGATCGCCAGGATAAGGAGCTGCAGTTAAGAGGAAGTTACACGGAAGATCTCAAATTGACGCATAAAGTTGCGATATTGCTTCAGGCGACTTTGGTGCAAAATGCAACTGAGATTCTTAAAATAGCTCTATACGTACACCGTTCATTGGGAAAGAATTAATTCTAGACCCGGCTAATTTATCGTATACACTAAAGAGATTTAATATGCTGTGAACTAGAAAAAAGTGCTCATTGAAGCTGAATCCATAAACTGCAGAAATACGCCTCGTGGGAAACGCATTTCATTAAACGTTGCACGCAGGTGAGCTCCGGCCTGGGAAAATAGGATGCTTTTGTTAATTGTGCATAACGATGTCATATAATCCTTTACCTACAGCTGCTCTAACTGAAAATCCGTTGCACTTTGAACATTACAACAAGGAATTGCATCTAAAAGTAAATGAAAAATAGTCTCCTCAAATTTAGAGCATGGAATCGCGACTTCACTAAACGTATTTGGCGTGACGATCGATTTCTGATGTGGAAGTATTATACATGAGTCTTATCAGATGTCCAGAATAGGCCTACCTTCGCAAACCTATTTCCCATCCATTTTGGACTTTTCATAAGACACTACTTGCCTATACACATGCACAACTAAAGGGTTAATACCCACAAGCATAGCAACAGAAAAAAATGTCGCGTAAACAGAATTATCAGTTGCAAGCCACCTGAGATACTATGTACGTAAGATACGCAGACCCGAAACGCCAATCCCATCCTGACAGTAGCCACTTCGAGAAACACAAAACAAGGGACGCTCTTTCCCCCTCTTTCCCTCTGATTTGGCAAAACAGCTGCGCAACGCAATATGGCGACAAGGTATCAGCAAGAGAGGAAGAGAGAAAAGATCGCCCCTTGTTCGTCCTCTTTTATCCTCGTCAAGATGACAAGGATATCAAGGAAATCACGTAGTAGTATAAGGAAATACAACGCCACATGTCTTGAAATCATCCCGACTTTAGAGATCCAAGATCTTCAGATTTCTCCCGATCTAGTGCCGAGAGCGCCTCGATGAAATTTTGCGATAAAAAATTATCGTCTGCCAGCGGATCCGCTACTCTTTATCACGTTAAAAACCTCACATTCTGTATATCATCCACGGATTATCGTTTCGCTCTGCGTACCTTAATTGCAAAATTAAAAGCACTTTATGTAATTTACATCGGTAGGAAATGTTCCGCTCACGTAAGAGCGGAACAGTTCCCTCATTTTCCGCGCGTAGCGCTCACATCGTTAGATCAGCGAACGGCTGAGATCCTGGGTCCCGATTCTGGGATCACTTTCTGTGGAACCGACCATTAGCGTTGTCACCTTATCCGACTTCATGAAGGAAACGATTGGATGTCCGGGTTCGTACATCCTACTCCATGGAGATACTAATTTCTGCTACGGCAGAAGACCATCGGCAATGGGAACCCACCTTGTGCGAGATACATGTCGTTAACCGATGCACAAGGATGAGCCCCGATCTGAGAAAGCGGAGTGCTCCCGTGCACCGCGGACGGCGACGACGGCTCGTCCTGGTCCTGGCTACTCGATCTAGCCGAGCGCTGGGTGCCGGAAGACCGAGTGGAGGATGGACGGTCGGCGCCGCATTCTCCCTGCACGGCCGCCTGATTTGCACCGCCGTTCTCCGACAGCAAATCTCCTCTCAGTCTGAGTCCGTTAGCTCCCGACTCAACATCATTGCCTGTAGATGACAGCACCTGGCAAATATATGTCGCAACTAGCCGTCAGAGAGCAGGGGTGGGGTGCTATCCGTACCTGAAGGGGTGCACGAATACCCGACATTGAGGAATTCCCAAAACGCACCTGTACCATCAAGTGCACAACGGTGCAGCATTAATTATCGAACGCCCCAGGGACTCGAGTCGCGACAATTTCAAAGGAATCGGAATTACACGATTCGACGATTTAACCCTTTAACCGGGGGATGAGGAGTTAACTCGTCACTGGAAAATCCATTTCCAGGGAGCAGGACGAGTTAACTCTCGAGGGAACCGTGAAAACTGCGCGCCTAATACGAGCAGAGGGTGGTTTCAATAAATGAGTTCCCCGGTCAAAAGGTTAAGAGAATCAGGCTGACTTTCTATCAAGTAGATTTATCAACGCCTTAATTTGCCATTGTCTGGTTTGAAAATTATTGTACACGTGCCAATCGAAGTCTCGACACACGTGCTCCAAATTCATAGTACAGATTAACCTTGGAAAATAATTAGAAAAGAGATTGCCAATCAGGTGATCCGTATTCGAGAAGAAAACGAACTTCCAGGCGTTACCACGTAATAGATAAAATTGAATCGAACACACGTTATCGGTTTCACTTAACGAATCGAAATATCATCGTAATGTTATATCATAAACTCGTGTATAAAAATCTCGTTTTCTAGGTTCACGTTCAAGAAGATTATCATAAACATATATTATGATGATCCGAAGTACTTATATTTGGCCAAACGAATGATCGTGACTCGCACGAAGAAAACTTTCGATGGACCTGGACAAATCCGCCATTTTTGTTTGGAAAGAAAATTCTCCCTTTTACGACGGTATTCGAACACGAGTACCGGTGCATCCGAATGCGTTTGCCTGGTCTTCGTGCACCTCCTTTCTATCAGGATATCTACTTAGGTTAGGGAACAGGGTGGGGAGCCCTGCGCGTAACAAGGTTGGCTAACCTGCAACGGACTGCTGCCATTGCTGCCGCTCGACGGACCCATGTCGTGGCCCTGGTGACTGTAGTCGCTGCGCAGGAGATTTTCGCTCTGCATCTTCCCCTTCAGGCACGTGATGTACCTGTTGCAAAAGTCCTTGCAGAGCTCCTGCACCTTCTCCAACTCGAGCAGATGGATCCGCAACACCTGTATGGCCTTGATCATCTGCAACGCATCGTTTGTTTTATACCCACTCATCGTTTGTTTTCGCGATAGCTTCTGTTCTCGGCGTTTCCATCGAGACAAAGGAAAAAGAAAATGTCGGATGTATACATGTACTATGAACGCTATAGTCTTCGATTTGTCCACGTGCCTTAATTTTAGCATCAAAAGAAGTTCTTTTATACATAGTCCTTAAATAGCGAAAAGGCGTATTTTAATAAATGAGGTATGAGTACGGACTTTAGATATTATGTTAAACAAAAAAGGCGATCTCGAAATGGCAAGGTAATTGTTTCCTGGCTATCTTTGAGCATGGTTTACTATCTACGTCAGCTTTAGCTCGTAAATTTTGATTTTTTACAAGAATACATGGGAACATATAGTTCTAATTTAACTGGACAATTGAGTACTTGAATTTTCTCTTCTGGTTTCTTTTATTTACGTTATCTGCTTTATTCGGAAGCTGAATCAGTAACGCAAGAGTACTTAATTTGGTGGGGTGTAATCGATAGCATATGCATACTTTTCGTTACTGACTTTTGCCAAATTGAAAGAATCACGCATTTGAAATAGTTTAATTTTAGAAATTGAAATGTTAAGAAATGTTAAAGAGCTTCGCGTTCCTCCAACAAGTTAACGTATCATATAATAAATGATGCATCCTCGCGGTCAGAACATACATAGGCAGAAAATGTATAATTTTAATGAGCATATCAGGTCTTACTCAATACCATCACAACCCAATACATACAAAATACTGGCATGCACGTTCTGTACACGTAAGCGTAATGGAAATATCATGTAAATTTATAAACGTTAATCACGAATGGTTTTTTCCTCTACATTAAATGCGTTTATAAGAAACGTTGATTTTGCGTGCTAGATTTCTGATGCGTTTGTTCTTAGTCGAGAAGAGACATGTACTTTAACATAACATTTTTACATTAGACCCGTAACATTTCTAAAGCGCTTTCGAGTCTAGTTCATTCCACATATTTTATTAGCGCGTTAAATACGTATTCGCTTATAAACGTTTAAAAGGCGTTCAAGTCCCGCATTTGTTGCGGTGGTTCAATAAACGTAAGATAAGCACAACATCAACGTTGAATTTTTCGTGTAAAAGGGAACATTACGATGTGCAAAATCTGTATTCCCATACTTCTCGCTTATCAGGAAAGTACTAAATTAACGTAAAGTAAACGTAAGATAAGCACGACATCAACGTTGACTTTTCCGTGGAAAGGCAGACATTACGATGTGCAAAACCTGTATTCCCCTACTTCTCGCTTATCAGGAAAGTACTAAATTCCCTGGGGAACCTACCAAGCCGTCAATCTCTGGGTCATTGATTAGGAAGGGCTTTCGGTCTCTTTCTTGGTGCTGGACGAAAGCCTGTATATCCATGTTGAAGCTTTCGGCGGTCGAATTGTCGGAGCTCTGGGTGGCTTGCTCGCATCTTTCGAAGAGCAACGCCAGCAGCGGGAACAGGGGATGCTTGTAGACCGCTCGCTTGTCGGCCTCGAACTGAGCCTGATCCTGGTGGGTCGCGTAGTCGGCTACCCCGCTGGCAGGGTCCTGATCGTAACCAGGAGTCACCATCGCTAGCGCCACGGCCGTGCTGCCCTCTTGCATCCTATCATTCCTTCCTTGCGCGCATTTTCTTTCGGCTCCTTCGGGTCCTCCGAGGCCGTCTGGGCCTCAGTCGAGTTTCTGAACAGGCCCGGCAGTCCGAGTCTCTCCGGGCGGTCTGCAAATTAATTTACATGAACAGTCTCTGAAATGATTATCCTGGAAATCTTCCGAAAAACATCTAACCTCGGTTCCACAATTCGAGTTAACCGGAGTTTAATTAGTTTACAGCAGGTTTAAGTCTGTCCCACATTTTAGAACCTACTAACCCCCTTAAAGAAGAAATCTCATCCACAAAGGAGATCCTAGAAAACCAGATTTGCACGTTTGATTTTGATCCATAGATTAATTCAATCAGAATCAAGTAAAGGCGAATCACCGGGATATCGATCGACTGTCTTATATCCCTTTAATTCTTTTAAGGCACACATTCCACAATGATCATTACGTTAATTGTGTATTACTTTCTTAACATCGCTTTCCTCCCAGGAGTTAAATAATTTCCTCAAATAAAATTGCATGCAGTTTATTACGTAATCAAATGTCGCGTACTTCGAGGAATGAGGTCGACAATACCCTGTTGCAGTCGTACTACTTTACCAACAGTTTTCTCCTACAGATAGTACTCCCTGATACTAGCAATTACTGACTGAATTGCGTGTACGTGCCTGATGAAAATAAACTTGCATATGTAATAATAATCCAGCGTGCATTTATGCATAGGGATATGCTCGACTTGGCGAACGTGTTACGCGGAGCACGTAGGAAGATGAAATTGTACATGTGATTGTTTCTTTCATTTATATGGCAGTCGGGCAATTGGTTCATTCATTCAACTGCGCGAGTAAATGCGCGTACACGAGAAACAAGAACACCAAGCGGCGGTTCACAAAGGCCCCTAAGGGCAGGTGTAAATTGAAATCGCACCAGGGTGCAACCAAGATATTAATTCTTCGCCGGAAACATACTGCATAGAAACAAGAAAGACCCGCATAGTGAAATTATAGGCGCAATATCGTTACAAGTGAAATGGTTAAGTTTTATGGCACTTATTATATCGTTACGGTAACAGAGTCGACAAACGAGAGGTGAACAATTCAATATTTTTAGATTGTCTAGAAATTTCCATATATACAAGGTAAATAAACGGTTCCGATCTTCAAAACTTGAAATATAAAAGGGGTGACTTTAAAACTTAATAAGTGAACCAATGGAAATAAAATGCACCCTGAGAAAAGAAACTCATCGGACCAAAGAAATACTTAGTTAATTCAAAGAATAATTATTTTACTCGCATAAACTCGAATAAATTGAACCCAACCTCTCTTCGGAAGGACAATTTACTTCAGTTAATTTGAGACGAATAATTCTTCTTTAAATAAACAAAACATCTGATTGGTTCGATGAATATTTTTTGTTCTTTCTCAAGGCTCCATTTGGCCCGCAATAGAATTTCCGCCGCACATTGCAGATCCTCATTTCCCTATTAAGGAAAAATTAAAGAGTCCAACAAAGTGGTAAGACACGCACGTAGCTTTTTCAACATTCATGTCTCGGGAGGGATCGCCGAGGTTTCCTACAATTTTCGTCCTCCCCCAGGTGAGAAGCTCTTAATCTCCCTTTCTTAATTCTCCCAGAAGAGTTAAACCGCACCGGTCTAAAATCCACCCTGTACAATGGCGGACAAGAATGCCTCCCCTGCAGATACGGCATCGCCTGTGCAGGATGGGAGGGCATTGATGTCTCCCAGTGTACACGACGAGGCCCCGATCGTCCACGTCTAAAAAGAATGCCAGGTCCTTACAAAGTGACGATACACGCACATAGCTCCTCCAAAATTCATGCCTTAGGAGGGATCCCGCCGAGCTCTCTTACAATTTCCTTACTCTCCCGGGCGCGAAATCCCGTCATTTTTTCTTCCATTAACTTTCTCAGTAGGATCTACCAGTGCCGCACTAAAATCCATGCCGCCCTCTCGACATGTAAAGAATAAGATTCAAGTCTCGCGAAGGACAGTGTTCCAAAGCGCATTTTTAGAGCGAGCAAAATGTTACACATCCTTGGTAAATTTGTATTTCAACTTTTTCCTATAGGAAGGTAGACGGTAATATAAGTAAAGAAAGAAAAAAAAAATGGTAGCGATACAATGGGTACTTTTTATATTCCGCTTCAGCAAGCCTAGTACACCATACATATAATACCATGGAGTGTCCTGATATACTATACTAATATACTATACAATATGAATATAAAATATGTATATAAAATTCAAATGTAAGATCACAAAACGTATACAATTCTTATCGCCCTAACAATGCATTTGGACCACTGTGCAACGCGACACACCCATAGAGACACCTTTGGTCTTCCCCCAAATCTCTTCGAACGCGTCGCTTGGCGGTTCTCTGTCATCTAGCGTAAGAAAAAGTTTAGATGTCGAAAAAAAAAAAAAAAGAGAGGATCCCGGGAGCTGCCCCCTTCCGGCGCTCGATCCAGTTTCGGTGCGAACGCAGCCTCGGTCTCCTATGCCAGTACACGCCACGAGTGCCGCGTGCACACCACTGAGCCCCGGCTCGCGGTACTGCATTTAAATGTCATCATTGGAGGGCTCCACCGGCACCCCCCCCCCCCCCCCTCTACCCGCCGCGCTTCCTTTTCCCGGCCGGCACCGCCGTCCTCCCTCCTCGGGCTCCCGAGCCCCCCCGCGCCACCGAGTGGCTCCTCCGGGCAATTCCGCGTGAATAAATAAAGCGCTGCGGCGCGGCGACAAAGCATTACGCCAAAGGCCAGGGAGGCGGCGCGACCCACCCCTGACGTGACTCGTACGACGTAGTACTCCCGCGTAATGTATATGTCGTACCCACATCGCTAATCGTCCAGTTCATGAAATCGACACGCGGCTCACCAAGTGCAACCGGAAGATGCGATTATATGCTGCTTGGTGAAAAAAAAAAGAAAAAAAGAAACAGCAACAGCTAAAATTAATAATCAATTTAGAGGCTAACATGTTCGATTTAGTATGACGTGAACGGATAGCGATTCGATTTCGGTATAAAAATACATGTAATTACCGAGAGAGTCAGAATCTCCTTTCATTATGGTAATGAGAGTAAACGATGTATGTGGTTATCAGTTGTGCACGATTTCGGTTTGTAGGTATTGCATTTTTTTTTCTTTTTTTCGACGGGCAGGGTTGACGTTCAAAGAGTATTTATTATATGAATTTATGACTTCCATGATTTCGTTGAGCAATTCAGGAAAAAGACATTTTCTATCCAATTTGACTTGACAGAGTAAACTTCGCAGGTAAAGACCAAGTGAGCGTTTCGCGCCTATACCACGCTTATGAGGCTTTACCTTGATATGCACTTATATAGGTATTTGGCGCATAACTCTATCAAGTCTCTCAAGTGTAGGTAAACCCTTCTAGCCATGGCCGATCTGGCCTTTGGAGTTGTTACATCTGTACACCCAGCTCCTTCGCAAAATGTGAAATCGGCAATATTCATCTGTCGCTTTGAACGCATAATAAATAGGGCCACTGTATTGGCATTTTGATTAAAAAAAATAAAATAAAATAAAGTCACAATCGAAAGAAATGACGTGAGACCACTACAGTAACGTTTCACAGTAGTGAATTAAAATAATACACAAGCTGCACCCGAGAGGTCTCACTGATAAAATTTTTCTGCGTACTGAGGGTGTACCGACTCGTTTGAAATTTGACCTCACGAATATGGAGGCCCTAAGAAAGATCCTGACACCCACGAAATTTCAACTTATATAACAAATTGAAAACATATTTATAAAGAAATTTAAAAAGTAAAGTTCTACGGATGTCAGGCCCTCCTTAATGTTTTAATGATTTCCGACGATTTCCAGTGATTAACTATTTTCGACTGTCAGTTTCCACGTGATTACGAGTATATTAAAATCCATAATTTCCTGAGTGAGATAACGTCTCAAGCGTTTCGGTACACCTAGGTTGGAGAAGAGTTAGACAAACGAGATTCTTCAGATGTCTCTTTCGTATGACGTTAAGTCTGAAAGGGTCACGAAAGTCTGAAATTATAAGCGGTCGTACTTTCCCGATAAGAGATGCGTAAAATTCATACAATTTTTCATCGTCGATGGGGTGCCAAGTTAGGCACGTCACGTGGCCTCGGCGCGTCGCGGTTCACATGCAAAACGCGAACATTGCGACCGCCCGTTAACCTGCCGCACTTCCGGTCGCTCGCAGCTGGGAGCGGCTGCTATTATAGAGCTCGCAGATGAGCGTACGTACATAAACGGTTTAACCAACGTGAACATACAGAGCGGTTCACAAAGTGGAAAAAAAAACCGTCCCAATCGTAAACGGACCAACATTACGCGAACTGATTGCAGTTCACGAATGGTAAGATTGCGTTAACTATATTATATTATAATCAGATTTGCAGGTACTAACTGAACGTTCCAATCAGTCGATTTTTTTAGGGCTCGAGTCAATCGCAAACCGAACATCGAACCCGCCAAAGAACACCTCGCGAAAATCCAAATATGTCGTAAGTGTAACATCGGATTTTGGAAAGGAATTTATTTTCAAATATGACGGCAATTTCTCAAGATTACGAAAGATATTTCATTATCGAGCCTTGCCGCGCAAAATGGCCAGGACGGCTAGTTGCAACAGATTTCAGCGAGAAATGTAAAAAAAGAAAACATTAATTACAGAAAGTGCAGCCGGCGTTAAATAATATAGCTGCGAACGGGACTCCGGAATAACGAGTTTCTACCTCGTCGTCCCGCTATCAACATCGACCAGCCTGATAAGGGTTCTCGATGCTTTGATCCCACTGCTACCATTTATGTAATCATCGACGTTAAGTAGAAAGGGAACTTAAATGCGGAACAAAAGCACGAGCCACCTCATTTTCGCTAAACGTCTCGTCTCCTGAAAGAGTTCTTATCTCTACATGTCCTCCACGATGTTATCAGTTGAAAAACGTGCCGCTAATCATTTATTACTACGTATATTTTCCGGGTCATCATAGATGATTTAAACTGTTCCGATTACGAATAACCATTACGAATGATTAACATTGCTTTGGGTACGAATAATCATTACCGATGACCCGG